GGAGCAGCATATGGCCAAGCAAGGCGGACAACCATATGGCTGGGAAAGCAAGCTGTTGGGGAAAATAGAGGGCTTCTTAGTTGCTATCATCAGTAAAGCCATAGTCTTAATTGATAACTTTTATATAAAAAGTAGCCCTAGCCCTAGCTATACTTCGTATACAAACTTGCATTTAAAATATAAACTAATTATAGTATTACTTCATTTTTACTCAGCCCCTAAAGGCTGCAAACCTGTTTGTAATACAATTAATTATAAAGCCACTAATCTACCTTAGCTATAATGCTTGTAGATACTAATTAAACTATATAATACCTTTAACTAACCAGTTATTATTGCCTTGAAGGCCTCATTATCAGTTAATAAGGGCATAAAAGCATTTAATTTATTTCTCAAAAAAAAATCCCCATGCTTTGAAGTCGTTTGGCTTCCGTTTTCAATTTTTTCCACCACATTGCATAAGCATCGGCAGTAATAACAACAAAATATAACAAAAACTACAGGCATGGAAAAAACTTCTTCTAAATCTTACGCCCCACATAATAGGCCACTTCCGGCTCCCCCCCCTTCAAGCCAACTCCCACCCAGCTCGCTCCAAACTTGGCTCCCTGGCTGGTCGACCTTGAGCCGTCAGCCGCGGTTGCTGTTGCTGTTGTGCTGCTGCTGCCCATTGAAGCGCACGGAATGGGTGTTTTTGTTGCCAATCGAGTTTAACATTTTCCATATAAAAACAAATATTATTTGTGCGGCTCATAAAATTTATGAATGCCTTGCACTCGCCTTTACAAGAGAATCCAACAACAATACACAAATATTTTGCGCTTCACAAATATCGAGAGAAGGAATTCTTTGGTTGAATGAAATTTTTATTTGATTTTATTTGCGTGTTTGCGATTTGTTGAGAATTCTGTTTTATTTTTTGGGCCAAATCGGGTTTTTTTTGTGCTCCACTTTGCCTGAAGGTTGCGCTTCGGTGCGCACCAAAAAAATTTGAAAAAAGTAGGCTACCTCGAGGGGGTCTTATATAAGATTTGGAAATGGAGTATCTCCCAACTTACCTTGAAAAATGTTTAGCCTTAAATTTGTGACGAGTTTCTACACTCAACGAATATGACGCATACGCCGCGTGGGTCGCTCGAACAGAATTTTGCGTCGCAATTGAGGCCGTTAGGGAATGGGAGAACATTCGGGGTTCAATCACCCTTGAGAAAACTGCTTGGCTGGGCTCATCCCTGGGGGATTCTCACTTCATTCTCAGCCAGCACGACCTTTTGACTCGACTCGGCTAAATAATTGTCAGCAGCAGCACCAGCATCGGCCTTGGTGCGGCCTGAACTCCGACATTTGACGCTTTTTCGTTGTTTTTGGACTTCCAGTGCCAAAAATTTATGCGACAACGCATTGCGATACTCGCCAGATGTAACCCGCGCCACACCAGCCACCAAAATCTTCACAGTCGGTTGATTTTCATGAACAAAATTGAGAAAAAAAACGGAAGAAAACATAAATTCCAGCAGTTTTTGGTTTGTTTTTTGGATCCTTCATTTGACATTTAACAGGCTGCCCGGGTGGTCCATGAACGCCCACATGACGCAACGAGAGCGGAGTTTTTCCATCAAAATATTTGATGAAATTTTAAAATTCAAGAAAATAGAATGTACACAATTGTCTGACAAATGGCATCGTAAAGATGTATCATAAAAATAATTTTTATAGTATTCTTTAGCGAGAATTTGTCTTGTCTAGAATAGTAAAAACATAGCAAGATTTATTTCCTGAAAGTGAATAATTATATCTATATTATTTTTATACAATGCTCATTTCCGTCAACAGCGTCAAATGCCAAAGCTGGCATTCATTCATGAAGGCGATTAGAAAGCAAATTTATCAAAGAAATACTGAGAGTAGACTTTAACAATTAATCTGTCTAGAAATCAGAAATCAAGGAAGAAATTCCATACAAATTAAGTGGTCTTCTTAAATTCCGTTCTTGAAGTTCTTGAAAAAGGAAGGAAATATTTCTGCTTAACTTTGGACATTTCCTTTCATTTGGAAGTGAATTATTTGTATGGTTTTTCGCAAATACATATCCATTGACCCCTACGTATCTGAGGAACTTTACGAGGGTCGGTCGTAAACTTAACTCTGCACAATTAGCTTCATCTGCATAATGGTCATATTTTATGCGAACCAGAAAGGGGCTCTATCCCAGGGCATAGACATCAAAAACGGTCAATTTCCCAGCGGGTTGGATGGGATGAATGGGTGGATGGATGGATTCGGGGTGTTGAATGTAATAAAATATAAAGGGAATACAGGAAGGGGGGTCGCCTGCCCTCCAGTGCCGCATAAAGTTTGCCATCTTTTCGCCGCTCGTTTATGGCTGCTCGTTTCCCGTTTCACTTGCCGCATTTTTATGGGCATTCATTTAGTATTTAGGTCAGTTTTTTGCTAGACTCCCTCCCTGGGAGGCCTGCGCTTCTATTTCTCCTTTACATAATAATTCAGAAGCCAAATGCTTTTGTGTGCGTGGCCGTCCGCCAATCAAAGCTATGACCGGGTACATGCGGCGTATACGCAATGTGTTTATTTTTAGCAAATTGTTTAACGACTTTTAAGCACAATTGAATTGAAGTGTTCATAGGGTGAGGAAAGTGCTGAGGTTAGGGGGAGGATCACGGCATTCTTTGTTCATTAATTTGTTGCATTTCATTTAAAAATAAATAAATCAAATGAATCAGCCATTGAACAGGTCGGGGCACAGCTCTCGCCTTCTTATGTTATTTTTATGCGGAAATCAAAATTCTGAGATAGCCAGATTTCATTATGCAATCCATGCCAATGCCACTGCCTGTCAAGCGATGAAAATGCTGCCGCTCTCCTCTCAATATATGTACATTTGAAATGCTTTTGCCTTTTTCTTGCTTTTGTTGTGGGAATTTAGCAAACGATTTTTAATGTACGTGACGAAATCTGATTTCGAGTGCAAACACATGCCAAAAGTGGCAAGAGATATACATATGTATAAAAAATCATATTCCTCGGCTATAAGCACTGTCGTATCTGAAGCCAAATGCAATTTATCAACAGTTGGGCTTAAATTGTCTGCAGCGTAACGGAAACTTGGCCCCGCGTGGAAGATGCTGCTGTTGCTGCCACTGTCGGGGGCTGCTCGCAAAGCGTAAAATTCTCTAATAAGTGCAAATTGGTAGCAGTGACAACAAAAACAAAAACACTCTGCCACGACCACAGCCGCAGCACCCTCTGTCAGTGTTTGGTTTTGCATTTTAATTGAATTCCCCTTTTTTTTTAGTTTTAGTTTTGCCCGCCCGGTTGTAAGTATCTGATGGATACGCACACATACGATGACAGATCGAACGGGAAGTAGCTGGCCACTGAGAACGTGGCCGCCTTCAGGGTGATATAATATAGAAATGAATATAATTAGTATGCATAATACATACAGTTATGGGTCTGGGGCTGGACTTGGGAAAAACTGATGGGATGGGATGTGAGCGGGGAAATGAATAAAGATCGAAAGATATTGTTGTGTAATCAGAGGGGTAATGGGATTTACTAAATGGAAAATCTCTAGTTATTAGTTATAGTACTCTTTTCTAGAGGTATTCTTTCATAATATTGACTTCATAAACCACCAAAATATTTGCCCAAAACGCATGAATAATCCATCACCCGTTTTTAGACCCCAAGTCACGACAGAACCCCCCTTATCACTCACTAGTTGTGGTTTAAAAAGCGATTAAAGAATAAACAGTTGAATAACATTCTCCCGTTATCGGAGTGGCGGCCGAGTGCCGTTATGTTTTGGCACCTTCATTCACATAACGGTTAACCGCTAGCCCCAGAAACCCATACATAGTCTTATCTAAGCAAACAGAAGACCATATCACACACATCAAGTTAATAATAATAATAATAAATAATGAAATTTGATGAACTATCCAAGTATTTACATAATCCGGGCGACAGCTTGACTTGTGGCATGTAATCAGCAATGTTGCCACATTATTCATGTAAATTAATATGATTTTTTGGTGATTTTGTCCATGTAATCATTTTTGCAACAATTTGTATAACAATTGCAACAATTACAACAGTTAGGGCCTTGCACACACACACACACACTCTTGAGAAAATATCGACAGCAGTGTTGTGGCTGCTACGTTTTATGTTGCGTAATGTTAGGCTACATAATCGCCATTTTAAGTTAAAATTTTTAACATGTTAACAGCCTAAGAGAAAACTAAAGCTCAAAAAGCCCTCTCTGCACTGTTAAGTACTCTTAAATGTTGCCGGCTCATGTTGCGCCATCACATGTTGCTCGGCAACATTGTCTACAAGTGGCCTGGCCTACGTGACGTATGAGTAATGGGGGAGGGAGGCAGAACCAAATGCATGACCTAGGCACTGCAATGACTTTCTATTCTAGGTGCTGCCTTACCTTGATTTCGCTTTCACTTGCCGTTTATCGATGGTCGAAGTATATAGGCTGGTAGAGCATTTTTGAAAGTTTCTTGAAATAATATAGAAGATCTTCAAAAAATAAAGGAACTAATCTCTCTATACCCACTTTTTCAATACCGAAAAATCAATTCCGCTGACAAGTGGCGCTTTTGGGAGCCATCACGGCTGTCAAAATAAATACTCGCCTGCCGTTTCGCATCTCTTGTAAAGGAAAACGAGGCGGGAGGGATGCTGGCTAATTGTCGAATACTCACGCGTGTTGAACATTTGCCCAATAACACAGCAACAGATCATATATTTACATATTTGCCATATTGTCAGACGAAATGTCTCGGGGCGCTCTTCTTCCATTGAACTTGCCAAGTTTCCGACAATTTCATTTAGCAGGAGGTGGACAGTCATTGGCGATTTAATTGATTTACACAAGCAATTAACTTTACGAGCTGCCATTTGCCGGGAATGATATTAACTAAAGTGCATACTAAACTAAACTGTTCTCGTTTCATCTCTTCCAGCACCCACCAACTTCAAGAGTCTCTGCCTGCGTGCCGAAGTCCTCCTTAAGCTGAGCCACTACCAAAGTTCTCTGGCGGACATAGAGAATGCTTTGAGGACACGCTGCACTTCCCCCAAGGTGGGTCTTTATTTAATCTTTTAACTTTAATTTATTAACTTGATACTATTGTCTTTCAGGCCCACTATCTGAGAGCCTTGGCTTTGAGCGGCCTGGGTCGGCTGGAGGAGGCTCTGTACAATGGCTTCTTGGCCATTTGCCTCGACAAGAATACAAATCTCAGTAATTCGGAAATATTTCAACATGATCTCGCCAAGGTAAGCCACTAAGCGAAAATGCAAGCATTTTATGATCGAATCGTTGTATGCCAAATATTCTGCAACATTGAGAATAATCACAGAAGGCATTCAAGTCTAGACGCCATTAAATGGCTATTACAAGTGGATTTGTGCTAGATCTTAAGATCTTTATGTTATTTAAAGAATTCTACTAATCTTCAATCCTCTTTCCTTCAGATTCTTCAGCGTCTCCTGGCCCAAATGCCCAAAAACCGATCCCTGGTTGCCGCTGCAGCGCCACCTATGGTCCAGCAGCAGCATCGCAGCTACGCCACCTCTCGGCCCTCGTACCCCCTTCTCTGGGAGCAGATGACGCGCCGCAGGAAACAGCCGCACCACCACCACCATCATCACCACCACCACCACCATGTCCACCTGGACGACGTGGAGGACGAGTTCGGGCACTACGACAAGTACATAATGGCCGACGACGAGCTGGAGGAGGAGGTGGAGGTGGATGGCGGGGAGCCGGGATCCCTTCACCTGGACGGAGACTTCTTGTTTCCCAGTGCCCTGGACTTCATGGACCACCACCGGCACCAGCGGCACGTCTTCGAGCAGAAGCAGTTTGACCTGCAGCCGCGACGCCATCAGAACCGCAAGCACTGCAAGCGGAAATGGTCGGATAGGCTGGAACCCCTGCGTGGGAAGCTGGTGGACGAGGAGGAGGATGTGGAGGACCTGGACAGGGCGGAGTCAGGTGTGGAGATCCAGCGATGCAGTCGCCTCTTTGCCGGCGTCCTGGAGCGAACACAGCAGGAGCTGCAGCGACTGAAGAGTAAGTAATCTGGATTATATTATTTTAAAGTATGGAAGGCTAATCCATGGACTCTACCATTTCAGAACTGGATGAATCGGGGCAAGGACTGGCGGTGAGCGCTGTCTCTGGGCAGCTGATCGATGCCAGTGACTTTGACTGCGTCCTGTGCTGCAGGACATTGTGGAAGCCAGTGGTCACACCCTGCGGACACACGTACTGCCTGGTATGCTTGGATCGTTGCATGGATTACAACTCCTCGTGTCCATTGTGCATGTCACCACTTGTGGAATTCAATGTCAATGCCAGTGCCAGTCAGAATCAAACTCAGAATCAGAATCAGATCCACCTGCATCCGGGCTCATCCTCGCCAGTTCCTTTCGCGCTGGCCAAGCGGCCAGTGACGAAGTTCCTAGAAGCCGCAATGAAACGATTCATTCCAGACCACTACGAGGCCCGATTCCGACAGGAGATCGACCAGGAGCCCTCCGTTCCGGTGTTCATCTGCACGGCCGCCTTTCCGGCGGTGCCATGTCCCCTGTTCGTCTGCGAGCCCCGCTACCGCTTGATGGTGCGGAGGGCAGTGGAGTCCGGTGACAAGACCTTTGGCATTGTGCAGCCGCACAGCGGCAAGTCGCGCTACTACGACGTGGGCACCATCCTGGACATCCGGGACTGCGTCCAGTTGGGCGACGGCTGCTCCATCCTGAGCACTATAGGCTGCAAGCGCTTCAAGATCCTGGCGCGCAACGAAAAGGACGGCTACGAAACGGCCAAGGTGGAGTACATCTGCGACGAGCCCATTGCCGAGGAGCAGGTCAAGGTCCTGGCCGCGATGCAGGACGTGGTCCTGGCCAAGGCCATCGGCTGGTACGAGAGCCTCAGCACGGAGCAGAAGCACGAGATCCTGCAGAGCTACGGCCAGATGCCGCCGGTGGAGCCCGACTGGGCGCTGATCAGTGACGGCCCGGCCTGGGCCTGGTGGATCATCGCCCTGCTGCCCTTGTCCCAACAGCTAAAGGTGGGTTGGATGGATTCTCATGGTTTTTCATCTTCTAATCTTTGTTTTTTCTTCAAAAAGGTGGACATTCTGGCCACAACCTCGCTGGAGAAACGGCTGCGGGCCATCGACAAGACCCTGGACTGGCTGCACGAGCTGAGCCACCCGCAGCAGCCCACGCACCACCCGCTGGCGCACCACCCCCAGGCGCCACAGTCGCCCCAGCAGGCGCATCTCGATCTCGACTGCGAGGAGCAGGAGGCGGCCGCGTCCGGAGCCGACGAGTGCTGCCTCTTTGCGGACAGTGCGGCCGAGCCGCACACGGACGAGGAGCTGCTCCTCTAGAAAGCAAATCATAACTATACCTTAGCTAGCATACATACGTCTGTAAATTTGTGTCTAAGCCATTTCGTCTGTAATCGAACATAAACACGTTAATCCTAGGGGCCAAAACCGAAAGCGAGAAACTTTAGCAGAACCAAAATTATCACTAGATCCGCAGAACATAATCTTTAGCTCTTAAAACCGAAACCGTTGTGTGTGTGTGCGTTCTGTATTTTAGATGTGTGTGTGTGTGTGTCGGAGAAATAGCTAAGAATTAGAACCAAAAAAAAAAAAGAAAGTAGAGAGCCACACCGAGAAACCCCAGTGAAACAATCAAAAGTTTGCTTTTGGCTCAGGCCCGCACCAGAACCCCGGATTAAAGAAGGGTTGACATACTGTCTCTATCACATTCCAAACCTTGAAAATAAGCAGCAGAAGCGAGAAATAAACTTTAACAAACAGAACTCATGGTTTCTACAAACAGAGAATACACAAATTTTTAAAATTACGATTTAATGATCAAGAATACAAAGTCAAAGGCCAACAAACATACACTTAGTGAAACCGATCGGACAGCAAAGAGCCAGGAAACAAAGTTCTTTTCATTTTTACTTTAAATAAGGCGGCTGGAACTCTAAGACAATCTGCAATATTTTTTTTAAATATACCTAACGAAACTAAAACTATATATACAAGTGAATAATGAAACTGAACTAGCGACTAGTTACGAACGACGATTGAGAGAAAAAAAGTGTAAAGAAATTTCAATTTTTTAAATACTTTTCGTTGATTATTAACTTTTCCCACTCCTCTCTAAGGCACCCCTCTCTCTTGATTATGCTTAGACTAACTAAATAATATGCTCACCTATATATACTATATATGCGACTCTATACGCCACATGCTTATTTCTGTATTCGTATCTGTATCTACGGCCCGCATTCCTAACGAAGAGATAGCTCTATAATATAGCTTTGCAACTATTAGCTAGACTTCTTTGTCTCTTGTCTGTTTTTTGTATAAACTTAAGCCCCAACTCAAGCCCTTTTGTTTCACGCTCTCCCCCCCATAAAGCAAATCAATTTTAAAAACCAAAATTTGCTTTATCCCACTGATCCTTGTAAATATTTTTATCGGATAACCCCCTAAATTATATGTATGTATTTCTGCTACGTTAGTTTTAGAACACGAATTTACTTTTCAGCTCAACACAAAAACAAACAAGAATTCAAATCAAACAAAACAATTTTTGTCAACTAAATATTTATGTAATTTTATACAAAGTATACACATACGTCTAAATTAAATCATTTTGTATTTAAGTTTAGCAACTAAACGAAACGGAAAACAAAACAAAACAAAAAACACAAATATGAAATCATTTTTTTGTGTCTACCTTATATGGAGAAATTATTATGTGAATCAATAATAAAAGATATATATTTCAAATTTCTAAAATGCTTCAATAAAATCACCAACATTTTTCTTTCTGTTTTTTGTGCTAAAAAAGAAGATTTTTTACTGGTACTTTTTTAATTTATTAATAATGATGTAAAATAAAGAGGAACTCAATTGAAATATAACATTTGAAACGGCGTTACTATGGGTTTTGGGGTTTTGGAATTATTTTCAATGCAATTAAAACCGAAAATTTGCAATTCTCCAGAATCTTTTTCTCAAATTCTGTCTTCTGATCCAAAATGCATCGGCGATCGGTACGTATATATCCTGTGCGTTGCATAAACCCGATAAAACATTCAAATCGAGTCGAGAATAACTTGTAAATTGCAAATCGAGCTGCAATATTACGTAAGCATCTAATAAATATCAAATTTCTAGTGCAAACGGTGGATCGGTGGATTAGGCAACTACATATGGTATGGAATCGGAATTGATTAGTTGATATGCTCTCGTCCCTGATCAAAAGGTAGAAGATCTACAGATCTGAAGGAGAGTATGCTGTCAAGGGAAGCGGACCCGCCAAGGGGCATGCCACTTCAGTCTTGACTGTAACTGAACTCTTTATACTTATGAAATATTCATAGCTGAAATTTGCGTACGCATGAAATGTGCAAAAGATAGATGAATGGGTATATCAGACTAAGGGGAGTACGAAACGACGACGTAATGCCCTAAAATTTTGGTTTTTGAAAGGGTGATTTTAAGGTATTTGATCTATTATTATGGTATTATAGAGCTTATAGGGAAAGTTTATTAATAATTGGACAACTTTCTTCATAAAAAAGGATTTTTCTTGTTGTCTGGAATCGACTTTCATGTTTCTAGTAATAAGAGCTTTAAAGAAAGTATGAAATAAATCTTTAAAATGAGATTATTTTAGTATCTTTATGAAATGCTTCTTCAACTTATGATTCTAGAGACCTTTATCTTAGAAAAACCTAGTATTAAAATCCTAATAACCCAACCTATCACAATCTAGTTTTTTTACAGCTTTCTAACCCAACACCTAGACCTTGAACTTAAAACGAAAACCAAACAAAACCAGTTGACTCAGCTCCTCAGCTCCTGGGGCCCTTATATCACTAGTTTTCAGAGACATACCAGAGAAACCAGAAATGGGCGCTAAAACACCCAGAAATCGGAATATCGGACAACAAACAAAAAAGTCGAGAGGAAATCCATGGGGGAACTGAAAATGATACTTGTACTTACTACTGGCCGGCGGATCGACGGATCGGTGGATCGGCTAGAGAGAGAGAACCTCGCTGGCGACCCTGTGCAAGTGTTGATAGTTTGATAGAGCGACAGGGACGGAGACAGATAAAGAAAACGCTACAGACTCGACTCAGAACGGCTCTGATCGGTGCAATTGAGTGGTTTGGCGAGTGGTGGAGCAAGAGCTGCGATCCCCAATCGACTCCGAGTGCAGTGGCATATTAAATAATAGCCGAGCGGACGGAGCTCAATCAGTCAGTCAGGTAACGCTCGGAATGTTCGCACATACAATATCGCGTATACGCCCGGCCGGCAAAAGGCAAAGCCACTAATGCGGACTTGCCATACCGTTTAGGTTCCTCTCTCTTGCCCTGTCTCTCTATTTTGTCTCTTTGAGTGTGTTGGTGAGAGTGCATTTCAAGCTGCATTTCGCCGTTTTCGTTTATCCACGGGTTTTATTTAGCGCTGCGTTCTTGTTTTTGTATTTTTTATTTTTTGCGAGCTTAGAAATTGCAGTTCTCGTGGATTTGTTCAGTTTGAGTCCAGCACGCGCAGCGTCAACGAGCGGATCTCTTTCGGAATATTTTTCGGAGTGCCTTGCCGAGTCTACGGGCCGATCACACGGGCACAATTATTTCGTTAATTTATTTTTGTTTTTATTTATTTATTTTTTTTGTTGCATTTGATATTACAAGTAGTTGGCCGATCTGACGCAAAGTCAAGCCGTCTGTCGTCAATGCTGTCTCCGGCCGTATAGACCCTGTAACTCGATCGCAAATTACACGCTTTCGACGTGGTCGCTTCTCGTGCGGTTCTGTTCGGATCGGTTGCTGTTTCGGTTTTTGGTTTGAGTTTTAGTTTTTTGGTATTTGGTTTCGATTTTGTTGTCTTTCCCTACTTCGCGCTTCACAAGAATTTTGTATATTTTTGTGCTGATAGTGCCCGAAAAGGGCACAATTTCTTACCTTTCGACAATGAATGGAAACGTTTGCATAAAGAACCCCCTAAAATATGGTCGTAATTTTCTGGTTTTTGTTATTGGAGATCTGCCTTAAAATGTATACACGGACATTGTATATAAATGCAAACGATACCAACTGAGAAGCAGCGGGCCGGCGAGAAAAAAATGAGCAAGGCAGAATGGCAAAAGTAAATTATTATGTAACCTTTCAAAACGATTTGCAATAATAACGAAAGGAAACGGTGAAATAATTCGTAAGAAAGTAGAGTGAAAAATAAAATTCCTACTCATGGAATAAATATTATAAAAATTAAACCAAAAATACATTAACTAAATAGCTTAGAAAAGCTAAAAGTGTGAGCTAACTAAAGTGAGCAAAAATACATAATAATTTAACTACCAATTAACAAACTTGTGCACCAGTTTCGAACCCAAACCCACAAATCAGCTGCTTGAAAATATACTAAAGTGCTAGGTCATAAAAAATAAATAAAATATGCGAAAAAAGTGCAATGGCTAACGAAAAAAAATAGTCAAAATAAAAAACCACTAACAGCAGTAGTGACAAAATTTCTATTAGAAACACTGCCCTGCCGCAGAGATAAGGCAAGCTCGGGAGAGAAGTTCTCGCAAAAAACAAAAGTGCATTCAACCAAAAATTACAACAAACTATCTGTTCGGAGAGAACCTTTCCCCAGACTTCCCCGGCCAACTACTAGCCGACAGCTCGGTTCACTAAAAGTCTATTAGGCTGCGACTGTATGCACGCGCCTGCGCGATGTCTGAAATATATTATTATAAAATTTCTATAGGTATCAGTATGTGGTGATGCACCTTTTTTTATTTCATTGTCAAAGTCGGCATTCATAGCCAATATACTAGACAGGGTTATACCCATTGCTTGTAATTGTTATTACCTGTAGATCCAATCTGGTATAATCAAGGCTGAAAATGTTATCTGGTCTATAAAAGTTTGTGCATTTTTAAAGGGATTTTAATAATTGCAGTTATACTTCTTTAGATTGAGATTTTAGAAAGGGTTTTGGGAAAGGATTAAAGGATTTATTCAAGCCATTTTCTTTATACCTTTGTGGCTTTTTCTAAACCTTTGTAACCCCCGACTAAACCCCAATTGTTGACTCATTTATTTTTAATTTATGGTCAAAGTCACTTAAATTGTCTATGCTATTTAGCAGCTAAAACTTTCCACCTCAAACTTTTTTACGCCAAGACCCAGCTAAAGTTTTTTCCCCGATAGTCTTACTATAGCCCTTCCACTAGTTTAATTAATTAAAATAAATATTTTTTTTTTGTTGGATTTTTTTTATAGTTGGCTGACAAGTCTCAGGTCTCGGGTCTGGCGTCTTTTTGAATTTTTGAAACGTCATCGTCAGCGTTTGAGGCCGAGTATCTGTGTGCGCCGTCGGGGGCTGTCGGTGTGAGTGCGCGTGTGCATTTGGTGTGGTGGTGTGCGATCATGCGGTAGCCGCACACGCTCTCAGTAAAAGTTATTACAATTGACAACTAAAAACCATAAAGTAGTGCAAAATGTCTTACAAGTGATTCAACTTCGTTTCAATAAATTCATGACACAATTACGAAATGTTATTAATTGAAAAGTGCATTTGGCAGCAGGTTCCTGGCGCGTTTCTCCCACCATTTTAGTTTCCAGACTGTGTACTTCATTTTTGTGTCGGCAAATAAATGGTTGTTGATACGGTGAGATAAGTAGCTGATTGACAGTAAGGAGGCTATTTTTTCGAGCAAAATTTTGCTGGTTGGAAACAAAGAAAGATAACAGAAAAGGAAAAATTTGAGGCATTTCCTTATATATTTTAAATTTTAGAGACCTGTTGGGAGAATTAGATTTTCCTAAAAAATATTCTGTAGAACAATAAAATTGTCCGAAATTCTCAAACTAAATTTTAATCATCTTTAAAACATGTGCATAGCTAGTCTATAGCTCTCAGGTGACTCCCCTAGTGCCTTTCATATTTTAAACCCCAACTACAAAGAATACATTAAGCATACGCCCCGTAGTCACAGAATAGTTGCTGAAGATGATGATCTGATGATGTTGGGACGGCAAGCTAGTCATGATTAAGTGATCATCTCATCGCTTGATTTATAAGTGGATTGCTAACCGTTTGTGGAAAGTCTAGACCAAGATCCGTTTACTTCGAAAGCCCCTTCGAAAATCCAATTGTAATCACTACCTGTCCGCCTGGCAAACAGAGAGGCCTTTAACCCTACAAACCTAGGCCAGACTGGAGACGGTTGCACTTGGCATTGGCATTAGGGGGAACGAACGCAACAGAAATAAATCAATGAACGGCAATTGGCAAGAGATAAAAATAAGAAAATAGTGAAAAATTTAATTAAGTCAAGTTTAAAACAAAAACGAAAATAAAAGCCAAGACTTAGTACGAGCGAGTAAGACAAAAAATATTACAAGCTTGGCGGAAAAAAAAAACGTAGAAGTCGAGGCGGAAAACAGTAGAGAGGAAGAAAAATTGAAAGCTGTACAACGGGTCGTATGAGTATTGGGTATTATCACTCACACACCGACACTATGCTGTAATCGCAATGCAATTAGCATTGCCAAGCAAAAGCTCAAGTTCACTGACAAAGAAATCAAACACGAGCGCCAGACAGAGATAGCGTCTGGCGGAGAGAGCGAAAAGTGCAAGGGGGAGGGCACACACACGCGGAAATACCCATACACACGGCCAGCATGCGATAATTTCTGTAACTGAGCGAAGCTTTACAAATGCAATCAAATGACGTTAGTTCTCCGGCCAGCTGTGTGTGCGAGGGGGACGGCCTGAAAACAGGGCGCCGTTAGAGAGTGCAAGTGAGCGGGACGGGGCCAATGCAGTTTGTTGTCTTTGTCGGGCGACAGAGAGAGGAAGAGATATGTAGATACAAATGGGGACATGCAGTGCACCCCGCTCGTGAGTAGGTCAGTCAACGATCTTCGCCCGATTTCAGGTTGGGTGAGCTTGCTCGCCAGTTGCTCTGCCAACTCCAGCCAACCGGCTTTTCCAGTGCATTTCATTTATTTATTTATGCGATGGTCTTTTTCGACTTGTTAACTTCCGCATTGCACATACAAATATGCCACTGGGCCACAACAACAGTGCTGTCAATGCCAATTGTTTGATCAGTCAGCTTAGCAAAACGGGAGGGGTTCTAATCTTAACCATAAATAATTGTGGGGCGTTAATTTAAGTTGATAGATACTCGAAGAATTTGAATTTCCTTGGAAGAAATAGCTATTGATTTTATTTAAATTTTTGAATATGATTTTCAATATAATTTAAATGCTTTATGCAATAATTTAAATCATTGCTTAAATCATCGTCTAATGTTTTTCAAGATTAATATTATTTTATTTAATTCCAAAGCTTGCCTTTCACAAAACCTGCTGAAATGTAAAATAAATATTTATTTCCAAGAAACAAGTCATTACTTGAGAACTGCTTTTCATAATTACTTTTTTGAAATACACCAAATAGCTAACTTAACAATCTAGATGAGTTTCTAATGGAAGTTTAAGATCTTTTAAGAACCTAAATCTTCAAGCTAAGAGATTCCAATTTATAACAATTAACAGACATTCTCTTTCAAGTATTTTAGTTTTTTTTTTATAAATGATATAGCATTTCATTCCCTCCCACCTTAAACTCAATCTTAAGCTTCACTTCGGTGACCCAATAATTCTATACTTTTCAGTAATTACTTCACTAACTTGGCATTCGATAATAAGAATTCCCGAGACACTCTCCCAATGTCTCTATCTTAACCCTTTTCTCTGCTCTGCCGCAAACCAACCGCACTAATTGCAACACGAGCCATTAAGCGACACATTGGCAATTATCTGGCAGCGTTTTGGCCAGAGTCCGGGCCGGGCCGGGCCAACAGCTACTTACGGTTAACCAGCAACACTTTGCCCCACGGAGTGGGTACTGTTCCGACTTTGATGTGTATTTAAAATGCCCTCGAATACATGTGGGAATTTATGACATGCTGGTCAAACGGAGCTAAACGGATTAATTACAACTGTCCGGGAGATGTAAAGGCAAAGCTCCGGCTCTGTAATTTTAAGCTGCTTTGCACATTTTAATTAAACGCTGACTTTTCACCGATTTTCGTTTGGGCTTTAAATGGCCATAACTCCGGCGTCATCGACGTTGGTGCGAATAACGTTCTCGACCCGTTTCGCCGAAGAAATGCATTTCACAGGCTTGCAAAACCTTTGACATTTTCCAGCAAAGTTTTCAAGTTTTTGTTGAACAAGAAATTGCTTTTCGAGGAAGCCCGTGAAATGTTGGACCGTCAATTAACACGGAATAAAGAACATTACTCGGGAGATGGGAATGTAAAATGCAGGAAAACGTATTCCACTTAATGATTGAGGAATAAATGAAAAGGCAAATAGACTGTTCAGGAGGCAGACTCGAAAAATTATGCAATACTAGCAGCATGTGTGTTTGTGGCTATAAATAAGCTGCAGTGCCAGGCAATTGGTTAGCAGCTGCTCGGTACTCTCTTTCAAGCCAAACTCTACCATTCACCTGGTCACAGCCACCCGACCACCCAACCGCACAGCCACAGAGCCACCCATTCCAAGCCCGTACCCACTCCAATCGGTCGGTGGTTGTTATGGCATTCGCTGAACGCATTTTGTAACATGACAAAATAGCGTAGCATACATTTCAGGGGTTGCAAATGTGCAACATTGATTGGCACGGCCAACTGGCAAATTGGCCACGGGGCCTTCACGCTCCTCCGGGGAGCCTGCGCAGGCGCAGCTTATGCCATTACATAACCCAGCAGCTACCGAGGATGCCACAGGAGGCGGCTGCTGCTGATGCTCTTCCAAAGAAACAGAAACAGCGAAGCAGAAACAGAACCAAAACTGCACTTGTTGCTGCCACAGCGCCGCGTTAACCGGATAATATTTCGATAAAAAAAAATAAAAAAACGCGTCGGGCTTAAAGAAAAAAAATATAATCCAATCCTTGAGTGACCCTTTGTTATCTTAACCCCTTGCAGGCACCTCAAAATGTGGCATATTGAGCATATGGAAATTAATTGTTGCGTAAACATTACCTGAACATTTCATAAACCTTCTGGCGGAAACAAAATTATGTGAGCCAAACGATTCGCTTTGGCAGTTGTGAGAGCGCAATTCTTCAATAGAAGAAGTGAAAAGTTTTCGATTTTTTTGTGAATTCTTTTTTTTTGTGATTTCTGGAAAATTTGTTTGAATTTGAAGTGGATTATCTCACGAACCCGAAAATGGACGACGAGAGCGACGACAAGGATGATACGAAAAGGTAAATCTATAATATTCGAAGCACCCCTACACCTCTACCTGTAGCTATTCATAAATAGATGGGACGAATTCGCGAATAATCTGCATTTGACAGTTGACAATATAAGCAGAAACAAAGATGTGGTGGCAGAGCTGGCTGGCAAAAGGGACAAGATACATGTCTATGGCATTTCGAAAAATTTTCCACTAAACAAGTGAGTGGAAAGCTTTTCTTTGTTTCCACCGCATTTTTTTATGAATGACCGTCCCATGTAGAATTCGCGGCTGTCGTCATAATCTCTCCCAGACAAGGTTTTTTTTTTTTTTGGTAATTCACACCCCTTGAGGCTCCAAACTAATCAATGGAATCCCAGTAACTCAATTCGTTGATCCCGTTCTCTCAGCGGTCAACTTCAATCAATGGCACGGTAACCCGAGTACCGATTCGATTTGGCCGCTTAATAATTAGATTTACTTTCTGGCCTATTTATGACATTGCACAATGGCCAAAAGTATGTACAAAATTCCGGTGCATATCGCATGACAATAAATATAACCAATTAGTAATCGAATATTTCTCCAGACACTATGGCATAGACGAAAAGGAATATCTAATAGTTGGCTTTGTGAGAAAAAACAATAAAAAAATGGCCATATCTTATGTGACAAATTCTTTTTTTTGTGACAAGCGTGAAAAGTTGCTATAATAATTAGTTTACTTTGTAACATTTGTTCTATAATATATAGAGATTATATCAAGCAACTAGTAGTAAGGCTTTTAGCCATACCTCATATGAGGTAATGGGCTTTAAGTTTTTAAAATTAAACGATAGCTGAATCTTGGAAAGCTTGTAATAAAGAAAAAAGACTTATAGACTTTAAAACTATAAGGCATCATCTAAATATAAATATCTTTCTAAATATAAATAGCTTGGAATAGAATGGAATAGAAGAATAGAATCCGGAGCTTTGAACCGGGCAAAACTTTTTATAAGAAGTTACTATGTTATGGGAAGTATTTAAAATTTACAAATCAATCTGTTATCTATATAATAACCTTTTAAAAATCAATGATAAAATAATAAACCAAGTACTAAGTTTTAGCAAATCTTTACTATTTTTATAATGGATCCTTTAACTATTTTATTCAAGCATATAAAATTTAAATTAAAAATTTTAATAGAGAAAACCCCCTTAAGAAGATTTTTAATAAAATGTGTAATCTTGAAGAGTCTACAAGCTACACTTTTTCTTCTACCTCTACCACTAAATTTTTCATTTATATGCCACCACTTTCCAAATAAACTCCTTTTCCAACAATTAACCCTGAATAAGATTTGCAAATCCCATATGCTCGTTAACATATCATGTCTTTTTTATTGAATGAGCTGACAATAGAACACAATCCCAAAGCCATCAGCCAGTCTGTGACATGCCAGTGTCAATCGCAGGGCAGGAAGAAGAGTGAACTCTAGCGAATCAAATGCAAAGCGACGCAGCCCCCGACCCCGCGGCTTGTCAGGGGTGATAGCATATGGGCATATGTGGCTAATCATCGCCAGACAATGCCGCCAAGGGCCAGTCACACGTGGGTCACACGCGCAGAAAGCGACCTTACCTGAGGGTTGCAAATAAAATCATTTGTGGATAACTTTTAAAAAGGCATTTGATTGATTTTCATTTAATTCGTAGTTTTCTTTGTAGAAAATCGCGCAACCTGAGCGAGAAAAAGCGCCGGGATCAGTTTAATTCGCTGGTGAATGATCTGAGCGCCCTGATATCCACCTCCAGTCGCAAAATGGACAAGTCCACGGTTCTTAAATCCACAATAGCCTTTCTCAAGAATCACAATGGTGGGTTAAATAATTTCTTAGTGAAGTATTCTATTTAATTTTGAGTTTGAAACTTAAACAGAGGCTGCGGACAGGTCAAAAGTTTTCGAAATCCAACAAGACTGGAAGCCCGCCTTCCTGAGCAACGATGAGTTCACCCATTTGATGCTGGAGTCCCTAGATGGCTTCATGATGGTCTTCAGCAGTATGGGTTCCATTTTTTATGCCTCGGAAAGTATTACCTCCCAGCTGGGTTACCTGCCGGTAAGTGTCAAGCTAGTGAGTCCATCTAGAATCCGAGACAAACCTCTTACCCTTCAGCAAGACCTGTACAAAATGACCATCTACGACCTGGCATATGAGATGGACCACGAGGCGCTTCTGAATATATTCCAGAATCCCGCTCCGGTGATCGAGGCGAGACAGACGGACATCGGAGCCAACAACCAGATCACCTTCTACACGCACTTGAGACGAGGTGGCCTGGAGAAGGTGGACTCCAATGCCTACGAGCTGGTCAAGTTTGTGGGTTACTTTCGTAGGTAGCCATGTAGCCTATTATTGGCCATTTACTTATTTTTTTGTCTCCAAAATCTTAGGTAACGATGCCAATACCAATGCAGGATCCAGCGGAGACAGTCAGAGTGGCGGGTCTGGAGGAAATGGCCAGCCGGCTGTGCTGCCAAGGATTTTCCAGCAGAACCCCAATGTCGAGGTAGACAAGAAACTGGTGTTTGTAGGTACAGGGCGGGTCCAGAACCCTCAGCTGATCCGGGAAATGAGCATCATCGACCCGACGAGCAACGAGTTCACCTCGAAGCACAGCATGGAGTGGAAGTTCCTATTCCTGGATCATAGAGCGCCTCCCATCATAGGATACATGCCGTTCGAGGTGCTGGGCACCTCCGGGTACGATTACTATCATTTTGATGATCTGGACAGTATTGTGGCATGCCACGAGGAGTGTAAGTTGTGGCACTAGCATCGGTGGCAGTAATAAAACCTTGTCTTTCCAGTGCGGCAGAATGGCGAAGGGAAATCCTGCTACTACCGCTTTCTCACCAAAGGCCAGCAGTGGATCTGGCTGCAGACGGCCTACTATGTGACCTACCATACCTTCAACTCGAAGCCGGAGCACGTGGTCTGCACCCACAAGGTGGTCAGCTATGCGGAGGTCCTCAAGGAGAGCCAGAAGGAGCGCAAGGCGATCACCTCCACCGGGAACAGCAGTAGCAAGCCCGCCTCGGCGACCACCACCCTCCGCGACTTTGAGCTGGGCAACCAGAATCTGGACAGCACGTTGCTGGGCAACAGCTTGGCCAATCTGGGCAACGAAGCAGCCGCCACATCGCCCACCATCGACTCGTCACCCATGTGGTCGGCATCGGTGGCCCAGGCCTCGGGCTCCTGCCAAATCAATCCCCTGAAAACATCCCGTCCGGCCTCCAGTTACGGGAACATCAGTTCCACGGGCATTTCCCCAACAGCCAAGCGGAAGAATTGCTACAGCAGTCGGGGAAATGAGTCGGACTCCACCTCAATTTCAGCGGATTCGGTCACCAGCAGGCAGTCCATGAGGACGCATGTGAGCTCGGTGAGTTTTCCACAAGAATATATTAAAAGATTCCAAACTAACCCTCTGGTAATCCCTTTTTAGCAAAGCCATCGGCAGCGATCGCATCACCGGGACCATCATCACAGCCAGCAACACCACCACCACCAGCAGCTACAAAACCATCAGCAACACCAGCTCCAGCAGCAACACCAGCAGCAGCAACAGCAGCAGCACCAGCACCAGTTGCAACAGCACCTGCAACAGAATGTGGCTGGACCCAAGATAGTGCCCATTCTGCCGATTGCTCCGGGCTCGTTGATGGCCAACAATGCCTGCCAGTTTCCCCAACAGGCCTATCCCCTGTCCAGCCCGCAGCTGGTGACGCCTGGAACGTTTCTGGAACCGCCGCAATACCTCACCGCCATACCCATGCAACCGGTTATCGCTCCGTTTTCGGTAGCACCTGTGTTGTCACCGCTGCCGGTGCAGGGACAGTCCGGGGATCTGCTATCGGGAACGGTGGTAATGACACCCACCCAGAGCCAGCTGCAGGACCAACTGCAACGCAAGCACGACGAGCTGCAGAAGCTCATAATGCAGCAGCAGGACGAGCTGAGGATTGTGTCGGAGCAGTTGCTCTTGGCCCGATACACCTACCTGCCAATGCCAATGGGATTTACGGCCGGCAACATGGCTGCTACGGCCATGGGCAGCATGGTGGGGGGTGGTGGCCAGAGGGGGCTAAACTTCTCAGGCAGCAATGCTGTCCAGCCGCAGTTCAATCAGTATGGATTCGCACTGAACTCCGAGCAGATGCTCAACCAGCAGGATCAGCAGATGATGATGCAACAGCAGCAGAACCTGCATAACCAGCAGCAGAATAATCTGCAGCAGCAGCATCAGAGTCAGGCCCAACTGCAGCAGCATCACCAGCAGCAGAATCAGCAACAAAATCAGCAACAACAGCAGCAGCAGCATCAGCAACAGCAGCAACATCAGCAACAGACAATGCCGTTGCCACCAAACGATATATTATCCCGCGAAGATATAGAGGAGATAGATGCCTTGTTCAATATGTCGCCGTTGCCTTCACTGGGATCTCAGCTCAACACCAGTGGCAACAACAACAATCAGAGCTACAACGGTGGCAGCAATCAGAATGGCAACCAGAACAACAACAACAATGGCAACTCGAATGCCCCTCAAAATACGAACGAGGATTCGTTGCTGTCCTACATGCAGATGGCCACGGAGTCGAGTCCTTCGCTGAACTTCCACATGGGCATCAGTGACGAAGGCTCGGAGACTCACAGCGAAGACAACAAGCTGATGCACAGCAACAACAGCAATCAGATGCAGCAGCAACACCAGCAACAAATGATGCAGCAACAGCAGCAGCACCAGCAACAGCAGCAACAACAACAGCAGCAGCAGTCCAACAACTTCTTCAGCTCCAATCACTTTCTCAACAACAGTCAGAATCAGAACCAAAATCAGTTGCCGAACGATTTGGAGATATTGCCATACCAGATGTCCCAGGAGCAGTCGCAGAATCTGTTCAACTCACCTCACACAGCACCCGGCAGCAGTCAGTAGATCCAGGTCCCTGGTGTACATAACTCTCTGTAGGCTATAAGATTCTTAAGATTGTTAGGTTATCCACCTCCCCACACCCAGTACTCCCCTATATCTACTTGCGTATTATAACTCTAGACCTTAGACAAGTTTGGCCTCTGGCTCTCTTTATCGAACCTCCTCTATTGGAAACCCAGAACTAGTTGTAGATCTCAACAGACTGAGTATTGTTCTATCTCCGAAGTGCATGATCGTGTAAATATTTATGTATATGTATGTATATCCCTATCGATAGTAAAGTTCTCAAATTAATCCAATCTAAGTAGGTAAGCTGATTGAAATGTAGTTTTAGGAAGAGCCCATCGTTTCCGTAGGTTAGCCTTATTATCCAGTAAGTGCCATCGTGGCACAACAGGGATCTCTGATATGTAATCGAACCTTAAAGCCTATGCCTAAGTTATTTTACCCAACTAACTAACTTACTAACAAAACATGAGCCAAGCTAATCCAATTCCATATTATTTTCAAGACTGGGCTTTGCCACCGAGGTCATACAAATATTCCGTATATGTTAGGTAATTGAATAAGCTAATGTTTAAATCAAAACTCAGGTTGAGATTGCAACTGACATTTATTTTGCTGTGAGCATATTCCCATAAGTTCTCCGCTGGCCCCCTCCCCATTAGGCCGACATCTCTAGTTTGTTTGTGTTTTTTTTTTGTGCCCAGATAACCCCAAGAGTCCCTTGTATTACGATATTGCTGTTGGAGGGGCGCCCTCGTTCGATTCGAATATGTTTCGATCCTCAGCTGATAAAGAGCCAAATGCTTTAAACTTATTACCTAAAATATCTTAAACTCAACTACAAAACTACCTTAATATCGATAGTTAGGCCTTAAGATTGTACATACCTATAGGACAAGTCGGGAGCACTTGCTTAAGAATGTAAATAGGCGCGTAGAACCATTTTGTACATAACTAGATGTTTCTATATAATTTCCAAGAACACACACTCCCTCAAAACAAGCAAGCTAATCAAATCAAAATCTTTATCAACCAAATACAGAATCGTAATAAAAGAAACGAAATCAGTTACAAAGACGACTAACTTTCATATTGTTTATTTATTTCAAACTTTCTTAATATTATATAGAGGGAGGGGAGTGAAATATAATAGATGGGCTGCTAATCATTCAAACTCGCAACTTGACAATGGCGTTCTGGAGGATCTGGAATTCGGAGTTGATGGTCTCCATCAGGTTCGAGATCTGCGGCTTGGAGTCCAGAACCTCGACACTCTGAGTGTAGGCATTATATCGGACGCCGAAGGGACGGGGAATCGAGTTGGCAAATTTACTAAAAAAATGTTTAAAATATAATTAGAATTAGGTTTAAATAGTTGATACTCTTTCTCTTACATAGTCTTCTCCTTGGCACTTTCGAAACTATCGGCCACGTAGTACACAGGCTGGAACTGGGTGATTGGGTACTTGGTGATGCCAGTGACCTCCGGCTCGAAGTCCTTCAGCTGGGGCTTGTCCGTGAGGCAGTACTCCAGTTCTCCGTAGGAGGAGAGCAGGCCAGCCCCGTAAGCCTTCAGCTCACCCTCCTGGCGGCACAAGCCGTACTCCACAGTAAACCAAAAGATCTGAAAGTTGGACGAACAGTAAGTCTTTAAATCATAGAAAGTTCTAGGTCTAACTCACCGTGGACAGCTTCTCAATATAGTCATCTGGAGCTCCCAGAGAGGCCAGTCCGATCTCCTGACTGAACTGGGCAAAGGCCGGATCGGCAAACAGGGGGACATGACCCAAGAGCTCGTGGCACACATCCGGCTCGGGGGTGTACATGGGCTTGCTGGGATGACGGATGTACTGAGTGGAGTGGAAGACGCGGAAGGCCAGTCCGGCCAGGAAATCCCGAGAGCTGAGAAGTCCAGCCACAGGGCGTAGTGTGAAGCCAGTACAATCTTAGGAGATTAATAGTTAATATCATGTGAAGTTATAAGAATTGCTAATCCACCTCTCAAGAAGTTGGAAACATCCTCCAGTTGGGGAATATTGTCTTCGCGGAAACCACAGTTGTCCACCAGGAGGGGGAAGACGTGGTTGTATTCCCGACAGGCATGAGTCTTGTAGAGCTTCGTCAGGTTACGGAAGATGATGCCCCAGGTCTCGATCTCCTCCTTGTTGTAGTCCACATGTGGCAAGGGCTCGCCGTGCTTGTAGTTGTAGGCAATGTCGGCGAAGTACTTGCGGCGTTTGCGGTACTCCTGGTCGGTAAATCCGGGATGATCGGCGTCCAGCTCGGAGCCATAGCTCAGAATCTGGTTGGCAAAGCGATCCAGATCACGGATACGCCGCGGGAACCAGGGCACGGCTGTGGCATTGTCCTTGTAGTCCCGGGAAATGATGTTGAAGTAGCTGCACTGCTCCTTCACGTCCTCGATGGCCTTGCCCAACGCCCCGGACTTGCCGTCGCACTCCACGAAGAACTCGTAGCCGGGAACACGAAGCGAGGAGCGGGATTCAATGTGCACCAGGTTGATGTCGTGCTTCTTGAAAATGGCCAGGATGTTGGCCAGAGCTCCGCTGGACAGCGACGAGTCCTTTGGGGAGAACAACAGGCAGGTGTTTCTCGCCTCCTGGATGTCCACACCCTCGGCTATGTAAGCCGAGTCCTCCATACGAGTGGGCTGCAAAATGGACAAAAAATAAATATTGTTTTCAGATGGAAAAATCCACTTGCATCATACGCCGCCTTATTTGATTGATGCTTCGGCTGACCCTAGCTGAACCCGAAAATCAGGCAATCCTCCCATCATAATAAACATTTAGCATTTATTTTCCACTTTAGTAATAATAGACTATTATACTTATGAGGGGTATACCCTATCACCCTATCGCCAGTGGGTATCGCCTTTAAAAGGTTAGTCAGGGCCAAAATGGGTAAATTATTTAACCAAAGCCACACAAGCCTCGGTGAACTGTAATCGAAGTACGTCTAATGAGGTATTTCAGCATCATTGAAATCGAATTTATTCATTGGGGTATAGGCCACATTGAAGGTGTAGGCCCGACCGCAATGACAATCAGAACATATTGCCAAGGGCTTGGCCTAGAACTTGGTTTTAAGTTTCTGCGAGAAGGTTACTAAGGTGCTTCTGAGAAATACTAGAGGTATAAGTTCTTGACTTTTAGACAAGCCATCAAAGAACCACTTTTATTCTTAAATTCTTTCTGATTTAGAATTCAATAATAAACAGGTACAATAATGATTTCTCAATACAAGTTTCCATTCTAGTTTCCTATAAATTTTTTATTTGCCATAAGAAACAGATTAAAAAGCTCCTTTGTCTTTGAGCTGCGGATTAACCCAATTTCACGACTTTAATACATAGATCCGCTTTCTCACTCTATTAATAAAAATTATATTCTTTTGTTTTCAATGATTTTTGCTGACGATGATTGGCCTGTCAAGGTTGGCAAAAGTTCAGTTCCAGATCACAGAGTATCAATTTAATTATTGTTATTATTTTGAATGGTTCACTTTCTATGCGCCGAGGACTTGTAGAGCAAACAAACCTTATCAAAGGAGACCTGTCGCTGGTACATTTTCACTTGAATATATTCTCACAGAATTAACAACTTTATTTCGAAGGCAAACACTCCGCTCAGCACACGACTTAAAACTGATTTAATTTCTCGGTTAATCACGCGCTTAAATAGACTTTTTTCCAGACCCCCAATCTATGGCAAAACGAAAACGAAAACCGATCTGAAACCAGTAAATAATAATGCGGGCAATCGGGCGAGTGAATGATCTTGGAATAGCATCCACATGGGGCTCCATCGTAGCACTAGCTCAGCGGCATCTTAGGGGTTATCGGTAGACGTAGTGCCCTGTCTCGATGGGCCTAAAATCCGAGTCCATCTCATTACACATGCCGCCGTCTAGCCGATCACATCTAAATATTGAAACCAAAAATACAGTAGGAACTCCATAGCTTCGCAGCTTAACTTTTCGACTATTTTTGTAACCCTTTAACATAGTCTTGTTTTTATTCTTCTAATATAAGTTAGATACGTTATAAACACCTTCTAAAATAAGCAAGTCATAGTGGAAATAATAATATTTTTTTTAGAATATATTTAAAATCAGGTTTGTAGATCAACTAAATCTATTTTTGCAAAAAACATTCCATTCCGATTGAAGGAAGCTCAACTGTATGCCCCGAAATACTATCAGTTTATTGGGCTCTGCTGGGGTCCAAATTAACAAAACATTATTTTTTGGCTAGTTTTGGGCGTTTTGTTTTTGCAAAAAATAAAATTGTATAATCTGAACTGTATTTTTTAAAAAGATCAGGTTCTAACAAAACGAGTTCAACGGCATTTCAGGGCAATTATTTCAGTAGCAAATAGCTCGAAGTGGGCCTGGCACGCGCTACTTTGTTGTTTTCTACTTACAGTCCACATTAGATTGTTGGGAATTGAATTAAATCGTATAAAGTATAAATCAGCTGGTTCAATCACCTGTCTTTGGCTGCATTTCAAGTTTTTCAACTACTCCACAATTAATTCTACACAAACAATCATGTGTCAATCATGTATCTTCCGATATGGAGTCTAGAAAGTGGCTATATTTTGTGTGGATTTTGTTTTCAAATGACTTGACTAAACACATAGTGTTTTATTGTTTGTGGAATGCATTTCAAGTTTTTTTTTTAATTTTTAAGTTGAAAGGTCAGCTCTTTTGGTTTATAGCATGCCAGCTGATAAAACCCAAACATAAGCTGATGTAATATTACAAAGACTTTACAAGAGTTTAAGAGACAAGAAGAGGTAGCACTTTTATGATAACATACACTGGGGAAAATAGGGGCTATTTTTAAAGAATTAAATTCCAACGATTTTAAAGCAGATTTTAAACATAATACCATGACTACATATATATTCTTTAAAAATATTTATTTAAATTATTCATATAAAAGTCGTACAAAAATATTTGTATAAATTGCGCATCGAGTAGTTCACTGGCCGGCAGATTAAACTGTCTGAATAGTGATTATTATGCTATATAGTTTACAAACACCATATAGGTATATGTTTTTAGAAAATAGTCGGTGGACGCCAGAGCGAGGTGAGCTTGGCGCGTTTCAGCTGCCTCTGGGGACTCGATTGCGGGCGCACGATCTTCACACTACAGCCCACAGGCAGGTTGGCCTACAAAACACAGAAATACAGATACAGATAGAATCGTATGAGATACAGATATTTAAGGCGAAACCTTCGGTGGCTAGCTTCAATTACACTCAAAGCTGGGTTACACTTTAACCCAGTTTCGGAAGAGTTCTTGGGCAGTCAGACTTACGGATTGCTCGGCCGTCACCCGGACGGGGTCCTTGTCGGGACAGATGACATAGGTTTCGGTGTCCTCCAGTTGACGCAACTCGGCTGGCGCGGAACCGGACTTGGGCTCGGAATCGAAGTCAATTTCGACTTTGGCGGGAGGAGGAGTGGGCTTGGCAGCTTTGAAAAAATCAAAACATTAACCTTTTTAATTAAAAAAGAAAAAATTCGTACTTACCTCTAACAAAAATATGGAATTTGCAGCTTAGGACAACACCATCGGTTGTGGTGGCCTCGTATGTAACCTGATGATCTCCCAGTTTAAACAGGGCACCAGGAAACTAAAAAAGAAATTAATAAACCATTCAACTTACAAATATTTCTTAAAACTTACATGAGACTTGTAGATCTTGAGGAGCTTGCCATTAAAGCGGGGCTCCTCCCAGATCACAGATCGCAGATTTTGATGCTCCTTCAATGTGACCTCGATCGATGGGGGACAGAAATTGGTGGTGTCCGAACCCAGGTCTATGCGAGAACTCTCCCGAAGCGGAGTCTGACTGACCAGCTTGGCAGATTGTTGAGGTTCTTTGGCGCTGAGACGGGGAAGGTCCAGTTTTCGGAGGGAACTGTGGGTGGAAAATTCGGGGAAAGGAGCTGGCTTGGGAGCCGGTTCTGAGAAATCAAACTTGGGAAAGGGTGCAGAACTCCGGGTGGGAAACGTGGAAAATGAGGAAAACGTAGACAGGGGAGCTGGTTCAGAGAGCGATGATCGTGGAAACTCCAGACGACCCGAAGAGAAGCTGAAAGGATTCGACACTGGGCGGGAAGCTGCCTTTATGGTGATGATTGTCTCACAACTAGCTGATAGCTTGGTCTTTGGATCCTGAACCCTGAAGCGGGCCTTGTGAATTCCGGCTGGGAGATGTGCTTCCAGCCTGCCAGCCCAAGTAGGGTGAGCCTGCAAATACCGTTTGTCCACATTGGTGGCCGGGCTCTGCAGAGTCACGTGCGCCTTTTTCTCACCAGCATGCAGAAGGATCACCACATTCTCTGGGCACTTAATGTAGGGTCTAGTCCTTTGAACTTGAGTTCGTACGGGTTCGAGATTCTGAAGCGACTGCGTTGGAGCCCAGGATAATCGATTGCCAATGAAAGTGTTGCCAAAGGGGTAAGGCTGGCAATTCAGATCCTCTCCAAAGGTCCAGCCACCAAACAACGAGCAGACGGTCATTCCGGATCCAGAGGAGAAAAATCCAGGATTGCAATGCAAGCTGCATATAGCACCTTGTTGGGAAGGTCCTTGAGTGCAACTGGCCGGAGAGATGACTCCATTTCGTGCTGGTTTCAAAGCACTGCAACCTCCATTAGTTTCAAAAGGCGACACATTTATAGCTAAAATTTAAAGTTAAGTCTTAGTTTTAAGAGAGTTTTAGATTTAAGACTTAAAAACTTGATACTTACCCACACATTTGGTTTCAGGACCTTCCCAGATTCCAGAAGCTCCACAGGTTCTCAGCTCTGGACCCTGGAGGACGTAGCCTGGATTACAAGTTATGCGGCAGCGGCTGTTGTAGAATTGCTTCTTCTTCTGGCGATACTTGTTGCACCTAGCCCGACTGTTCGGTGGAGCTTGGAACTCTGGGCAGAGATCCCTGGGCTGCAAAATGGGCACCTCAGGCAACTTTTCCAGTGAGGGTTTCGATTTTGGAAGAATGTTGAAGGAGGGGAACTTGGGTGGTTCAGCAGGATACTTAGGCAGCTCTGGGAAGGAGGGGAACTTGGGCTCCTTAGTGATCTCATTTGATATATCTGGATAGGTTGGCCACTCTGGCACCGAAGGCTTTGCGGGATTTTCTGGTTCCTTTGGCTTAACTGGCACTTCTGGTAGATCGAGGATGGTCGGGAACTCGCACCGGAAGCCACCAATTTCGTTGACACACTTGCCGGCCTGGCAGCTGTTTTTGTCGGAGGCACACTCGTCCACGTCCTGGCAGGTCCTTTGATCTTGACCCAGTTCGTAACCCGGCAGACACCTGCACTTGAAGGACCCTTCCCTGTTTTCGCAGCGATGGGAGCAGCCTCCGTTCTTCACCTGGCACTCGTCGATGTCCTCGCACTTGTCGTCTGATCCTAGGGTGAAGCCTGGTTCACAGTCAATGGGTTCACAGCCGGACGAGGTCCTCTTGCTGCCCGGAGGACAGCCCACCAAAGCAGGACGACAGCTGCGTCCATCTTCGTCGATATTGTAGCCCACAGGGCAGCCACACTCGAAGGAGCCCTCCTTGTTGATGCACTCATGGGTGCAGCCACCCGAGAGCAGGCCGGCGCACTCGTCCACATCCTGGCAGGACTTGCCGTCCTTGGACAGCTCATAGCCACGGTCACAGGCACAGGCATGGGTACCTAAAAGATTGATGCAGATGTCGCTACAGTTGCCGTAGTTCTGGGAACACTCATCGATGTCCGCGCAGCCGAACCCATCGGGGCTCAGTTCGTAGCCCGACTGGCAAGAGCAGGCGAAGCCCCCGGGCTGATTCAAGCAAAGCTGCGTGCACTGCCCATTGTTGTCGAGGCACTCGTCGATGTCCTGGCAGGTGCGCATGTCCGCGGACAGGACATAGCCCAGGGGACAGAGGCACTGGAAGCCACCGGGCAGATTCTGACAGAAATGGGAGCAGTTGCCATTCGCCAAAGAGCATTCATCAATGTCCAAGCAGGATGAGCGATCGAATGAGAGTGATTCTTGTGAGGATGTGGTGTTAGGTGATACCGTGTCAATGTGGTTGTCCAGGCCCAAAGCGTAGCCCGGCGGGCAGAGGCAGGTGTACGAACCATTAAGGTTCTCGCAAAGCAGGTCTTCCTCGCACGTGTGAACGCCCCTCGAGCACTCGTCGATGTCAAAGCAATAGCCACGCAAGCCGTCTAGCTTCAGGAGCTCATAGCCCGGAGCACAGACGCACCCATACGAACCTGGAAGATTGCGGCACACCTGCTGGCAGCCACCGTTCTTCACCTGGCACTCGTCAATGTCCAGACAGCTCTTGCCATCGGAGCTGAGGCGGAATCCTTCGCGGCAGGAGCAGGCTCCGCCACGGGCAGTCAGGCAGATCTGCTCGCAGCCGTTGTTGTTCACCTCGCAGCGATCCTCGGCCACGCAGGTGTACTCCTCGACCAGGTTGAGTCCCTCGGGGCACACACACTGATAGCCACCGGGCGTGTTCTTGCAGTGGTGGCTGCACAGGTGCGACTCCTCCGCGCACTCGTCGATGTCCAGGCAGCCCTGGTTGTCCTCAACGCTCCTGTAACCCCTCGGGCACTCGCAGACGAAGCTGGTATTATCCTCGCTGGATAGACAAGTGCCGGGAGCACACTTGTCGTGACCCTTTTGCAGGGAGCAAGCCGTCTCAGTGACGTCACACGAATGCTGATCGGCGCCGAGGTGATAGCCCTTGGGACACTTGCACTGGTAGCCGCCTTCCCGGACATCCTCGCACTCGTGGGCGCACCGGGTGCGGTTCAACTGGGGATTGTCTAGATCGGCACAGCCATCCAGGGTGCAGCTCAGTTGGTCGTCGAGGAGATGGAAGCCCTCGAGGCAGCTGCACCTGAAGGAGCCAATCGTGTTTTCGCACTTGTGCTGGCAGGACACATCCCCCTGGCACTCGTCGATGTCCAGACAGTCGCTACCATCGGGAGAGAGTTCAAAGCCTGGATTGCAGGTCGGCTTGGCAGGAGGCTTCTCCGACGTCTCTGCCTCTACGGGTACATCGTATACTTGTTCCTTGGGTTCTTCCTGTTTCTTTACTTCTTCCGTAGTTTCTTCCTCGACTGTTTTCGAGGATTCTTTGGCTTCGGATTGGGTCACCAGTGGCACCACACAACGATAGGACCCCGGCAGGTTTTCACAGCCAGACTCACAGTCCGATGACAGCTCAGGATTGGCACATTCATCAATGTCTGGATTTGGAATGGGAAGAAAATTATTCTGTCATAAAATTTAATCTCTTATAGAAACCCACCCACGCATGTTTTTCCGGTTGAAGAATCCACTTGATAGCCAGCTTGGCAGGCACATTCGAAGCCTCCTTGTAGGTTGTTGCAGATTTCCGAGCAGCCGCCATTCGATTCCTGGCACTCATCAATGTCTATATGAATGCACAAAATAATAATGTTATAATTGTGATTATTGTTTTATAATTATCATGACTTACCAAGACAGCTGGTATAGTCGTTGAGATCCAAGGTGTAACCCTCCCTGCAATCGCATTTGTAGACGGGTTCGTTCTCATCTGGATAGAGCAACTTTTTGCAGATTTGGGCACAACCGGCATTGTCCTGGTCACAGTCATGACCCAACAAAGTGGGTTCGTAGGGATCCTTGCTGGGTTTTTCATCCACTTTTTGAGTGGTTGTTTCCGGAACTGGTTCTTGTGGCTCAACAGGTTCGGCTTCAACCTCTGATTCCTGGTGAGTAACGACTTCAGTCTCCACCGCTACTTCAACTTTGGGCTTGAGAACCTCAGCTTCAAAGGCAGATCGACTTTCCACTTTCTCTTGAGCAGCGGCAGGTTCGATCCCCTCGTCGATACTGCTTTCATTGATTTGGATCACAATTTCAGGCTCAGGCTTCAGGTTGCTGGCAACTGCAGGCTGGGGTTGGCCTCCAGATGAGGAGCTAGTCTCATCCTTGACAGGTGGTGGTGGCGGCGGTGGAGGCTCATTCTCGTTGAAGTCCGCCAACGCCTCATCCTCATCGTCCTCAGCTTCGTTGTCCTCGTTATTGTCCACGGTCTCGTACTCGTCGAACTCGCCATCGAAATCGCCGTCACCGTCGCCCTCGCCATCGGGATAGTCCACCAGGGGCAGGCAGGTGGGTATGTTGCCCACCCAGTTCTGGTTGGAACAGAACATCATTGTGGCCTCAACCTGCTCGAACTCGTAGTTTGGATTGCAGGAAAAGTAGGCCACCAAGAAGACCTTCTCGCCCTTGCGGCGCCTGTCGAAGCTGGTCACGCGTCCGTGACTGATCTGTGGGGGCATGACCTTGGCCTCCACGCAGCTCATGTCAAGGGAGGCGACCAGATTAGTGGGCACATTTTTCTCCTCGGGAATCTCCAGAATACGCCTTCGGCGCTCATTTCGCGGAATACCTGAAATAATAAAAAAATTCTGATGTATTTTGAAGCTGCCTAAAAGTATGCAAGATACTCTCTTAATATTGTTTATTAAACCCTATAACTAAAACTTGTAATCTAACTAAACACAATATTATATACATCCCAGATCATTTCTTCAAATATTATTAAGACCCCAAATATATAAGAAAACAAACAAATAAATGGTTTAACCTAGGACTGTCTTCTTTTTGAGGATTTTAGGGCCTTCACCATTAAATAAATATCTTTTTAAATTAAAACCTAAGTATGTTTTACTGTCAGAGCCCCTACAAACTAATCCTAAGTGACCATAAAACTATTCGTCGGCTAATACCGCCAACAGCTGTTGGCACTCTCCTTGTCTGACATAAAAAGAGGAAAATCACTCAAAAACTATACAAGCTACTTAGAGAGAAATCCATAAAAGAAAATGAATCAATCAGTTGAATCTTTGCCAAAAGACTTTTCATTGCCAGCTAGCTGCTCCCTCGTGTCTTCTCAGATATGTATTTCATTTTTCATTTTTGGATTTTCTTAGATTGATTTACGATCGGTTTTTACGATTCTTGCGTTAAACGCCGGCCGGTAATTTGGTGATCCATATTTTTTCGGTTGAATGGAAGACCCATGCGAGTCCTGACTCATCTATACCGCAAGATTTTTTATTTTTGTGACACATGTCATAAAACGATATATAGATGGTTCATCAGCTTTGAGGGATAGTGGTTTTTATGATAGTATTTTGGGGTTATTACGGTCACTGATTCAACGCTTCATGGGAAAATATGTAAAATAAATTATGTTCTTAGATTTCAATGCAGATTAATAAAGAATCGATCTACGATTCGATTCCTTAAGAATCGGATGATTATTGCCAAAGTAATAGCAATCGCGATGGGCCCTATATTGGCTCCATGTACTTTTTCAGATTTTTGAAGGGGACCCTCCACAAAATTTGACGAAAAATCTAAATATTATAATGTTCTTAGATTTTAACGCAGATTTATAAAGAATCGATCTACGAATCGTTTAAGGTATTCCCCTCAAGAATCGGATGATTATAGCCAAAGTTATAGCCATCGCGATGGGCCCTATATTGGCTCCATGTACTTTTTCAGATTTTTGAAGGGGACCCTCCACAAAATTTGACAAAAAATCTAAAAAATATTATGTTCTTGGATTTTAACGCAGATTTATAAAGAATCGATTTACGAATCGTTTAAGGTATTCCCCTCAAGAATCGGATGATTATTGCCAAAGTTATAGCCATCGCTATGGGCCCTATATTGGGTCCATGTACTTTTTCGGATTTTTGAAGGGGACCCTCCACAAAATTTGACAAAAAATCTAAATATTATAATGTTCTTAGATTTTAACGCAGATTTATGAAGAATCGATCTACGAATCGTTTAAGGTATTCCCCTCAAAAATCGGATGATTATTACCAAAGTTGTAGCCATCGCTATGGGCCCTATATTAGCTCCATGTACTTTCCCGGATTTTTGAAGGGGACCCTCCACAAAATTTGACGAAAAATCTAAAAATTATAATGTTCTTAGATTTTAACGCAGATTTATAAAGAATCGATCTACGAATCGTTTAAGGTATTCCCCGCATGAATCGGATGATTATAGCCAAAGTTATAGCCATCGCGATGGGCCCTATATTGGCTGATGTACTTTTTCGGATTTTTGAGGGGACCCTCCACAAAATTTGACAAAAAATCTAAAAATTATAATGTTCTTGGATTTTAACGCAGATTTATAAAGAATCGATCTACGAATCGTTTAAGGTATTCCCCTCAAGAATCGGATGATTATAGCCAAAGTTATAGCCATCGCGATGGGCCCTATATTGGCTCCATGTACTTTTTCAGATTTTTGAAGGGGACCCACAAAATTTGACAAAAAATCTAAAAAATATTATGTTCTTTGATTTTAACGCAGATTTATAAAGAATCGATTTACGAATCGTTTAAGGTATTCCCCTCAAGAATCGGATGATTATAGCCAAAGTTATAGCCATCGCGATGGGCCCTATATTGGCTCCATGTACTTTTTCAGATTTTTGAAGGGGACCCACAAAATTTGACAAAAAATCTAAAAAATATTATGTTCTTGGATTTTAACGCAGATTTATAAAGAATCGATTTACGAATCGTTTAAGGTATTCCCCTCAAGAATCGGATGATTATTGCCAAAGTTATAGCCATCGCTATGGGCCCTATATTGGGTCCATGTACTTTTTCGGATTTTTGAAGGGGACCCTCCACAAAATTTGACAAAAAATCTAAAAATTATAATGTTCTTAGATTTTAACGCAGATTTATGAAGAATCGATCTACGAATCGTTTAAGGTATTCCCCTCAAGAATCGGATGATTATTGCCAAAGTTATAGCCATCGCTATGGGCCCTATATTGGCTCCATGTACTTTTCCGGATTTTTGAAGGGGATCCTCCACAAAATTTGACAAAAAATCTAAAAATTATAATGTTCTTAGATTTTAACGCAGATTTATGAAGAATCGATCTACGAATCGTTTAAGGTATTCCCCTCAAGAATCGGATGATTATTGCCAAAGTTATAGCCATCGCTATGGGCCCTATATTGGCTCCATGTACTTTTCCGGATTTTTGAAGGGGATCCTCCACAAAATTTGACAAAAAATCTAAAAATTATAATGTTCTTAGATTTTAACGCAGATTTATGAAGAATCGATCTACGAATCGTTTAAGGTATTCCCCTCAAGAATCGGATGATTATTGCCAAAGTTATAGCCATCGCTATGGGCCCTATATTGGCTCCATGTACTTTTCCGGATTTTTGAAGGGGACCCTCCACAAAATTTGACAAAAAATCTAAAAATTATAATGTTCTTAGATTTTAACGCAGATTTATGAAGAATCGATCTACGAATCGTTTAAGGTATTCCCCGCATGAATCGGATGATTATAGCCAAAGTTATAGCCATCGCTATGGGCCCTATATTAGCTCCATGTACTTTTCCGGATTTTTGAAGGGGACCCTCCACAAAATTTGACAAAAAATCTAAAAATTATAATGTTCTTAGATTTTAACGCAGATTTATGAAGAATCGATCTACGAATCGTTTAAGGTATTCCCCGCATGAATCGGATGATTATTGCCAAAGTTATAGCCATCGCAATGGGCCCTATATTGGGTCCATGTACTTTTTCGGATTTTTGAAGGGACCCTCCACAAAATTTGACAAAAAATCTAAAAATTATAATGTTCTTAGATTTTAACGCAAATTTATGAAGAATCGATCTACGAATCGTTTAAGGTATTCCCCTTAAGAATCGGATGATTATTGCCAAAGTTATAGCCATCGCTATGGACCCTAACAAAGATATAGTTATTGCTGGACGGGATGGTAACTTTTTGTAAAAGTCCCATGATATGAGAGAAAAATATCTCTTTAAAATCCACAATTGCTCATAGTCTTTTATAATCCAAAATTTCGGACTAAAAGTGTCCCATAAATTTAGAGTCCCTTCCGTTTGGAAAATATAGAACCATAGATGTATTCGGAACCTTCCGCCCACACTTACCTGAAACAAATGCAACGCATGTCAGAGCGCATAAAACATATTTCGCCGCCCACAACATTCTGCAGTCCTTATAGCGAAGATTCACACCTTCCACTCACTCTTCGGCTGACTTCTTTGGTTAAAATTTTATAAATAAGATGACACATTAATAAAATTTCACGTTTTTCGTTTCGTTAGTTGGTTTTAAGCATATTTATGGGACAAGAGGTGTATATGTAAAGATATATGGAGGAGCATTAAGATTAAGGCGGCTTTATAAATAGCACATGTTCAACACTTTTTACTTATATATTTATAGGCATAAGTTGGAACTAAAGGGACAGTTTCACACAAAATCAAAGCACTTTTAACAATTGCAATTCACAAGATGAGGATAAAGTCTTTTGTTAAAATTTTGAGTCGTAAAATATCATTCTTTTATACATATGTATATCTACTAATATATATTTCACACAATAAGGAGGCAAAAAATTTGAATACTTTTCAGTTTTAAAGAACGCACCGTTTCCGACGAAGGCCAAAGAAAGACTGAGGAGCCAAAGAGATTCCAACTTTTCTCGAAGGGAAACTCACAGATTTTCCGTTCCTCCAAAAGATATATATACTAAAAGTTTATAGGCATATCTATAAATACGGTGCTGATATTTCATTGCTATCATAAAGCAAATTAGTGCGAGAGCGCACAAGTGTCACCATCCGGAGGGGAACTATTTTTACCTTCGGGTATTATCATTAGCATCGGCCCAAGAGAATTATTGATGAGGCAGTGAGTTCTAGTTTATTGTTGCTGCTTTTGCATTGAACTTGATCGCCATGATCCTTCAGCAGCTGTCAAAGATGCTTGTCTCGGAAATTATTAATATTAGTTGGCATTCCATTACATAAATAATAAAAAATAAAACGCTCAATCATCCCGAATCAAATGCGCCGCTGCTGCAAGCGCTCGCCAAATTGTAAATTGTTTTTAATTAAACAAAATTAAATACAATACGAGACTAAGCGTAGGTGTGTTACTACACTCGCCGCCGCACTCTTCGACTTATTTGGCCAGTCGAACAAACATGTTATTCTATATATTTCGTGTATATATAGAATCTATATAGTTAAGTAGCTCACCCAACAGCGTAGAAGTACCCGTTCCCATATGGGCAAAGCGGGAACCCCGATCTCCGATCTCCCATCTCTCATCTCCGCTTCCGATGTAGAGCCCTGGTTCTGACCATTGTCCGATTAGACCTCGGCGTTTTATAGCTTACTATTTGATTGACAAATTGGTTTTTGGTCCAAAACAACTGAAAGTGTTTTAAGGCTACACATAATTGAGGCAGTCGATTGAGTCGCGGATTGACAGACAATTGCGGCGAATTTAGTCGCTTTTCAGGGGAGTGCTAAAATAAATGGATGTATTTAGATGTTTTTCACAAATTAATGATTTTGATTTGCCTAATTACCACTTGAAAATGAACATTCATCGAATTCCACATCTATAGATGAGTGGATTTTAATTAATTTATTGAGGGGGCTTAAAAGTATTTTGTGTTTTCAAGAATTTAATAATTATATAGAGAAAATAATAAATAAAAAATTATATTTGTTTAATTTTCTATTTAAAGATAATTAATTTTTTCCTAATCACAAAAATAGCTTTGCAATTTGCGCGTCTATAACCGCATGCCAATCGCTGACGCGTGTAAAGACGCCCTCTAGCCGCTAGCGCGTTTAAAAACGCTAGCAAATCGCTTCCATGCTTTTTCCACCAAATTGTGGGCGTGCGAATTCGTTCAAAGCTTACTTTGTATGGTCAGCTGATATATATACAATAATTATATACAATTTGTTTACAAATCTAGATTAGTTTTTCCAGAAGTATTTTCAGGGCGACTTCTATGCGTTTCCAGTGCGACACTGGGCCTTCCTGTGTAGGTTTATGCTCAAAGTTGTCGTTTAGACGCAGTTGTCATTGTGTTTGTTGTTGTTTTGGTCCATTTACATTTCAACTTAACCTTAGTTGGCATTTGCGGAAATGGCTCAAGGGCGTGGTATGCACAAATACGTATTCTGGCCAAGAGATATACTATATAGTACAAGTGTATTATCTCGTCTGGTCAGCCACTCTGGCTGACTTTTGTTTTTGTGTCGTCTGGCCAGAGCGGATTTATGTTGACATTTTCCGAGGCATTGTCTCTCGGTTTCGGCCACATCCGCCGGCTGTGGAGGGGGAAAAATAGATGCCACCACCAAATAAGACAGCCTGGTCTTAATTATTAATAAATTAAACTTTTATTTTATTTAACTAAACAAATGTTGCTTGTTAATTACAAAAAGAGTCCAATTCTAGTCTTACGATTAACTCAGACCTAGGTCTGATCGTGTGCATTAATTTTATGTCTCTGGTATTTCGAATAATTGCTCCAACAGAAAAGAAACTAAAAACAAAACACTGAAGTACGCTCTCATCCTAATTCCTGGGTTAGTTCTTGATGCTTAGATACGAGGGACCCACTTGGCGGACGTAGACGCTCCTCTCGTTGGTCAGGTACGGCGGACAGCGGACTGTGAGGATGCCGTCCGAGGACAGCTCCGACCGCACGTCGTTGGGATAGTAGCCGCGTGGCAGGACAAACCGCTTCACGATGTGGCGCCCCACGAAGGTGTCTCCATCGCGGCGCTTCTCGTGCTTCGCCTCCACCACCACCGTGTCGCCCGTGGTCTTCACGGTGATCTCGTACGGCTTGAACAGGTGCACGTCCACATTGGCCTCGAATCCGTCCTTGCCGACGATCACCCGGCTGAGATCCGGGGCAGATCCCACTCGCGACAGCGATCGCTTCCAGTAGGGCAGATCCCAGTCGGCCAAGTCCCAGTCGCGCCACAAGCGACGGCGGTAATCCCAGTAATCCCAATCGTTCGTGGTGTTTGATGCCGGCACCAGAGCCATTTCTATGCTTCAGTTAGTTAATCCTTTAGTTCCTCGAACAGCAGCGCCTTTCGGTGTTTTCCGAGTACTAGTCACTTTTCGCGATCTCTTGAAGACGTCCACTCGCGTTTTCTGCTCTGAGCAAATTAAACTTGCCACCGACAGTAGCTCACACTTTTATAGCTAAACGCTGCCCCGGGTGGGCTCAGAGTCGGTTCAGACTCAGTTCTGGTCTAGAACCAATGACAATTGTGACGTAGTAGGTACACGGGGAATAAAAGTGGAAAGTCTGGGGGTTAGCCTTACTTCTATATGGGTTAAGATGATTTCTACACTGGATATCAAACTTAAGATTAATTTTAAGCTCCTTTAAGAATCTATTAATATAGTAAGTAGTAACTATACTAGAACTACCTATAGTTTATCTAGTTATTTGATGCATTTTTTCTAAGTGTATTGGTAGTTACAGCTGGGCGATGTTTCCGATTGTTTATCTTGCGGCATTTGTTGGCTGTTTTGTCACCGAAAGGGGGTTGGCTGATGCTGTGGGCTGGAATTCTCTCCTAACCCTCAATGGAAGTGCTACGATCTGAATGATTTCCTTGAGGCGCTCGAAAACATAATGCTGGGTGGGTTAAAATGTAATTAGAATGACTTCCGCAGGGTGAGGAAATATACTTTTTTTAAAATCTAAAGAAATATAAAGAATGCATGCCAAAACTAGATAAATTTCTCTTTCCTTTTCGAGTCCTAAATTGGCTTGAAGCGTGCACTTTCACTTTCTTCTTCACTTCCGCAATTTTCGAAATTGACCTTCCTAGTTTGGCCAAGTCGGACTTCCTCGCTCTCTGGCTGCTTTTTGAAGCCAAACCATTCTCCCATATCGCCAACGCCTTAAAATTAGAAAAAAACACACAGCTTGCCAAAAATTCAAGCTGAAAAGTCAAAAAGTTTGAGCTTCAGCATTTTCAACTTAATTACGCAGCATTTCCGCTCGCTTAGATACAAATGTATCTGTGTCTCTAAATTGAAAAGCAAAATCCAAACAACAAATACTAAAAGCAAAATCCAAATAAAAACAGAGACATTTCTTTGCTACGGAAATCCGAACGGCGCATAGTTCTTTTCACTTTTTGACCAAATTTGGTTCCAGATACAAATCCGGCGACGAGCATGAGATACAGATACTCGTACATAAAGGGGTATTGAACCTCCCCGAGCGGTTGTCATGACAAAAGGGCAATTTGTGAAAATTTTGACGATTTTGCAGTGCAGATTAGTGAGAATGTCGCGACATGAACATCGACATCGGCATAGGCATCGAGCATTTATGGGCCTGACCTGCCCACCCTGCCACCATATCCCACCTCGCACATACGAATATATCCGTATTTGTGCGAAACCCGTGCCCATAACGAAACACAATCATCATCGATGGGGTCTGGGGCTGGCCCACCCCTATCGTAATTGTAATTTTCTGTTCCAGCCGTAGCTGCGTGTATTTTATAATAATTATAACAAGCTTCGCAGCAATTTAGATGCCATTTAAGCTTGTATTTGTATAAAGTCATTTGCCATCGAATCAGCCCGATGGGAAAACAGCACCGTTCGCACAACTAGTTCCTGATGTCTTACAATAAATTATAGTGCCTGCTTTCAGCACTCTATTACCGATTAAAAAAATAATCATCGAGGGATATAAATTATACCAAGGCTATATATGCGTTGACACCTCTTTAAAGGCTTTGGGGATTATCGGAAAAAATTAAAACTATATTTAAATGATTAGCTTGAGGACAAAAGTGAATCATGCAGTGCAGTGTGGCTGGCTGACTTTAAAGTGCCGCAGCTGGCAGAGCGACAATACACTCGCAATTAAATCTAAACAAAGCAATCTACTAATTTGTTTCATTTTATGGCAAAATCGAATGAAAATCAGAAACAATTCCCCCCGGGGGTCACCGAGTAGGCAGAGTGTGTGCACAACTTTCTTTGATGGGTGTGGGAGACATTATCTAAGAGATGACTTTCTATAATCGTATATCTCATTAGCATACCAGGTGCGGGAATGGGTACTGGGGAATTCGGGATGCGGGTTGCGGATGGCGGATGGCGGGAATTCTGATCCCCCTACCCGGGCAGCTGCCCCTTGGGATGCCGCCGCCCCCTCGGTTGTTTATGGCCACAAATGTTACGTTAGCTTGCCACAACACGGAAAAGAAAATTTGTCATTCGGGGGAATGGCAGAGAGCCAAGAACTCACCTCAAAAAAACAGACTGGACCATTTGTTTGATTAGCGCAACAGTTTGTTCTGTTCGGTTGTCTTCTGGGACTTTATTGCTACCGACACCTCCGCAATAAAATCCAAATCTAAATCTGAATCTAAATCATAATTTATATTTTCACGAAAAAACACATCTTTTGAAATGCTCCTGGCCTAAGACCTTTGGAAGTGCGTGGGCCCTAATGGGTCAAATGTTCTCCAAGAAATATGTTTACATTCTACTAACCGAAACCCCATAAAAATTAACAACATATGCCAACGGATTAGGCAAGCGAACAACAACTATATCTCGCAACTGACTAAAAGTATGCTATAAAATTTTCTTACTTTTACTGCATAGGGAAACGTGACGTATGCGTAATATGCGAGAATACCTGTAGTTACCTGAGGAAATCGATAGGAGAGTTCCGTTCTTGTGGAAAATTAAGTTGCCGGCAGTGGAGTCGAGTGTAAAAGTAAATGGCCGGCCAGACACCAAAACAAGTTCACCCGCAAAAGGGCAACAAGCAGGTGCAAGTGACCTGGCCAACATGCCACAGTGCCTCTGGGGCACACTGCCTCTTAGCCACTCTGCCTCTTGGCCACTGTGCCACTGCAATGCGACGCCGCGTTGCCAGCTGAAGGGAGACGGCGAAACGAAAGCAAAAGTTCAAGTCGAAGACAGGACAGCGAGGAGCCAGCAGAAACTTAAAACTGTAATTGGCCATGCGAAGTGAACACTGCAGGTTCCTGGCCAGAAAGAATGAGCCCCCAAAAGGCAGCCACAATAATAGTTGCCACAACAGCACCAACAAACTGGCAAACTTTTCACAAATAAAGCTTTAAAAAAAACTATGAAAAAAATAGGGAAAATTCGAACTGAAAATACTCTATGAAAAACACAACATTTTATACTATATTCTGGGCAAAAATTACTTTTAAACAAGATACCAATCACCTAGAGATTAACAATAAAATAAAACTGAAAACCAATCAGGTGAAAAATTCATTTTCACTAAAAGTCCCCCGCTTACCCACTGAGTGGAAAAATATAATATATTTATGAGCCAGCAAACAAAATAATAAATGTCAATCAGGAAACATGAAACATATCTGGGAATTACACCCCACAGATTCAATGAATTCATTATTGCATGTTTGGTAAGCTGACCTAATTAAAAATGCCTTTTAATATATAATTTATACTTATAATGAAAATATTTTAAAGGAAAAGCTATTATAGAGCGATTCATTTTCTTTTAGATAGCTATCGTACCCGAGCTCAACCTTCAACAAAATCCAGAACTGCAACTACATTTCCTAACTTGGCCATTATGCCCGACAGTCACGCCCACCGAAGGCTCGCTAGTTCTGCACTTGTTTGCATACGAATGAAAGATTTATTTATAGCAGTGTAGGAAGGACACAAAGGGGGTAATTCAGAGGCGTAACTGGCAGGGGGTTCTGGGCTCTCATATGGGGCATTTGGGCCAAACAAACAACGCTTGGCCCGGCCTATTATTCTATTTTTGTTTTGTGCTATTGAACCCGATAGACGTGAGTCGGCTAAACAATGGCAAACATCGAAATGGAAAGCGGACAGTGGACAGAGGGCTCATTTCCTTCAAGTGTAATGCATTAAAAATTCCAAGACTAACTTTATGACGACACATCCTTGAGGAAGATGTGCGGGGCTCAGCTTGAGGACGTTTACTATCGCACACACTGGGTGGCCGAGTGGCCTTATGAATCACCAAAAGGTCAAATTTTAATATACAAAAGCAAAAACCCGCATACTTGCACTTGAAAATTTTGTAAATGCTTTGGACAGTTTGGAGTGTCGGCTTTTTGCGCCAAGACAGTAAAATTAAAACAAGTGACAAGGACGCACCAAACAGCCTTACTTGTCTCTCTGTTAAGGCCACAATCGAGGAGTTGGCTCACAGAGGGAGCCTTCAAAAAATCGCCCATCAAATGTCCCTTAAAATCAAACACATTTTCATTTGTAATAATTATATGTCTATATTTATTTATTGAATCTCAAGTTGAATACGATTTTAGTTGAAATTTTTGTATTTGAATGATATGCGTCGAGTGTTTTGCGTTTTCTTCGTATAAAGTATGCAGTTGCGAGAGGTTCTATTTTGTCAATGGTTTGTGTCTCCGAGGAACATCTAAATTACTTTGAATATTACTTTTGATTAGATGAATGAAGCCATCACTATGGGCTACGCCTTAAAAATGTAGTTAAAAGAGGGTGTGTGGGTTTTAAGAGCTACTGGCAAAACGTCGTTAGTTAAAAACTACACCTAAGTAATTTTCATTAACATTTTCATTGCTGTCGTTTATATTCTTAAGATTTGTAGAGCTCTTGAGTTTTACGTTTTATCCGCGAGATATGATTTGCTGATCGTTCGAGTAAAGCTATGAGTTTAAAATTGTAGTTATGTCTTGCGATATATATAGATACATTTTCGTATTTTTTAATGTTGGATCTAAACTCTGAAAAGTGCAAACAGTGTGGGTTACACATATAATTTATATTCTCGTATATATATATAAAATTTTCGCTTTTCTGGCTAAACTTGTTTCTTGATTAGTTGTAAATACATTTTTTGAAATATTTCCTTGCATTTTCATTTTGGTTTTTGTGGTTTTGGGGTTTTGTTTCAACATTTAGAATACATTTAGAACACTCAAATATTTTGTTGAGGAGAATATCTGACTACAAAACTATAAATATATATATTTAATCTTTTACAAATGTGTTCCGGCATTCTAGATTCAAGCCCCAACAAACTTTTCCTTCTACATTTTCCGGCTAAAAAATGCGCTTTACTTTTCCGTTTTCATTTCTGTTTTTCCTGTTTTGCTCTTTCACTAATTTAAAATTGGGACCAAGGTCTTCTGTGTGTTTGTCCTTAGCCGTAGCTCTGCTATTGACTTGTTTACATTCGTCCCCCCGAAAAAAGGAAATTGAAAACATGTTTCACTTTTCATAGGGCCCTTCCCTTTGCCCACCCCTTCTTCATTTGGCCCAAAACACTTGCCGACATTGTGGAAAAGTTTTCCCAGCTTTAGTGCAGCATTTTTCAGTTAGCCGGGCTTTTTGGTAGAGGAATATAGTACGGTATAAAACAAAAAACATTTCTCTGTTTGTGTGAAAATGAAACATTGCCATTGCAAAGGTATTAGTGTCTATCTGTGTGTGTTTGGGTATCTGTGTGTGGGTGTGGGGGTGTCCAGAAGACCTATTAAATTAGCCCGCAATCTATTTGGCTTAAAACAGCTAACAGCTTGTATAAAATGTTTGGGAATCTCAAGCTGAACAAAAACCTTCAATCGGTATAAAAATTAGACCAGTTTTCACTTAAATTTTAATTTTAACTCAACTTAATCTTATAGTATGTGTTTATAAAAGTTTCCCTGAACCAACTTTAATTATTCTGTTTAATATAACGAAAACAACAAAATGTTTTAGTTCAGCTTCAGCTTCCACTAACTTTTGATTTCCTCAATTCGTATTCCCAGTATTAATATAATATTCATATATAAGTTATATCTTTTGCTTGGTATCAAAAAATTGTATAAAAAATGTTTGCTTAACAAATTCTTGGATTCTTTTTATACATTTTATTCAAACTTTTGTATAAATCTGGCTTTAAAAATTGTGTGTGTCTGGTTTTTGCAAAAATTTTCGGTGTTGCTTTAATAGTATTGTTTTTGGTTTATTTTCTATATTTATGTTTTATATACGTACGATTCGTATAGTTTTTGGAATAAATGGTTTTTATTTTGTTTGCTTTAAGCTTCAAATTGCTTTTGGCCTGTAGTTTTTTGCATTTTTTCAATTGGTGGCTAGGAAGTGTTTGCACTGGGGTGAGCTTTTCAATGGAGTTTTAAAATGATAGTTCTTTTGGCAGTTTTAGTAAAATAATATATAGTTTTTTCAATAAAAATTCTAGTCGAGAGAGACTAAAATCGAGAGTTTCTCAAAAGAAAGCTTTAAAATACTCTCCACTTTATTACAAATTATTTCAGGAACATTCTTTAAAATCAAATCCATGGAGTTTAGTTATTGAAGTTTATTAACAATCTTATTTATTATAATAAATAAAAAGACAAGGATTTGAAGTATTTTTGTTTTAAATAATATTATTCAATAGATTTATTTTAACTCACCCCAGTGCAATTCAAAGTCCTAAGCCCTTTAAAAGCCGTCTTCGTAAATTCTTATATTTCCAAGCCTACCTGACACTGGCACTTTTCCCCAGCGAACCCCCTTCCATTAAATGGCGGAAAACCCCAGCTGAATCACTCGCCAAACAAAGAAAACCCAAACAAACCCAACGGCCCACCTACTCAGCATGTATCGGAGTCGGGATGAAGAGAGTGTGTGACTAGTAGCCGATCCTGCCCAGACGCGTGACTGGCAGCGATGTGGGCTCCGAGCTGGGCAGCTCCCCGCACCGCTGCAGCCAGCTCCAGGCCTGGCCGCACACAACCCCGACTCCGGCCAACATTCAGAAGCAGTTGCTCCGCCGCTTTGTGGTCGCAGTGTCCGAGCTGGCGGCCGTCTCCGACAGGACTCCACCCACCACCGCACTGGTGGCCGTGGAGCTAAGCGTAGAGGTCCGGGCGGACATAGCTGCCGGGAGCAGCCGGGCCGAGTTCTATGTCTTCTTCAGCTGCTGGCCCACGCCGCCCTTGGGGGTCCGGGACTTCTTCACCAGAAAGCAGGTGAGGAACTCGATCGGCGAGGGTATCTTCTGGAGGCTCTCCTCGGAGCTGGAACTCGACTTGTGGCTCTCGGAGCGGATGTTGCTGCACTTGACCCGTCCACTGGCTCCGGGTCCGGTCTCCAGGGCGTGTCGGTAGTAGTTCTTGCAGCACTTCTTGGACAAATTGTACATCCGGACAGTGCGGTCGATGTTCTCGTCGTCCTCCTCCTCGGCGGCCTTCAGGTTTAGGCCCAGGCCACCGACTCCGACATCGTGCGAATTGGAATTGACCATGCCCAGGCCCTTCCTGGCAGTGGCAGTGGCGGCTGTGTTCGGGGCCTGGCCATCGGGCTTTGATTGATTCTCCTGGCCTGGTCTGACCTGGTGGTGGTCAGGCTGCTGGGGGAGCTCCTGCAGCTGCTGCTCCTGCGGCAGATGCTCCTCGGGCTGCTCCTCTTCGAGATTGTTCTCAGAGTCGTCGTAGAACTTGTAGCTGCGATACCGGTTGTGCCTGCCGGTGCCCGCCTGGGACCAATCGCGGCCCGATCCTGTCCAGTCTGTGCTGGCTGGCAGGGACAACTGGATGGTGGGGGTCCTGTAGTACTGGCGGTGCGGATGGAAGCCCAGCCCAAAGTCGTCCATGTAGGACTGCGAGTTAATGTTGTCCAGCTCGTCAGCGACGCTGAGGAGGAAGGGAAGCGTCGACATGGTGGCGGTTACCTCGTTTCTGAGCCTTCTCAGCTTGTTCCCCTCGCTCTTGCTCCACTCCACTCCGCTCGCGGCGCCCCGCAGAAAAATATAGGTATCTGTGCTAGGACTCTGGATAAGAAACTTCTGCCTTCGACCACACTTTCCACTTTCTCCTGTGCTTTCTCTTTGAAGAACTGCACTTGTTTGCTGATTTACTTTTCTCTATTTGGCTACTTTTATTTATTTTCTCTATTTATTTTCCCCCTTTTTTGGTTGCAAATTTTTCAATTCTAGTGGGAACTCTGCACTCCGGCCAACACGACTGCACGGACTCGAAACTGAAACAGAACTGAAGGAGAATGCAATTCCAGTCAACACACGACGTCGCATTCGAGTTCATCACGACGACGATGATGATGATTAAACGGTGAAAACTCCTTCGTGAGTGAGAGAACCTTTCTCTCGGAGATGGGGAAAACCTTCTCGCACGCTCCAGCGCTCTCTCTCGTGTCTCTGTTTTGGTCACGCGCTCAGACAAGCCCGATGCAGTCACTGGATTTGGGTTTATGTTTTGATTTCGGCGCTGCAACACGGCGTATGCGTGATATTTTTGTTAGGCGCCGAACGGCAAGTGGCAAGGGATTTTTCCCGTTCGCGCCTTATTGTCATTAGCGTTTTTGAACACGCTCGCCTTCTTTTTTGGCCTCCAGCTGCAAGACTCATTCCTAACAAGCATCGTCCCTGGACTGCTGCGCGGCAACTGCAACGTCGAAGGACACCGAAACCGGGCAGGAGGTGTGGGTGCAGGGCTGGGCGTGTTGGGTGGTGTCAAAGTGGGTGGCAGATGCCCTGCGGCCCTTACAGCCCGAAGTGGGCGCATCTGCGAGAGCAGGATGGCGAGGTGGCGAAATCTTAGTGCGCAATAATTCATTTGTTGGCATTACTTTGAGCTCCGAAGGCTGCGTGTTTCGAAATTGCCAGCTAAATCAATTCAATTTCAACTCGTTAGGACTCAGATAGAGGAAGCAACGGAAAAGTCTGGCGGATCTAAAGATTTAGGGCACAAGGATATTTCTTAAATAATGGCATTCAACTGGCTTTACTTTCTAGATTTAAATAAATTACCAAATTAACCATTTTTCGAATTTTTCATTTAAAAATAAAATATTTGGGGATTCCACGATAATGAAGATTTTTATGCACTTTTTTAGAAATATTTTACCTATTCGGCAAGCGATTCAGAAACTGACTACCATTTATGATTCAGAGCTCTAAGCCCCGTCGATCTGCATTAAAATAACGCAAAAATTTAACAAACTAATTTTTACCCATTTTTTGGCCAAAATCCGGATGGTACCTCTTCGAAAAATGGGAAACATTTTTTGTTAACAGCTTTTGATTGCGATTGATTCTACTCGAAGTTCTAAGACCGGGAAGGTATAGCATTTTGCAATCTGCTTATTTTTGGCCAAGTTATACAAATTTTTGGACTAAAAAAATTGGGAAAACGGACCAATGTTTTTGCTATTTTTTATTTGGTTTTAAATGAAAAACTGAATACTATTTAAAATTTTGAGCTCTACCATTTTTGAAGAAGAGCTTCAGTTCACCCCGACCTGCAACAAAATATCGGAAAAATGAATGAAACTAATTTGACCTCATCGAGTCGAGTTATAGGTAAAATTCCTTAAAATATCAAGCATACGCCATGATGTACATTTGCAAAATTTTCAGAAAAATGTTTAGCCATTTCATATTTTAATAATAAAAGATTATGAGAAGATTTTTATTTTAGAAGCCATTTTTATTGATTCATTTTTTAGAAGCAAACCTAAAATTCATCATAAACCTCTCAAAATGTACTTCCGTGTGTGAGGATAATCCAACAGACCTGCCATATTCATGAGCACAATCAACCCGAAAGAAGGCGAGAGATGAAATGGAAAGCCAGAATTCAGAACTCAAATTGGCCTGGGCCAAAAGGACATCAGCCGCAGGAGCCCAGCAATGGGGAAGGCAAATGAAAAAATGCAGCAAGTGCACACAGGCTCTGATACAGACAGACAGAGCAAAAGGACTAAAGGACAGCTTTAAATACATTCGTATAGGCAGATATCCTGTTGGGTGTCCTGTGTCCTGTCTGGCAGTTAGAGACACTTAAGCCTGCGGTGAGCGGCTGTCGTTTGTGTGCCACTTATTGAGAGCAATAGACGGAGCGGAGAGGACTGTGGAGCGACCCTGCTGGGCAGGAGGCGCAGGACATAAATCTTTTAGCACTTTATTTGACATACTTTCGGGACGGAAAAAGGGACGGAAAATGGACAGACAGAAAGACAGACAGGTAGTCAGATAGGCATAGAGATACGAAGAGTAGAGCCAGAGAAACAGACAGAGGCCCAGGATGGGCCAGGACGAAACGTCACATGCTCATCAATCGGTCGCTCACATTTTCTAAACAGCAGAATGATGTCCGTGTACCTTGGAGAGGTGGTACACTCAAAAAAAATAAACAATAATGGGAGAAAAGTACTGCACCACTGAACACATCCAAGTGCACTTGCACCCAAACTCTGTACCAAATTATTCTCTCAGTGTGGGCTCTCAGAGCCTGGCAGACGATGACAGTCAACGATAAGCGGTCGAGTGGCTGAGTCCTTGTGTGTTACCCCTACAATCTCCTCTACAACCGGCATGTTGCCTAACCCCCTCCAATGTTGTGACTGCCTTTGGTTTGTTGTTGGCCAAACAAACACGGCTTAAAAGCGAAGAGAGCCGAGAGGGGGGCAGAGGCACATACGAGAATCGGCAGAACCTTCTTCACGTTCATGTTGGCCTCATTTGACTCTTGCCTTCTTCCTCGCTTAATCCATTTAATTGCATTTTTTCACAGTAGCTTCTGCTGCTGCAATTTAGTTAACCCTTTTGTTCTTGTGCATTCCAGTTTATACCTTTTTTTCTACGTTTTTGGGTCGTATGTGGAACGTGAGAACAAATTACGCATACGCCCCAGTAAACCAACTCGGGGGCATTCAAATATTCATTTGCAATTTGGTGGCTAATGAAAATTCGTTAGAAATGCATTCCGATTTCAATTCCACCCAGCACCCTGCATGCCGCTTTGTTGGTGGCTTACACTCCCAGCCCACACCCACCCCCCGCTATTACCAACTTGTCCTTGTGCCACTTTTCGTCTTTGATTCCGACCATTTCGCTGAGCGACTGTCTGACGTTTCGTATCAAATTATCTATAAATTGCGATTGCCCAGGCACGCCATCATCAATGCAAAGGAGCTGCCGCGGGAAATGGGTAAAGGAGTGGGTTGTGGGCGGGTGGGGAAGGATAAATTCAGTTCGTGTTTACCAATTGTTCCTTTTTAACTTACATTGTCGTGTGAAGTTTTGCATATCACTCCAATGAACTTACAGAGAAGCTTCGAAAACACGAATTTAATTTATTAAAGTACATGGAGATAGATTAGATAAGCAGATAGAAAGTGATAAGTAATAATATCCTGGAAAAGATAAGCCTTTTAAATATTATTTTAGAATTTATTAATGCTAATAGATAGAACTATAAAACTTATAAGACCCTCATAAGACCATATAAATCCCATAAAAAAAAGGTACAAATATCTCATAAAAATGATTCGTTGTTTTCATCAATATTTTTTTACTTTTATAGCTTATTAATCATCCATAAAAATAAATGCTTAATTTCCACCGATGTTGATGCACTATTCGATATATTGAGTATAAACTATAATCACATATGTGGGAGTACCACCCACTCAGTCGTGCCACCAAATCACCAATGGGAAAATAAACAGAGAAAAATACAATAATAAAAAAAAGGAAGCCAACCTGCCTTCTGCCAAGTCTTGCTATTTGCCCGAGATTTGAATTTAATTTTGAGGTCAGACAAAGGCAAGAGAGTTTTGGGCCGGGTCGAAATGGAATGGCACGGTGGGAGAGAGGGAGAATGAGGAGGGGGCTTGTGCCTCAAGTGTTGCCTGCATAAAAAAATGCAATAAATATTTAAATTACTATATCCACATGCTGCACGCAAATGGAGAACGAATCCATAAGAGGTTTTCGGTTGGCAAAGGAATAGGGGCTCTGGGGCTCTGGGGCGGGCTACAGGGGCTCTCGAAAAAGTAGGCTAAATGTGGATCGCACTACAAAATAATTAAGAGAAATGTTGCAAAGAAATTGAAATGAGTGTCGAGTGTCGAGTCAAGGAATTGGCAAAAGAATCGCTTTACTATTTCTTTCATTAAAAGTCCATCAAAATATTTTGCTGTAAACTACAGCTACCTATTTACACGAAATTTTTGCGTTCATTTCATATTCAAAGCTTTGAATTTTTGCACAATATTTAAGCCAACAACAATCCGACTGAAAGTAATTTATTCGAAGAACAACACCAATAACAACAACAACATAGATGAATTGAATGGCCAACAATCGTGTCAAGTTCAACAAAAGCTTCACCCGCAGCCGATTCAATCGCTATTGTTTTTGGCTTTTGCCTTTTGCCGTCTTACAAGTTTTTACATATAAATTTCACGGCACGCACCGAAAACCTGTTAATGCGTTTGGCCAAAAAGCCACGAAAACTGTTGATGCCACAGGGAGCGACTTGCACCCACGCGATCTCCAGCTGAGAGGCGTCGAAGAGAGGCCACCTAAAGGGGCTCAGACTCTCGAAGAGACTGGTCAAGAGAAATTCAAAGCTTGGAAGAGCTTTGGGCCAAGTTAAGGGCCTAGGGTTTACGGGTTAGGAGGGTAATGAGTTCACAAGGAAGTTCACAAAGTGTTTTTATGGTTTATATTGTATATGGAATATTTCATAATTTTATAAACTATTTTTTTAATATTTTAGTTACCATCAAGGAAAATCATAATCTTAAAGATAAGAAAAAGTTCGTATCTATTACAGAGACATCTATACATTGTAATATACTTACAAAAATATACAATATTTTGGCAGGACTTGGAATCTTTAGTATATTGTATTTTTACATTCATATTATCTTAAAAATGTTTTCAAAAAATTGTTTCATGTTTGTTTCATTACAAAAAAAATACATGTTTGCAAAATAAAACAAAAATAAATAATAGTTAAGTCTACTCTAAGACCTGCTTAAATTTAATATAGTATTTATTAACACATAAATTTTCTTTAAATTGATGTATCTATGAACCACTAATTAAATTAATAAATATTTTTCAATATGCATATATTATAAATTTTAGTTCTCTATATTTCCCTTATTTGATGGATTCCTATTGAAAAATGACTGTCATAATCTTAATAATGACCTTTTATCAATCAAAGGGTGTATTCAATATTGACCTCAATGGCAGTTTATAAGGAAATTCCAGCAATTAGACAAAGTGCATCATTAGTCTTATTCACTCCCTGATAAAATCGGGAAATTTATATTGATACATTTCAGGGCCATCATAGCCCATCCTTTGCCAAAGACCAAACCAGTTAAAGGAAGCCGCGTATTTGGCCAAAACAAATTATGAAAAAAATGGGCAAAAAAGTTGCACTAATTTGCTAATGAGCGGCTCATCCATAATTTAAGTGAAATAAAAATGTATGAAAATATTACAAAAGCCGAGAAAAAAGTCGAGCAACTAACCTGGCTGAAAATGTGTGACAGCCAAGTTAACAGCAGCAAAAAAAAATGGCAAAAAAAGCCCTCGGCAAGCTCTCGCGATGAGGCTGCGACTGCGCTCTTTGGCACTTAATGCTCTCGCCGATCGTGGCTTAGGGCTTTTGGCCAAAAACATACCGAAACTACTAACCGAGACCCACTGAAAGCCATAAGTCAAAGCATTGTCATCGCAACGGCTGCGACTTGGCCTGAACTCTGTCAGTCAGTCAGTCGAGCGGTGCGTTGCTCATTGAAAAGATCTCCCAACTCCTCCTCCGGTTGGTGCTACAAAAAAATACCCTACGAGAAAATCTCAATAAAACACCGCACTTACGCCAACGATTCAATTAAACTGGAAATTCGTGTGTTTGTTATTTTTCCGCTGATTCACTTCACTTTGCGCCGGAAGTTTTCCACCATTTTGCCACAAGCCTCCCTCCGCTGGCCGTCGCGTGTGCGGCTATTAGTTTGAATGTGCACCTGATTTTATCGGCCAACCGAGCCCACCCACTAGAATCCGGCTAAGTTGGCTTACGTTAACCGCGCGAATCAAATAAATTTGAGCCACAATTAACCAGTGCTGTCATTTGTCCGCCGATGCCTCAATGGAGAAGAACTGGCATTTGACATTTTTGGCATTTATTTGTGGCAGTAGTGCGCGTGTGAACTTCAATTTGTGTCTCGACCCAATTAAACAAAACTAAACAAATAAAATTAACAGAAATATTTTAATTATATCAGCTGATGGCAGTCGCAGAAAAAAGCTTTCACTGCACAACCGCCAAACCCGTTTTCATATTTTAAACTTCGGCACAAAACCCACAGCCATACAGCCATAGCCCCTGCTGGTCGGGGTCAGGATTGTTGCTGCTTTTACTATAAGGGACATAATAAGATATATAGTAAAGCGACACAGAGCCGCATCGCATTCGGTAACTTGTTTATTTCAAAATTATATATAACAAACGAAGAAAACGAGGAAAAAAGCCCCAAAACGGGTATCTTATAAATAGTGCGCTTTGTTTCGGCATCCAACAACACCAGAAACAACATTATCGACAAGAGCAACACCTCAACCACCTCACCTCACCTGCCCGAAAATAACAATAAAATCAACCAGAAGAGCGGCTCTCAATCTGTTTTGGCGTAGGTCAGGCCGGAGCTTTGGCTTTGGATAAAAAATTCCACTTTTATATACATACCTACCAGTTGCCGGCTTTTTGAGGCACCACCGGAGGCCGAGAATCCCATCGATGGGTAGCATCTTCCTCTCGTAGATTGGACCACTCGGAGGAAAATTTGAAAATATGCTTCACTGGTCGCTGATCGTCAGCGCCCTGGGCGTCTGTGTGGCCGCCTTGGGTGGCTACGCGGGTTGGATTCTCTTTCCCAACATGGTACACAAAAAGGTCGAACAGGTGAGCAAGAATCCCCAGCAAAAAATATTCGAGGAATTCAAAAAGTAAATAAAGTTACACGAATGCGGCCTTGCGGTTGCTGGCCAGGTAACTTTCAACTTTAAATTAAGGTCAGAATCGGGAGACGTCTTAGAGGAAGCTTAAAAAATAAACAGTTGGAATATAATATTAAGCTATGAAACTAAGCTTCAAAGACCTTCTTGAAGATGTGTTCTGAATAGTTAAACCATTAAAAAATATTTGTCATTCCTATTAGTAAGTTGGAGTTATAGAACATAAGAAAATCTTCTGTTGCTATCCTAATATGCCTATGATTATTACTCATTAACGCCTTAATATTACCCCAAAAATATTTATATTTATCCAAAAAGTGACTTCTATTCATTTATTCTGTCAATCTTAAGCAACTTCCCTCTAAGCTCTAACAAGACTCACCTTTCATTAGAAACCTGACAAAGTTTCTATGGTAAATATTTGTATTTCAAAGTTCGCAAAGATATTTTCGCTAAAAATGGGAAAAATCATTCCATTGTTGACTTGGAAGAATCACATAGAAAGTCTCCCATATACTTGACAGCTAGAATCGCGATGATTCAACAAAAGTTCATAGTTCAAAAATGGTAGTGAGTAATATGTAATTAATGATCCAGGTAGCTTTGTGACTTAATATACGGTTGGAATGCAAAACAGGTTAGATCAATTAAAACATTTACATACTCAAGTGATTCGAGTGAACCCTGAGCAGTTCTCTTGATAGGCATTTTCTCAATTACATGATGCCCCGCCCTGTCATATACTGCCAGAGCATCTGATTAGGTGTTATTTTTAGTTGTTCGGGGATAAAAAATATTACTATTCTGATGTATTGTACGTTTGATAAGGGGAATGGCACGTCAAACCCCCATTTGCACCTTATCCGTAATGACATCGCCAAACAACACAGCAGCTGCCAGTCCCCAAACCCCTGGGCCTTCTGTGTTCGGTAACAAGTCTGATTGTTGGTCAAACAAATGCAATATATATAATAAACTATATAATTACATGGAAACTGTCCCCACAGTCCCACAGGCTCGGCACACACATCGATCCCTTGGGTCACGCTCTCCACCGAAACGAATGTCAAATGCAATTGAAATGCAACGAGTGCCGGCAATTAATTTTGTAGTCTAATGCATTTCATAACCATTTTGCCATTAGGCCAACCATTAGAGCCAAAAAAATGAGTGACCTTTGCATGTTCTTGTCCTTCAAAGCTATTTATTTGTGAGTAACTTTAAGTGCGTGTCATTGGGGTTTTTTTAAAGCTTAAAAATGTGACTCGGCTTGTGAATGAAGAACTGCACTATTAAATGGTACTTAAAGCTTTTTTGAATAAAACACAAAGTTAAATAGTCTTGAGGAAATAAATATTAAACAAAGCCTATAAACAAAATGGTAGGAGTAGGAATTAGATATACCTTTTTTTAGAAAATTTTTACCTTTAACCATCTTCATCCCTTGAGGTAGTTTGGTATTTACTTTTCTATAGTCTGGTCCCTAGACCCTTTAGATTTATGGAAATATTATTTTAACATTTCCCTTTCTAGCTAATGTTTGAAAAACGCTCCCATCGCTAGGCTCACGCTTGCCGAATCAGGCGTGACATCTTCGGGGCTCATTGCCAAGGCAACTGACTTGAGTACTTGAGTTGACTTTGAGCTCGAGTTTTGCTTTTTATTGTAATTAGAATGCAAACAGAAACTTTAATCTTTTAGTCGCTGTTTCTGTTTTTGTTTCGGTTTGTGCTTGCTCTTTACTTTTAATTGTTGTAGCCAAGTAAGTTAATTGCCCCTTTTTGTGGCTTTGGCTTTGGTTTTAGGCCCTGGAAGTTGGCTTGCCACCCATAAGTCAGTTTTATGGGCCACAGTTAGCAATGAACTTCCGTGTGTAAACACCAAGATCTGAGATGCGATCTAGAATGGGCAAAATACCTTCGAAATTTTGACGAGACCTTCGCCTTGATGGCCTTTATGTCCCTTGCACATTAACCATTTCTATTTGGAATTCAAATGCAGAGAAGCAAACAGACGAGTCATGAATCGAAATTGAAATTCAAAGCAATTCAAGTCGATTCGATGGCTTCGATGGTCAACAAATGTTGTTGTGCAATTGTGGCCAACAGGCAATGCCAAGCCATCGCCAGCCACTCTCTAAATCTCGCCATTTTAGCCCACTTTCGATGGCCTGGCCAACATTCTGACCCATATTTATCAACTTGCTCGGCGAAATATTACGCATACGCCCCTTTGACCCGGCGCATTCTTGGCCCGAATCGAATACTGCGCTAAATTGAAATTGTAAACACGTTCCGATTGGTCTTGTCGTTTTGCCAAAAACCGCTCTATTTCGCAATAATTATTTTGTATTTGTATTTAGTGTTTTTGTATTTTTTTTTTGTGAATGAATTTCGGGCCATTGTCACTCGATGACGCGTCCCGAGCCTCTCTTGGGCTCTTGAGGTTAATCAAACGTTTTGTATGCTCTTCGATATGCTGAGCTGGAGCTGGGCCCTGCTCTGGTCTCTTCTCGTCTGGTCTGGGCCATGTGTGCATTGACCTTGAAATCTGTTTTAGCCATAAAAATATCTGCTTGTATTTTTTGACAATTCTTCAATTGTATCAAGTGCGAGGGGCAGACCATAAAATTGTATTGCTGGTCATGTTGAACTTGTTTTTCACTCTTATTTATGTTTTTTTTCTGCGGTTTTCAGGCTTTTTTATGTTTTGCCAATTTTTTTTTCATTTTTCACCTGGCCACTGGGTTGTAAAAATTGAAACGGAAGGTTAACAGCATGGGAAATATATTTGAGACGCGAATCACAGTCCCTAATTAATTTGGCAGTCTTGATCAAAGCAAATATTTTCGGTTTTGGTCATTGATCTCATTGGTCTGTTGTTAATTATTAATTATCAACAACAATTCTTGATAAAAAGAAACAGGTTCACAGTTCAGCTGTGATTTTGAGTGGAATTTGATGATTTTGATTCGATTTTTATCACATCACTACTGGGTTATTTAATGTCATAAATAAAAGACAAAGACTTTGTCAATAAATTTTCATTTAACTTGTGATGGGTTGACAAAAACAAAGTAGATGCTAAAAACCAGTTGAACCTAAGACTAAATTATATGTATACAATAGATTTAATATTAGATTTTATTTCGTCTTTATTCTGTCTCATTTCCATATTATATATTTAATGTTTACATCTTTTTCTTATTTTTTTTAGAGCGTCATCATAGCCGATGGCTCTGAGCAGTATAAGCGTTTTGTAAACCTGCCTCAACCTTTGAACTTTAAAGTTTATATATTTAATGTCACAAATCCGGACAGGATACAACAAGGTGCCATACCCATAGTCGAGGAAATAGGACCCTATGTCTACAAGTAAGTGAAGATGAATCATTATAATTATTATATATTTATTTATAAATCTATTTTAATCTTAGGCAGTACCGTCAGAAGAAGGTAAAGCATTTCTCGAGGGATGGATCCAAAATCACTTATGTGCAGAATGTTCACTTTGATTTTGATGCCGATGCCTCAGCTCCTTACACCCAAAATGATCGAATAGTGGCTCTCAATATGCACATGAACGTAAGTTAATTTAACCTTACAAAAAAAAAAAGCCTAATTATCTTTTTAACATTGATACAAATATTAAAACTTAATCAATCAACTTACAGGCATTTTTACAAGTATTCGAAAGAGAAATCACAGACATCTTTCAGGGGTTCGCCAATCGGCTGAACTCCCGATTGAATCGAACTCCTGGCGTCAGAGTCCTGAAACGTCTGATGGAACGTATTCGAGGGAAACGTAAAGTAATTTTATCCACTACTAATTTAATCGAGAGTAGCCTGGTTTGGATTGGTGTTGGATCAAACCTACTGTATATGCCATATAAATACGTATACCTTTGGGCCTTGTCTGTATAAAGATTACTCACTAGTGCATGGCTTGATAGATTTAACTTAATGGTAATGGCTTTTTGTCGGTTCTCCGATGGCACAAACACGATTGATACCATCTCGCAGCTCTGTTTGTCTTTGTTCTGCTTTTGTTTTTGGGCCAGCAATTTCAAGCGATTATTATTGCCTTTATTTCGGTTCAGTTCGGTTCAGCGTTTCGGTTTTCTTTACATTGTTTATTAATTATGATTTTACCCCAGACGTGCGTCATTGGATATTGTAGGGTAATCGTTTCGAGATAGACTTCTGAGGCTTATAAGCAATTAAGCTGATGAATTTTGTTTTATGGCTGATTTATTAAGCCGATTAACGGCTGAGGGGGTTCGAACTCAACTGTTTTGGGTTTGGGTTAGGTCAAGTATGGGTTTAATATTCCTAGCCATTGTTTCATTGAAAAATATATTGTAAATTAAATAAATTTTTAAACAGATTCTCTTACTATTTCGTAAAATAATCATCTTAAACATGTTATTTAAAATGGCAACCATGGCTAATAGAATTAACTTTCAAAGCTTTTTACCCTGCAATTTATTAGACAAGTCTGACAGCAGTAGCTAACGACAGCTTAGGCTTTAAATAAATAATTTATATTATTATTAGGAAGTATAATAAAATATCAAACGAAATTATAGCTCCCTTTAGCTGGGTCCATGGCATCGTAGTAAGCATCATCGATGGTGTCAAAGTAAGTTAAGCGGCTTTTAATGCTGATTCCTCTGACAGCTTTGCAACTGTTTTTCAAAAATTAATTGCAATTCGGCGCCTCTCTCTCAATTTATCGAAAAAATCAAAATCCCATGCTTTGAAACTTCAAACTGCCAAAGTCAAGACCATCCACATCCACATCAGACAACGTAGAACAGCAAAATTTTGATTGGCAGTCACCTTGGCTACTCATCTGTGGCATGTTGAAACTGACTTCTCTCGTCTGTGTAAATATTATGATAAATAGTCGAGTCGACGAGAAATCAATGGAAACGGCAGCTGAAAACCGAATGATTGGAAACATCAATTTTCACACATAACGCAAAACAAAACCAAAAATAATAAAACATTATTAATAATAACAAATTGAAGCTTGTGCTTTGCTACTAATTTATGGCTAACTGCTCCGCCTAGTATTAATGCTTAAAAAAACAACAATTATAAATACTAAAATTATTTTGCCTTGCCCTTTTAAGCTTTGCCAAATGTACATATATATTTTTTCATATTCCTCAACTAATTATATTTGTTTCATGTATTTTTTAGAGCGTCCTGCAAATCTCGGAGAACGATCCTGGATTGGCTTTGCTTTTGGTCCACTTGAATGCCAATCTCAAGGCGGTTTTCAACGATCCTCGCTCCATGTTCGTCCACACTTCTGTGAGGGAGTATCTCTTTGATGGAGTCAGGTTCTGCATCAATCCCCAGGGTATTGCCAAGGCCATTTGCAATCAGATCAAGGAGAGCGGCTCCAAGACCATTCGAGAGCAGAGTGATGGCAGTCTGGCTTTCTCCTTTTTTGGACATGTGAGTTAAAGGATTAAAAAGTAACTATAACAAAACTAACATGGCTTACAATCCCTAGAAAAATGGTTCCGGTCACGATGTCTACGAAGTCCATACTGGGAAAGGCGATGCCATGAGGGTGCTGGAGATCCAGAAACTGGACGACAACCACAACCTCCAGGTGTGGCTAAATGCCAGCACCGAAGGAGAGACCTCTGTCTGCAATCAGATCAACGGAACTGATGCCTCCGCCTATCCGCCATTCCGACAGAGGGGGGACTCCATGTATATATTCAGCGCCGATATCTGCAGATCGGTTCAGCTATTCTACCAGTCGGATATACAGTACCAGGGTATTCCCGGCTATCGCTACTCCATCGGGGAGAACTTCATCAACGACATTGGTCCGGAGCACGACAACGAGTGCTTCTGTGTCGACAAGCTGGCAAATGTGATTAAGCGGAAAAATGGATGTCTATATGCCGGAGCCTTGGATCTGACAACCTGCCTAGGTGAGTGGCGATTCTGTTAATATTGAGATATTAAAACGATAAGGGAAGTCAGATTATTATTATGTTAAAAGAAAATATTAGATATTTACATTCATCAAAAACATTGAAAAATTTCTAATAGATAATCCACCTAGATAGGTAGTTATCTATCATTTCCCAAATTTTTGTTTCAAAAATCCAAATCTTTAATATACTAGTATGATTAAAAGTTAATAAATAGAATATAAATAAGACATATTATTATCAGTCTTAAAAAATTCGTAAGCAAAGTCTTAAACACCTTCGATCAAGTCCCATAAATAAATCCAATTAAAAACGTATCCGCAAACTGTAGTCTTAAATATTTTATATTTTCAGTTTAACGTCAGGCAAGAATTTTGAAAATATTTTTGTTTGGACTTCTGTTATGTTATCTTCCGCTTATCTCGAGTTCCTCGTGTTATTTCACAGTATAAACTAAATTAGAATTTCAAATCGATTAACATAAATTTAGTAGATCAAAGACTTCTGTGTTTGGTTGCCTACCCATTGAGGATAAAAAGTATATTAGTTTTTGAAGAATTGTGTAAATAACATACTTTTTTGAAAAGAGTTTGTTGTTTTCTTTTTGATTAGAGTATTGATAATTTAATTCTGTATTTAGCCAGCCTTCGTCTCCATTTTGATTTCTATAGGAATAATACTGCTTTAATTTAATTAGCATTTTATTTATGTTTATAGTTTAAACTTTAAAGTATCTGTCAGCTTGTGATCTTTTGTGCGCCCATCACTTAACTCAAATATTAACGATCTTTTCATTCTTATTATAGTATAAACTTTATCACTAATTGGAGCAATGCCAGACCGACTATGCCATATGGTGGTCATGACTAAAAATAATACCTGATTGACAAACAATGAACTTTCAATTTTGTAGAATTTTTTGGTGCGATAAAACACGAACAGAAACCGGAAATATTTGGCATAATACCTGACATTTTTTCTGTTTGTATTTTGTTATGCAAATTAGACTCTTTATGGTGGCGTTGGGTTTGTTTTATGGCGATTAACCGACAGTCTCCCTCCTCCTCCAAGAAGGCACCTTTTCAGTTAAGACACTCGCCGCTGTCATCGGGCTTTGGTCGATTACCCCGGCAATTATATGGCAGCCACTTATAAATCAGATGGTAAACGACTGCAAGAGTGCCAGTGCTAGTTCTAGTTTGAGTTTTAATGGGTTTTATATGCAAATCATGTGCTTAAGATGTGCAAACCGAAGGCATCAACACTCGCGGCTAATCAAATTTAAATAAATCGCCTCAAACCATAAACTATATCGCAGAAGATATAAAAATCTGCGAAATCGAAAACATAGATACACGCGCTCTCCATCTGATCTGACAAATTGCAATCGTTTTTTGTGGGGACTTTGATTTAAGATTCAGATTCCGATTTCGAATATGTGTGGGCTGGCTTTGATCTTCTTCGATTGTTTAATTTCTTAATTAACACTCGAGATCTTCCAAATCAAAAAAAAGGTTCGCATTCTGAATTATATTCCCCGGGGCCATTGCGCAGCTGAAATCAAAAGTGTTGTCTTGGCATCAGAATCAATTCAAATAGGGGATATAATGAGACTCAAGTTCTCAAGTGCTGTGAACGCTCTACAAATTGAAGCATTAAACTCTGATTTTTATTATATGATTTTTTTTTTATTTGATTTTTTTGCTAAACTTTTTTGTTTGGGTGTTTGCCGATCGCGCACGTTTCCATCTTGAGATTCTTTTGGCGATGCCTTCTTTTCGTCATATTTTTTCATCGTTTTTTGTTTAATTGTCGAAACGTGAGTTAACAGTTTCAGTAATGAGCATTTGAAATAATTTGTCTGGTTCCTATGATGAGGAAATTCTTACAAATTGGTTCAACCGCACATCAAAGCCATCTCTCAAGTAGTTAAGTAAATAAATAAATGTTTTTCTGCGAAAACGTGACGAGAGGTTAAGACGCTTCCGCAACGCAGCAAGGCTTTATTTTTCATCAAAAAAAATATATACTTATTTTCCAATTAATTTAATTAAATTAAATGTAAGTAGCTGAGGTCGCAGAGTAATCCTGTTTTCCTCATTTTTTGTGGAATTGTTTTAGCATTGTAAACAGAATAATTAAAATGGAATGCAGTGATACGCTCAAGGAGCGGGTTATGCAAATCAGGCAGACTTCTTTATAATGTATCTTTTTGTTAATATGATATTATTGTCATCTCTGTGTAGATGCCCCTGTTATTTTGACATTGCCTCACATGCTGGGCGCCTCGAACGAGTACAGAAAGATGATCCGAGGCCTCAAGCCAGATGCCAAAAAGCACCAGACCTTTGTCGATGTCCAGTCGGTAAGTCAATTAATTAAGATGCTTTTTTCCCATAAACGAAATCTTGAAATTATTGGTAATCCATTGGTATTCCATTAGTTGACGGGTACGCCCTTGCAAGGTGGCAAAAGGGTCCAGTTCAACATGTTCCTCAAGAGCATCAATCGGATATCCATCACCGAGAACCTGACCACAGTTCTGATGCCAGCCATTTGGGTGGAAGAGGTCAGTCTTTGGAAACTAATATCTAAAAAAATGGTATCTATAAAATATTCCCACAGGGCATCCAACTAAACGGTGAAATGGTGGCCTTCTTCAAGAAAAAATTAATTAACACCCTAAAGACCCTGAATATGGTCCACTGGGCGGCCTTGTGCGGAGGTGTGGGCGTGGCAGTCATAAGCTTATTATATTATATCTATCAAAAGGGGCGTGTCGAGGAGCCGCCCGTGAAGTAAGATACTAAAATCGTATTTCTTATTGAGTGTTTTGTGTAAAAATTATTACACTAATTATGGATGTAACACACGCAGTTTTTGTCTACGAATTTGTATATAATTTATTTTTTAAATGTGATTATATTTTATTGTGATTTAGCGTTTACTAAAAAAAAAAAACAAGATAAACTACCACAAACGAATAACATTGTTTTTTCTGAGAAAGTGAATTTCGGGAATGGCTTGTGGATTTAATTAGTAAATTCTACTGAATATTTAAGCCTAATACTCGATTAGTTTCCTTGGAAAAGATTGTTTAAACATTTCATTAGGCTAAGACCGAAGTCTTCTAAATCATACACCAATGCTAACCACAAAAAGCACTTTGCATAGTTATAGCCTTGATCGATCCGTTGGAATGACTCAAGTTCAAGACCAGTTGGCCGGTTGAAGAGGGAACCCGGGTATTAATCAATCAGCAGCCAATTTTTTTCGATTTTCGGCCCAGCAATTTGCACAAACCAGCAATTAAAACGCAGCTCGGATTGCAACAAATTGGCTATCAAAGAAACAGCAAATCGTCTAAAACTACGTTAATTTCCAAAGCTTAAGCAACGGAGGCAAAAAACTAAAAATTAAAACAAAATAAAAGCCGATTGACCAAGTCCGCGATGCAAACAAAAATATTTCACCCAGGAAAGGTAAACAAAGCTGATCCCAAGGTGTTTGCATTACAATACGATTGAGACACTACCACTCAGTCCCCGTCCACGGGGTGGGGCATCATCACTGTGATTGACAGCCGCAAATCACAAAATGCCGATGCACTTAAAAAAAACAAGACTACGAAAGGTTAGATTAGCATAAGTTGTGTCACACATTGTTTTAAAATTAAGGAGGATATGTATTATAACATATACCCTCAAGGTAATCAAAGAAAAATCATTTTAATTGAAAACTTTAAGAAACTGGAACCAATAGAAATAGTAGCTCTTCCAGAAAACTTAAAAATATTCATCAATTAGTTGGGAAGTTCAACTCCATCTTATATTTCTTTGTGTATTTTGATTGAATCTTACGAGGCGATTAAAAACGCGTGAAAAACGCTAGCAATTCGGCCGATCCCCAGCTAGTCTGTCCCATAAATATCACAAATTAATTCCATCAGGCAAATGATCAGCTAATGGCCCGCGACTGCAGAACTTTCTAACTATTTTAACTAATTTTTTATGGGCGAATGGAGCGATGGATTCGCTCTTCGCTTCCATTCTTTTCGGAGGGAGGGACAGAGAACCTTTTCAGATCCCCCAGCCATAGTAATTATGCAATAGAAGACCCCCAGAGACAGGGGCTGAATGGCAACGGCAACCAGTTTGTCTCGCTCGGCAGTCACCCAAACTGAGACTTATAGTCGGCGTCGTCGTCATATTCAAATTGACTTTGGGCTGAAGATGCGACCGCCGGCCAGTTCAGTCGCAAACGAAACGCGCGAACGCACGCAGCTGTAAAAAATACACCTAAAAAATAATAAAATTAAAACCGAATAAACGGAAAACGACAAAAAAAAATTGCTTCACCGACACGCGTTAAAAATCACCCGAAAGATAATCATTTGAATTTTAAATGAGCCCAGGATCTTGCTCCATTTTTTGTGTGTGCTCTGTTCTGTTCTGAGCTCGGGTTACCGAGTTCTTCTATAAAAGAGTGTTTGCTCCGGTCTCGGGTTTCAGACGCAATCAAGATGTTCCAGTGGCTGGTGTGGTGTCTCCTGCTCCCGGTTTTGGCCTCCGCCAAGGTCTTCGATCGCTGCGAGCTGGCCCATCTCCTCCAGCATCGCTTCGGTCTGCCAGCCCCTCAAGTAGCCACCTTGGTGTGCATCGCTCAGCACTCGAGTGACTTCAATACGGCTGCCTTTGGCGGAGGCACGGGCCTGGGCGGAGGATCCCACGGCCTTTTCCAGATCAGCGACGTCTACTGGTGCTCGCCGCCGGGCCAGGGCAAGGGATGTGGAGTGAGTTGTTCGAGGCTGCGGGACGACGACATCGCCGACGATGTCCTGTGTGTGAGGAAGATCTACGCGGAGCATCAGAGGATAAGTGGCGACGGGTTCACGGCTTGGCAGGCCTACGCCGCCTACTGCAAGGACCCAGGATCCTATGTGGCGGGCTGTGGCGTGCAGCAAGTAGGTGCAGGTGCTCTGGCAGTGGCATCATCATACCAAAGACCGCAGCAAGTTCAGGTCCACAGCTACCCCGCCGCGAATCACTACCAGCAAGTGACGCAGATCCAGCCCCAGGGAAAGATCTACAGCCGCTGTGAACTGGCCCAGGAACTGTACTACCAGCACAAGCTGCCCATGCCCCAGATCCCCACCTGGGTGTGCATAGCCCAGCACGAGTCCTCCTTCAACACGGCGGCGGTGGGACGTCTCAACGCGGATGGCAGTGCCGACCACGGCCTGTTCCAGATCAGCGATCTCTTCTGGTGCACCCACGATCAGCAGGGCGGAAAGGGATGCCATGCCACCTGCAACCAGTTCCTGGACTCGAGCATAGCCGACGATGTGCAGTGCATCCGGAGGATTCACCAGGAGCACACTCAGATCTCCGGAGATGGCTTCAACGCCTGGACGGTCTACAAGAGGAACTGCCTGAATCAGCACTACGAGCAGGTGGCAGCCTGCTTTGCCAAGCCTCCGTCTCATCAGCACCAGCATCCGAATGCGATTGGAGGAGGAGCTCCTGTCAAGCCCAAGGTCAGCTATGCCTATCAGTTTGGTCAGGTGCAGGTGCAGCAGCAGAATCAGTACTACCGACCACCAGCTACTCCAACGGTGAGCTACCAGAGGGAAGTCAGTAGCTATCAGGGAAACCCCTTCCTGCGGCCTCGCCTGCCAGTCTCTCCGGCCCCGCCAAGGCAGCATCCGAATGCCATTGGGGGAGGAGGGTTCAAGGGCCAAACGCCAGCCAATCCGTTCTATAGTCATAAGCAGCCACAGTACCAAACCACACACTATCAGACACACGACACCCAGCAACAACCACAACAGTATCACACAACCTATACACGCACGGGTAAAGTTTACAATCGCTGCGAATTAGCCCAAGAGTTGTATTTCTCACACAAGTTTCCCATGCAGGATATAGCCACCTGGGTGTGCATCGCCGAGCATGAGTCCTCGTTCAACACGGCCGCCGTTGGGCGGCTCAATGCCGACGGCAGTGCCGACCACGGCCTCTTCCAGATCAGTGATCTGTTCTGGTGCACACACGGCGGCGGGAATGGGGGCAAGGGCTGTCACATCGATTGCAATCGACTCCTGGACTCGGACATCTCCGACGATGTCAAGTGCATCCGCACCATTCACGAGGAGCATACCAGACTGTCGGGCGATGGCTTCACCGCCTGGACGGTCTACAACGGCCACTGCAGGCAGAAGACCAGGGCCGACATAGCCAGTTGTTTTGAGGGAAAGGATCTCACCCAAGAGAAGGATATCAAGCCAAACAAGCCACAAATAAATGATCTGGTTAGGAAAACTCCTGCAAAGCCAAAGGGAAAGATATACAATCGCTGTGAACTGGCCAAGGAGCTGTATCACAAGCACAGGATGCCCATGAAGGAGATTCCCACCTGGGTATGCATTGCCCAGCACGAATCCTCCTTCAATACGGCGGCTGTGGGGCGTTTGAATGCCGATGGCAGTGCCGATCATGGGTTGTTCCAGATCAGCGATCTCTACTGGTGCTCCCACGATCAGAGTAGCGGGAAGGCTTGCCACATCGAGTGCGATAGCCTGCTGGACTCGGATATATCCGATGATGTGAAGTGCATCCGGACCATTCACGAAGAGCACACCAGACTATCCGGGGATGGCTTCAACGCCTGGACAGTCTACAATGGCCACTGTCGGGGCCAGAGCCTGGCACAACTGAGCGACTGCTTCGATGGAAACGAGATCTCCAAGGCCGAGAAAGTCATCCCCATTGTGGAGAAACCAGAGGAGACGATTGTCAAGAGTCAGAACTACGTGGGAAATCCTTTTCTACAAAACCTCCAGGGCGTTAAAATAAATCAAAATCATGTGCAGCCGCCAAAAGTCACAAATAAAATTACAAATATTATTACTTTCTCTCAAGAGCCGCAGAAACCCACTAACCAATATGCTGCAAATCCGTTTTTGCAGAATTTGCAGCTCCAAAAGGGCTCCTCGAGCAATCAAGCCAAGCCGAAACCTTTACCCACACCCCCAGCTCCTACAACTCCCTCCCAAAAACCCAGCTACGATCACAATCCCTTCCTGAAAGCCCCAGGCTCTATTGCACAATCAGTGATAACGGCGCACCCTGCAGGGGACAGCTTCTCGTATGCCCAGAATCCGTTCCTTAGTCTGCTTAGCAAACCGATTGTTCCAGCTCAAGCACCCATTAAGTCGAGGCCCAAGCCCTCTCAGCCCCCAGCCTCGAGGCCCTATGTCAGCAGCGACAGCTTCCGCAATGAGGTGATTAAATTTACGGCCACCTCCACGACAGCCTCAACACCAACTACAAGGCAGCCCATAAGTACATCGGGTATTACAAAGCAATCTGTAACGACAGCCCCGAAGAGACCCTTCACAGCGGCTACAAGCAAACCAGTCTCAAGCTTGCCGCCTTGGTCGTGGCAAGCATCTGGCAGATCAACAACCACCGCTAGGCCCGCGACAGCTGGAAGTGGTAATCGCTATACGGCCACAACGAAAGCCTCTCCAGCACCTACTCGCTCTTCCTCCACCACTCGTCCAACTACTCGAACTACTTCCTACCCTACAACTCGTCCAAGTACCCGGCCTACAACCACACCAATAAATAGGCCAACAACGACAACTACTAGGCCTACAGCACGCCCTACTATTCAGTATATTCCAACAACTCGCCAAACTTCTACAACTACTAGGCCCACAACCCGTCCTACTATTCAGTATATTCCAACATCCCGCCCTACTATTCAGTATACTCCAACAACTCGCCAAACTTCTACAGTTAAGACGACAATTCGCTCTTCAGGCTTCTATATACCTTCCTCTCAACCAATAAAAGCAGGAAAAACTACCTCCATTTATGTTCAAACAACTCGCCAACCAATAACCCGAACATCGACAACTCGCACACCAACAACTCGCTCCACAACAACTTACCAACCAACAACTCGCAAAACAACTCGCCAGCCAACTACTCACCTACCAACAACTCGCTTTACAACAACACGCCCTTCAACAACTCGCTTTACAACAACACGCCCTTCAACAACTCGTCCACCAACAACTCGTTCTCCTTACAACTATATAGCGGTAAATCAACCAACTCGCCAGCCCATAACAACGAAACCTCCAAGCACACGTTACCCGACAACTCGTCAAAGTAGCACCACACCGAGGCCTTACTTATTGACCTCGACTACGGCAGCTAGTAAAATTTCCACAACTAAGGATCCTTTTGATCATCCCTTCTTCCAGAAATTCAAAGCTAAATTTGAAAAAACCACTACAAATCTATTACAAAGTGGAAAAACCACTACCACGATACCGAAACACAAAAATGAAAACACCAGCAGCCCGTATTATGCTAAATACCAGGAGAACAAAGCAAAGAAAGCGGCCAAAACGGTGCTATCTTATGAAATTGGCCAAAACCGAACCACCACCAGCCGGCCAACAAGTGCCTTCGATGTTTACCGAAATTGGAACAAGAAGAATTAAGGGTTTCCATTAGCGGATGACACTTTTGAGACTTGTAAATAAGCGTTATTGATCGATGTAATTCGGTTAGTTAGCATAATGACAGAATACTCATGCATTATTAATCTTAAGCCATATAAAACTAGGATTTAGATAATAAAATAAAAATAAACCATGCAAATGCAAAATGTACGAAAATTAATTCAATTTCAGAGTCACACACAACAACTGGTTGCTCGTTTCTTGGCCAAGCTGACAACACGCCAAACGTCGCCAAGTACGATGCGATGCGATCGTGGCATTAAGTAGGGTCTTTGATTAATTTTTCGTTAACCCGTTTTCGGTCTTTTCGAGTCTTGTTAACATAAATGCTGAGCACCGCGACAGAGACAAAGCGATAAGGCGGGCCAAAGAACTGCAGAAAATAACGAGTTTTTCACTTCGAACTGGGTTCCCCAAAAATGTTCTTTTATTTCAGCAAGTTATCAATTTGAATTTTTATTATTAACGTCTGCGGGTCCAAAACTATGACGTCAGGAAAAGAATACTACAAATTTTAACAATTTTATGGCACATATTATGGGTTTGTTTCCAAATAATTATCATAAAGGGTCTTCCCAAATTGTGTCTTTTATTATTATTAAAACTTAAAAACTGAGTGTTTTCTACAATTTAACCTAAAATGAGGAATTTGTGGATTTCTAAAAACAAAAAACAAAGTATACATCGAATTTTGTTATGAAAAATAAAAAAATATTTAAAACCAGTCTCAAAACTTTAATTTTCTAAATGATTTTGGTATCTCTTGTTTAACTTGTAACGACACTGAAACCTTGCCAGACTTTCAAAAAATAGCTCAAACTCTAGTTTCGATTTTTTTTTTAGTTATCCGTGGATTCAAATAAAAACAAGAAAATTTTTTAAATTTTCAGTTTAAAAACAGAAAAACACTGAAAATCAGTGTTGCAAAACGTGATCCACTACGTGACAAAAAATCTGGTCACTTTAAAAACCCTAAAACAGCTTTTAGCTGTTCACAATTGCTAGATCTGGCAATAAAATGGCCAGAATGGCAGCCCTACCCAGCTAGTTTTTCGCAACGCAACGGCGGTCCGTAAACAATATTTTTATTCGGTTTTCGGCTAAATCGCCAGCGAATCGCAACGGAAAAACGTCTAAAATGCCCCTCAGTGCACCGAGTGCGAACGCAATATGAATTGAAGTGAGTGCATTGGCCGCGTGGCTGGAAAACTGCCACCGACGGTTGCAGGCTGTACATTGTACAAAACTGATACCGAAACACACACACACATGCAGGCACCGACATATGCAGCAACGTATAGCGTATGTACATATGTACATTCGGTACATGCCGCCGCCCGCTGGCCGTGGAAGCAGGAAAGATTACTAATCTAAGGCTGCTCCAGATTCAAAATCATGTTTTCAAAAGAACTGAAAGTTCGTGGGGTCGAATAGAATCCTCTTAGTAGATTTTTTTCGAATTTTTCTATACCCTTAAAATGTACATTATTTACTTGAAAGCTATTATATTTTTTTTGGAGCAATTACATTTGTAATTTTTTTTGTTAATTGCCGCCTTGGAGCGTGCGTTCTCCAACACTGTCCATGCCCCCGTCTGGCAACGCCGCTTTCACCATTCCGCTTTACACGCGCATTCGTGAAAATGGCGCCGTGGTAGCGCTAATCTTGCGATTACCAACACTCAAACCCAACTATATAGAAGTAGCTGGTGGTGGCGCTGTCGAATTTTTTGTACATCAAAATAATCAAAATAGAGCGTTTTCCAGCGCCCGAATCAGTCCGTGCGAGCGATCGGACGCGCGGAGTGTGTCTGAGTGCGAAGCGAATAAAAGAACGGGCGCCGCTGGCCGCCAAACAGGGGGAACAACAAAAGACCCAGCAGAGAGGGGCCAGTGAAACTAAGATAACACACGCGACGGACAAACGACCGACGGTCGGGTGAGTGAAAGGAGGGCGGCGGGTCGCGGAATTCGGATTTCACATTTCAGCGGAGCACCCGCGACCGTTTCAGCCTTTTTGGCCAAGGTGAATGCAATTACGCGTGTGTATGTGTGTTGTGTGTACATATGTGCGTGTGGCAGAGTATTGGCCTGCTCCCACGTCTCCAGACATCTGCCGTTTAGGGATCAGGCAGAGGATACAGGTAGCAACTAAAAGTCTACCTGCGTCTGGGCCTGTTTGTGGTGTGCCTGCCTGCCTGTACCCACCACCCACTCTCGGTATATAAACACTAAACGTTGAACCACTTGCCTTTTAGTTGGCCGCTGGCATGCAAAGGACTCTGTTACTGGAGAAACCCCACCACAGGATGAGAAGCGGCAGCAGTTGATCGCATCGGATTGGATTGGATCAGAAACAACTAGCTAGCGCTCCAGCTCTCCTCCAGCACACACACTCACTCACTCAACCCACACACCCGCTCATCCGATCATCCGCCTGCGACGCATCCAGCAAGATGAACACTAGCCAGACAGCTGCCGGTAATCGGATAACGTTCACCACCAGCCAGCCACTGGCCAATGGCACCATCAACATAGCCGGCAATCCCGGCGCCGTCATATCGACGGCCCAGCTGCCAAACACCACCACGATCAAGACGATTCAGGCGGGGATCGGCGCCGGCCAGCATCCGGGACTGCAGCAGTCGGGGACGCAGCAGACGCAATCCGTAGGTGCCACCCAAACACAAACCCTAGTTATTAAATCCAACCACCATGCTGTCACCCTGCCGGCGGGTCTAGTCTCAAGTGCACCAGCAGGAATCGTAACCATGACCAAGACCATCAATCAGGTATCCACATCAAGCTAACTAGCTCCACTTCGGGCGCCAGACGACGTCGCTAGTCCGTCGCGAGTCACTCGTCTCGTCCACTACTCTCTTCCTCATCCGACAAAGATCCTCAACTCCTTTCTCGAATCGGAATGTAGTGGCAGAACAAGTTTGGTTGCTTACTTCTCCTAATCTGCTTTCATCCGCTTATTTCCCGACTCCAATCCAGCCATATCCCGCCAACCACCCGTATAGTTATCAAGTGGATCAGACCACTCCTTCCTCCTCCCAACCGCAATTAAGTATTATTTTGTAGAACTCTTGCTTCCAGTAGTGCAACTAGTAGAGAACACGCCCCCCAAAAATTCCAACCCACAAAATTGGTCAGCACCACCACCCACTGACATATTTCGGAAACCCCCCTTTGTTTGTATCTTTGATGTGCGAACGGACGCGAACTGCTGCATGCTGTAGGCGACAAAAAACTGTGATTCCCCCTCTCCAAACTCTCTCCAATGCTCCCCCAAAAGCTTCCACTGCCCTCCGCCCTCTGACCTTGACCTTGTGATTTGATAAGAACCGTTCTAATGATGTGATTTTCCCAGGCCGGTCAGCCGCTGTTGAACTCGATGCTGCCAGCGGGCGTAGTGGTGGGAATGCGCCACCAGGCGCCATCCCAGCAGCAGCCGAAGAATGTACCCGCCAATCCGATCAGCCGGGTGGTGATCAACTCGCACATGGCGGGCGTGAGGCCGCAGAGTCCATCGGTAAGTAGAATCATTGCAAGAAAGGATATATGCTTGAGATTACGTTTGTTGTGGTGGGTTCTTCTCTACTAACTCAACCCCATGGCAAGACCTAACCCCACCAGATCCCACACACACACATTCGCACACAAGTCACCAAAACCACCATGCAGCCACCGTTGACAATATCGAGTCTCTGTCTTCTCTATTCTTTACTTTTAGATAACTTTAAGCACACTGAACACGGGCCAGACCCCGGCACTGCTGGTGAAGACGGACAACGGATTCCAGCTGTTGCGCGTGGGCACGACGACGGGTCCACCGACGGTGACACAAACAGTAACCAATACCAGCAACAATAGTAACAACAACAACAATAGCAGCAGCAACAACAACACAACAAGCACCACAAACCTATCCTCAACCACACAGATACGACTGCAAACTGTGCCGGCTGCAGCTGTAAGTAGATACCAACAACAACAACAACAACAACAGCAATCGCAGCAGCAGCAACAACAACAATCGCAACAGCAGCAGCAACAACAACAACAACAATCGCAGCAACAAGCATCCAGCACTACCGCCACAACCACTAGCATAGCACTCCGCAAAACGATTGTCCGTACTTCATCCACAATCCCATCCAGCAATAACAACAATAATAATAATAACAGTATTATCAATGCCACAACCACCTCCAACACTACCACCACCACCACCACCAACAACAGCAACAAATTACCCGCTACTAACCAGCAGCAGCACCACCACCACCAGCAGAAGCTCCATCAGCAGCAACAGCATCTCAAGGCCCAACAGCAGCAGCAGCAGAAACAGCAGCAACAGGCCTCGGCTGCTGCTGCCGCTGCCGCCGCCGCCAATGTGGCGGCCACCATAAAGATCAAGCAAAACGTAAAGAGATGACTCTACCAGGACACCTGGTCACCACCTAGTTCTTGTCAATTTATCTCTCCTCTGTTCTAACTTGTCTGTTATGCTTCAGTTCCGTTTTGGTTCGTGCACCACCACGAGCCTCATTTTAATTTCTGGCCGCATATCCTCCTATATCCTAGATCCTAGAGTATCTGGTGGATATCGGTGTATTTCTTAGCTACGTTTTGCATGCTGCGTTGTGTACCTGTCTGTGTATTTTCCACAACACTCCTTATTTCGATTCAGTTTAGTTCGATCTGCTGTTCTAGGCCAGCAAGGCAGTAGTGGGCCCACCAATGATGTGCGCTGGGCTGCTGTGTTATCCCTGGGATGGAATCCAGTACCCAGTACCAGTTCCTCCAAAATCATTTCTTCATCTCCCAGCCATAACCCCGCCCTCTGCACACTCATTCGAGACCAGGACCCTCTACCCTGCCGCATCCCAAAAATCAAAAGAACCATCATTATCATCTTTATTCTGCTATTTGATTCTCTTTTTTTTTTATAAATAATTCTAATGCTTATTGAACTTATTTTTGCACTAATTCTTAAACACAAAACCAATTGCTATGGCCACCTGATTGATGTATTCCTTCTCTCTGCAGTCTTTGCCCAACACGACCGCCTCCAACAACATTATTGTCAATTCGGTGGCCGGTGGCTACTCCAACGCCTCCCAGCCGCCCCACCTGACGCAACTGAACTCGCAGGCCCCCCACCTGCCGCAGATAACGCAGATCCAGACGATACCGGCTCAGGCAAACAACACGGGGACGACGGCGGGCAGCACCACGACATCGGCGACCACGACGACCACGCAGCAAGGAAATACCAAAGAAAAGTGTCGCAAGTTTCTGGCCAATCTGATCGAGCTGTCGACACGGGAACCGAAGCCGGTGGAGAAGAATGTGCGCACGCTCATCCAGGAGCTGGTGAACGCGAATGTCGAGCCAGAGGAGTTTTGCGACCGCCTGGAGCGCTTGCTCAACGCCAGCCCGCAGCCCTGTCTGATCGGATTCCTCAAGAAGAGCCTCCCGCTGCTGAGGCAGGCGCTCTTCACCAAGGAGCTGGTCATCGAGGGCATCAAGCCCCCGCCCCAGCATGTACTGGGCCTAGCCGGACTCTCTCAACAGCTGCCCGTAAGTTTACCCTACTCCAGCATCCAGTATCCTTCATTTTTTATAACTTTTGGGTAATAATCCTCTCCAGAAAATCCAAGCGCAAATCCGTCCGATAGGCCCCAGCCAGACAACGACCATTGGACAGACGCAGGTGCGCATGATCACGCCGAATGCTCTGAACTCGCCGCGACCCACCATTGGCCACACCACGATATCGAAGCAGTCGCCCAACATACGACTGCCCACGACCCCGCGGCTGGTCAGTACGGGAGCCATTCGGAGTCAGATTCCTTCGCTGCAGGTTCCAGGACAAGCGGTATGTGTAACTACATCAAGACTCTTCAGAAGGATTGACCCAATCCCTTGCTCTCTTCAGAACATTGTACAGATTCGAGGACCTCAACATGCCCAGCTTCAACGCACTGGATCGGTGCAGATCAGAGCCACCACCCGTCCGCCGAACAGTGCGCCAAACAGTGCGGGCAAACTCACTGCCGTCAAGGTGGGCCAGACCCAGATCAAGGCTATCACACCCAGCCTGCACCCGCCCTCGCTGGCCGCCATTTCCGGCGGTCCGCCGCCCACGCCCACGCTGTCCGTGCTGTCCACCATCAACTCTGCGTCGTCGACATCGCTGCCGGTGCCCTCGCTGCCCACGGTCCACTTGCCACCCGAAGCTCTGAGGGCCCGCGAGCAGATGCAGAACTCCTTGCACCACAACAACAACAACCACTTCGAGCCGAAGCTGGTGGAGATCAAGGCGCCGTCCCTGCATCCGCCGCACATGGAGCGCATCAATGCGTCGCTCACCCCCATCGGAGCCAAGACCCTGGCGAAGCCCTCGCCGATGATCAGCAAAGCTGCGAGTAAAAAGAGGCGCGATGGCCTGGACGGCAGGGATGCGGATGGGAAGCTGATTGGGGCCGGAGGAGCAGCGGGTGCGGCGACCACGGCCAATTCGTTTTTCCAGCAGAGTTCCATGTCGACCTCGATGTACGGGGACGATGACATCAACGATGTGGCGGCCATGGGCGGCGTCAATCTGGCGGAGGAGTCGCAGCGAATTCTCGGCTGCACCGAGAACATCGGCACCCAGATCCGCTCCTGCAAGGACGAGGTGTTCCTAAACCTGCCGGCGCTACAGGCCCGAATAAGGGCCATCACCACGGAAGCTGGGCTGGACGAGCCGACGCAGGATGTGGCCGTGCTGATATCGCACGCCTGCCAGGAGCGCCTGAAGAACATTGTCGAGAAGTTGGCTGTGATAGCGGAGCACCGCATTGATGTCATCAAGGTGAGTTGAAGCTACGATTATACACCAGCATGGGGCTAATGAATACCATTTCCAGTTGGATCCTCGGTACGAAACCGCCAAGGATGTCCGCGGCCAGATCAAGTTTCTGGAAGAGCTCGACAAGGCCGAGCAGAAGCGACACGAGGAGCTGGAACGTGAGATGCTGTTGCGGGCGGCCAAGTCGCGATCGCGAGTGGAGGATCCCGAGCAGGCCAAGATGAAGGCGAGGGTAAGAATCCGTCTGGTATTTCCTTGAGAAGCAGTTCCTAAAGTTTATTTTGTGGCCTAGGCCAAGGAGATGCAGCGCGCGGAGATGGAGGAGCTGCGCCAGAGGGACGCCAATCTGACGGCATTGCAGGCAATCGGACCACGAAAAAAGCTTAAGTTGGACGGGGATGCGGCCAGTGCGGGAGCGGTAAGTACAAATATTGAAATATATCCATTGAAGGAGAGAAACTAACGTGTAACATAATAGGGTTCCAGTAGCGGGGGACTGCTGAGCAGCTCGGGATCGGTGCCAACGACGTTACGACCGCGCATCAAGCGCGTCAACCTGCGCGACATGCTCTTCTACATGGAGCAGGAACGAGAGTTCTGTCGCAGCACCATGCTGTTCAAGACGTACCTCAAGTGATTGCGGCTGTTGTCCATCGCACGCATCGCCGTCAGCTCCACGCTGGCCCCCCTCCTCCCGCTCCTCGGGCTGGCGTGGCGTCGTTGCGTCTCCTGCTCCAAAGCTTCCTTCATTTGCAATATTAATTAGCCTCCCCCCCATTTTACAGCATCCTCCTCCTACACGCCTCTTTCCCTATTGTTGTTTTCTTTTTAGCTAGGCCAAACCTATTTAATTTTTACAATTATTATACACACATTTTTACATTTATATTCTAATTTCTAATTGCAATTGATTTTAAGATTAGTTTAAATACGATTATTTCCCCCAAACACCCCCCAATAAACTGTTCGTAAAACTTAAACCAAACCAATCCAAAAACAAAACACAAACCAGAGTAACGCAAAGTAACGAAAAATAATATAAAAATTGTATGAGAATGGAGCCCGCAGTCAGGTGGCGTTTGAATTGTAATTTGTAACATAGTGTTTGCATTAACTGCATTGACGGCCTTATCTAAACGATATAAACATATACATTAATATTTAATTATTTAGCTTAGTTTGTTAAACGAAAACGAAGCATAATTCCTAGACGATAAGCGAGAAACAACAAGAGAGTGCGAGTGCGCGACAGTTTTTGGTTTTTAAAACCCCACGATCGGCAAAAACAGATATCGGGCGTACATTGAATTAGCTCTAGTTGTTTAAACAGAAGGATGTAATTTTTAAAAACAAACCCAAAACCAATTGTAAAAAACGTTTTTGTGAAATTATTCGGAGTCGCGATCCCCAACCCAATTGTAAATACAGGCTAGGCTACGATTTTTCTAATAGTTAACTAGGTAAACAAAAACAAGCGTATATAACAAATTCTCGAGCTGACCAGGCCCATCTTGGCACTGGGCGCTCCAAAATTAAATATGTTTTTATTAGCGGCGCTCGTTCATCCATTTATTAACAAAAACACGGTTCACTAGACTGTAAGCGTGCATTATTATTTCTCGTGCAAGGTTCGAAACTGACCAAAAATCGGCCTCTCAAGTCCCAGGATGCAATTCGACCCGAATATACAACCCAAACCCACACACAAATAGACAAATTTTTTTATACAATTAGCCAGATAAATCTTGTAAAATATAAATCTATTTAATTGACAAACAATTGATGTAATTCAGCAAAAATCAATACAAAAAAAAAACTAAAGAATTCAATGTGTGTATATTAAATTAATCTATTAAACGTATAAAAAACAGGCAAAGCAACCGTAAACACAGCGCATAGTTTGGTAGGCATACAACTGAATATATATATAAATAGTATATATACTTATTATGTTTTAAAATTAAGCGAAATAAAAAAATTCAGAAAACTTTTCAACTGAGCACGCCACCAATTATTGTATGGGAAATGTTGAAATGTTTCTAATTATTTACAAATCATTTTTTACGACGGATGGAACATGTAACGGTATCTCAGTTAATTAGCTAGTTAAATCATTAAATTTTATGTAGTTGAATTAAATTAAATAATTTTATTGATATTTTTATATATTCATTTTATGTTAATTATTACTGCAATTTTGTGTAGACCCCATACAGAAATTCTAACACGAAATAAATAGTAACCAAATTTACATTTGGACTCAACCAGAAAAACACTCAATTGGCCAAGTTTTTATTTCAACAAATTTTATTTTAATTTTTTCTTTGAAAATTTTAACTTTAACTTAAAATTCCCTCAAGCTTTTCCGCCTTTCTTTAATTTCATATAAGCCTGTTTTGGCTCATATTCATATAATAGATTCTTAAAGTCTAGAAAATAGCCATCATATACTTTTCTAGCAGTAACATATTTATAAATGAGTCATATATTCGAGATCAGATTAATATAATCACAAATAAATGCCGCCAAAGCTTTTAAATCCAAACCAGTGTTGAACAACACTACAAAATGTTTAGCTCCGGTCACACTTTTCAGGAATCACCATTAATTTGTCAAAGTCGGACCCACCAAGTTGTAAACAATGCTATTCCCGGCACAATGACCGACTTTCTTCATGAAAACAATGCCTGCGGACAGAATCTTCTCAACATAGTGTCCGTGGGCAACTCCATAATAGCGGAGATTCTTCGCCTGAAGGACTACATCCCTAGCATATATAGGTAACTAAAGGTTGTCCACGATCCAGATGCACTAATTGCCACTCCCCTCAGATTGGACACAAAGGCAGATAAGGCGAAATATGGGGAGGTTATTGTGGACTTTAGCTACTTCAAGGTGGCCGAGGAGCTCGAGAAGAAAATTGAGAAGAGCCAAGTGAGAATTGGAGTTTGATGAGCTCTTCTGTGTTTTTGTACTCATCCCATTGTTGTTTAGGAGCTCACCGAGGTGGACGACGAGGTGCGCACCCATTTGCCGCTGATCACTAGGTTCTACCTGGCCTTCCAGAGCATTCACCACTACGCCACCGATCTGAAGCAGTACATCGAGGAGCTGAACAGTGGATACTACATTCAGCAGACCCTGGAGACGGTGCTGCAGGAGGAAGAGGGTCGCCAGCTTTTGTGCGAGTCCTTGTACCTGTTTGGAGTGATTCTGCTCCTTCTAGATTTTCATCTCCCCGGCGATGTGAGGGAGCGCCTGTTGATCTCCTATTACCGCTACAGCGGAGGGGAGTCTACGCCCAGCGGCGACGAGAGCAACATCCACGATGTGTGCTTGCTGTTGAGGTCTACGGGATACGTGCATCCCGCCCAGGCAGCGCAGATCTTGAGTCCTCTTAGTGGTAAACAGGCGGCGGCAGCTGCCGAAAAGCTATCCGTTTCCAAGTACCCAGAGGCCTATTTTGCTCGGTTCCCCTTCGATGAGGATTTTGTGGCCCTAGTGGTGGCGCGAATGCGCTGCGACGACATCTACAACCAGCTAACGCTGTACCCACATCCTGCCCACAGGTCCACGGCGCTGTCAACGCAAGCCGCCATGCTCTACGTGTGCCTTTACTTCTGCCCCAAGGTGCTGCACTCCCAGGGATCCCAGATGCGCGAGATCGTGGACAAGTTCTTCTGCGACAACTGGTGCTTGTCCGTCTACATGGGAGTCACTGTGAATCTGGTGGACGCCTGGCAGGACTTCCCCGCTGCCCGCTCCGCCTTGAGCAACATAATTACCCGCGAAACGATCAAGTTCCTTTGCCAGCAGCAGAATGAACAGCTGGCCAAGATTCAGCAGAGGACCCGGGACATTTGCCGCGAGGGTGTCCTGGGCGATGATTTTGTCTTGGAAAATGCTAACAAGATAATCCTGCTTATGCGGCAATCGAATGTTCTACTCCGCTGGTATAGCCTGCACACCTCCAAAGAAGTCTTCGTCTTCAGCCACACTACTGCTTCGCCTGGAAAGATCAGCAAGCTGTTGCTGGAGGAGCTCCAGTTCGATCGAAAGGCCCTTTACCAACTGATGATCAACTGCAGCCAAATGGAGCTTAGCGTCAGGGAGCTGCTGACGGAGATTCTCCAGAGCAGGGAGAGTCGCTGGGGGAAGTGCCGGGAGGAGGCTGTGGAGCGGGTGCTGGAACTGAGCGAAGCCTTCGCGGGCTCAAGACCGTTGGCCAAGATCGAGCAGAATCCCCAATTGCAGCAGTGGTTCGGGGAGGTGGCAGCGCGTCTGAAGAAATTGGAGCTGAGCCGGGCACAGAAATCGGGAAGAATGATTATACAGGTGATGCAAGCCCTGGACGAAGTGCAGGAGTATCACAATCTTGACGCCAATATGTTAGTCAAGCAGCAACTTCAGGAGACGAGGGATAGGCTGAGCAGGATGGCCCAGGTGCGTTATCATTAAATCCTTCCCACATGGTAAAATAACTAGATCCCTCCTTAGATAATCAACCTTAAAGAAGACATCGAAATCCACATCCAAATGATCACTGACTTCAGCTACGCCTGGCATCTTCTCCGGCAAGACTTCATGCCAATAATGCAAGACCACATCAAGAGACAACCGAAGGCAGTGATCGACATACGGGCAATCTTCCTGAAGCTGGCCAGCACTCTGGAGGTGCCGCTGATGAGGATCAATCAGGCAAGGAGCGAGGACCTGGCCTCGGTTTCCAACTACTACAGCACTGAGCTGGCCAACTTTCTGCGAAACGTGCTGCAAATCGTTCCAGAAACCATGTTCAGCATCCTGGCGGATATAATCCACCTGCTGACTAACGTGATCAAGGAGTTTCCCACCCGAGTGGAGAAGGAGAAGCTCAAGGAGTACGCCCAGTTCGAGGAGAGAGCCAAGGTTGCCCAGCTGACCAACTCTATAGCTGTGTTCACCAAGGGAATCCTCATGATGAAGACCACGCTGGTCGGCGTGCTGGAACTCGATCCCAAGCAGCTGCTGGAGGATGGAATCCGCAAGGAGCTAGTCAACCACTTGGCCAGGGCCTACCACTTGGGATTGGTTTTTACGCCCGAGAAAGGCAAGTCTCCGGTTCAACTCCTTCAGCAGAAGTTGGAAGCTCTGGGCAAAACCATCGAAGGGTATCGCAGGTCCTTCGAGTACATAGAGGACTACCTGAGGGTGCAGGGCTTGCGAATCCTGCTGGAGGAGACTCAGCGCATCATCAACTACAATGTGGAGAAGGAGTGCAATGCATTTTTGAAGAACAAAGTTCAGGAGTGGCAATCGCAGCACCAAAGCCAGATCATACCTATTCCCAACTTTCCGCCAATCCAGGGAGATGCCTCCAACTCCAACAACTTCATCGGACGCCTGGCCCACGAGATCCTGCGCTGCACTGATCCCAAGCAAACCATATTCCTGAGCCTCGAAAACAAGTGGTACGAAAAGAAGGGGTCTCACACAAAAGTTTTGGGCGGAACGGATTTCTTTGGAATGCTCCGGGAAGCTATGGCTCCTGCTGGAATGGTGGGACTGGAGCGTCTGTATGCGCACATGCTGGCCGATGATCTGAGGCGTAATCTGGAGCGACTGCAGCGAAATCTCAGCACAGATCGTATGTGGGTGGATGCCATGGCTAGTCTAACAAGGGAACTGGAGGCCCGGGACTTTCCCCCGCCCGACGTGGCTAAGCAGCCTCTGAAGTACTACCAGGGATACACCCAAAGATGGCTCAAGGTGTGGCCAACGCTGTTGGATTGGGTTCTCTCGATGGGACAGAAGCAGTTGCTGCGACAGCAAATCGCCGGGGAACTGAACTTCAGCAGCAAGTGCGAAGCTAAGCTGCTGAACAACACGGCCGACACCCTAAACCGGTAAGGATACATGTCCTTAGTCGTTGTAGAGGCGTCTTTAATAAAATTTCCATTCCCAGAGCCCTCATGCTTGAACTATCGCAGGGTAAGCATCTCTGCAATGAAGAGGGTGTGCGTATGATAACTGAACTGCAGGAAATCCTGCTCTACACTGGGAACTACGAGCCCCTGGAACAGGTCTTCCTCGTCACCAAAAACTCCCACAACATGTCTCTGTTCCTGTTCCTCTTTACGATCGCCCACTTGGGTCGTCTGCAACATTCCTCCAATGTGGACTGCCTGGTCCCCAAAACAGCCAAAGATGCGATCGATTGTGTGCCTTTCATTGTGGGTCTGTTGACGATCTTCCAGCAGTTCCACACCAACGTGAAGATGCTCTACCTATCCTACATGAGCCAATACGTGGTGACAGTGTCGGAAGCTCAACTAACGTACGTTCTTAATTCTTTCCAAAAATTATCTTGCAATGCAATATCTTATCTTCTAGGGACAATAAATTTCTGGGTCCGGACGTGGTAACTACCATATACTTTCTGCAGGAATTCGTGCACGTCGCTCGACTACCCACGAAGGTACTGCAGCAGCGCATTCCCAACATTCTGCTCAGCGATTTCGAGTTCCTGGCCACGCCTATTAAGTAATGATCACCAAGAGCCACAAGTTTGGGCTACACAAACTTTAATAAATCCGAAACATAACAAGGAAATGCCTCGCTGAGGTACTTTGGGAGATTTTCGATGGAGGGGCTTTAGTGGATAATCTCAGGAATCTGTTCCAGGCCAGGCCAGGCTCCTTACGTTATGACGGTGGGAGCGTTGCGGCCTGTGAACTTGGGCAGTTGCGAGATCTCCAGGGCAATGTCGATCAGTGGCTTCAACATAACAGCAGCCTGTCCCAAGACATTGTCCTTCTCGTAGGAGTCGATGTACAAGCTGGAGAGGGAAGGAAAAGGTGGTCATTACGGAAGACAAGAAATCCTTCTGATAACTTACCGCACGGTGGCTCCAGAGCTTCCAGTTCCACTAAGACGCACCACAATACGGCTGCCGTCTTCGAAGACGATGCGGAGACCCTGCTTGGTGGCCACCGACTTGTCAACGGGATCCGTGTAACTAAAGTTGTCGGCCTCCTTGACCTTGTACGTCTTTCCTCCGCTGGAGAAGCTCTTGCCCACGAACTCGGGCGAAGTGATGGTCTTCTCCATGGTGGACACCATCTCGTTGCAGGGATCGGAAGCGCACTCCTCGTAGTCGTACCGGGTGAAGTAGTTGCGACCATACACGGACCAGTGCTGCTTGAGGATGTCCTCGATGCCCTTGCCGGTGTGCTGCATCACCGAAATCCAGGCCAGCACGGCCCAGATACCGTCCTTCTCGCGGATGTGGTTAGAGCCAGTGCCGAAGCTCTCCTCTCCGCACAGGCACAGCCTTCCGGCGTCCATCAGGTTGCCAAAGTACTTCCATCCGGTGGGCACCTCGAAGACCTCCTTGCCCAGCTTCTTGCCAACCAAATCGACCGCCGAGGCGGTGGGCATGCTGCGAGCGAAGCCCTGGACTCCATTCTTCTGGAAGTAGGGAATAGCCTCGAGGTAGTGGGCAATCACCGCCAGGGAATCACTGGGAGTCACGAAGAACGCCTTGTTGCCGATGATCATGTTCCTGTCGCCATCGCCATCGAAGGCAGCTCCAATGTCGTAGTCGCCCTTCGCCACAGTCTCCACCAGATCCTTGGCATATGTCAGATTAGGATCCGGGTGCAGGCCACCGAAGTCCGGCAGCGGAGTGGTGTGAACCACAGATGCCTCTGAGGCTCCCAGGCGGTTCAAAAAGATTTCCCGGACATAGGATCCAGTCACGCCGTTCATGGCATCGATACGCATCTTCAGGGGCTTCCCTGTGGCCTTGCCACTCACGAAGTCCTTCAGCTTGGCGAAGTCGAAGATCTCCTCCATGTGACGGACATAGTTGGCCACCGAATCAATCACCTCCACGGTGAAGGCTTTTCCAGCGATGTCGAAGCTGGTCACTCCCACCTTGGAGATGTCGATCTGGAGGTTGCGCACCAGCTTGTACTGCTTGATCTCTGTGGTGATCTTGTAGATGTGGTTGGTGAAGGCATCGGGGGCGGGGCCTCCGTTCTCGCAGTTGAACTTGATGCCGAAGTCATTCTCCGGGCCACCAGGGTTGTGGGAGGCGGTCAGGACGATACCACCTACGAAATATTCAAATTTTTAATTTATTTTTATAGTACATGGGGTACAGGTAATTATTTTAAGACTCCGAATCCCCCACTGATCTTAACTGGCCCGCAGCGATCTTTGGCAAAAATTATCCGATTCTTGAGCGGAATACCTTAAACGATTCGTGGATCGATTTTCCATAAATCTGCATCAAAATCTGAGAACAAAATATTTTTTCGATTTTTTGTCAAAATTTCTGGAGGGTCCCCTTCGAAAATCCCAAAAAATGCATGGAGCCGCTATATGGCCTCTTGGGATGGCTATATCTTTGGCAAAAATTATCCGATTCTTGAGCGGAATACCTTTCCACGAAACGGTTCGTGGATCGATTCTCCATAAATCTCAAAATCTGAGAACAACATATTTTTTCGATTTTTTGTCAAAATTTTTGGAGGGTCCCCTTCGAAAATCCCAAAAATTGGATGAAGCCGCTATATGGCCTCTTGCGATGGCTATATCTTTGGCAAAACTTATCCGATTCTTAAGCGGAATACCTTAAACGATTCGTGGATCGATTCTGCATAAATCTGCATCAAAATCTGAAAACAAAATATTTTTTCGATTTTTTGTCAAAATTTCTGGAGGGTCCCCTTCGAAAATCCCAAAAAATGCATGGAGCCGCTATATGGCCTCTTGGGATGGCTATATCTTTGGCAAAAATTATCCGATTCTTCAGCGAAATACCTTAAACGATTCGTGGATCGATTCTCCATAAATGTGAATAAAAATCTAAGACAACAAGGAGCCACTATATGACCCACAGCGAAGTCTATATCTTGGTCACAATATTCTAAGCCCAAGCAAGGGCTGTAACATATTATGTTCCTAATTGTGAAATACTTGTGTACGTAAAACCTTTGTTTACGAAGTGCCTGATACTGAACTTATCAGTATATTTCTGGTAACAAAAACATAACAATTTTTCAGAGCTTAAAAAGTGTCTATTGTTTTAAAATTTAAATATCTGTTTTTGGTAAACAGTACCTATGGAACAATACTGTTAACTGGTTTGAATTATTTTGTACCGGGTTTGACCTCAGGGACCTCTGTCAGTTAACAGCGCGACAAAAGTTGATTACGAAGAGATGGGTCTTATCAATTAAAATCTTTACGAGCGCAGTGGAGGCTGTGTAACTATGTAGGAAGCTACTCACCCAAGGCCTTGTTGTGACGAATCAGGCTGGACACTGCGGGGGTGGACAGGATGCCGTTCTGACCCACCAACAGCTTAGAAACACCATTGGCCGCGGAGAGACGGACAATCAGCTCGGCGGCCTCCTTGCAGTAGAAACGTCCATCGCCGCCAACCACCAAAGTGGAACCGGCCAGAGCAGCTCCATTGGCCTCCAAAATGGCCTGGACAAAGTTCTCAGTGTAATGGGGTTGGGTAAAAACTTTTACCTGCGATGACGAAAAGATTTGAAAGTTTTCGAAATAAGTTTAGGAGGAAGATCTATGAGTTTTCCGAACTGACCTTTTTGCGCAAGCCACTGGTGCCTGGCTTTTGACCCTCGTAGATCGTTGTGGGCACTGTTTCCACTGATAGCGACATCTCTCTGGAGTTTTCCTGCTGCTGGCTGAATTCCAACTGGACGACTTACCCGCGTTTGCGTGCGATGAAAATTGAGTGTCAGCCACAGCGCAGCGAAATTCGCCTCCCACTGATAAGCTAATTCTGATCAGCCACACCGACTGAGATAACCGCTATCTTTAATGCGTGATGTCCGAACGAAGTAATCTTTGATTAGGGGTGTGTCTTTGGGCCCCTCTAGTGCCAATAAGTTAGATAGCCTTGAGTAATCACTGCCTAAAAGCTCTTGTTTCACCATTATTGTAAATAATTTAAAGGTTTGAACTAAAACAAATACGCCGATCTGCTAAGAGTAGGGTGCAATGTCATTCAAGGGCACTGTTTGTGCCGGCAAACAGCTGTTTTGAATGGAAACTTTGCTGAAAGTACAACAAAAAATAACTAATACTAATCAAATATTGAAGAATAATATATAGAATTTGATAAAAACAGAAACAAAACTCATTTGTTTTCATTCTTTAGTTGTTTATTCAAAAAATAACAGCGCAGCTGTATGTTTACAGTGGCTTAACAGAATTAGGGTTGGAAAACGTTTGAAAGAGTATAAGGAATGGTGGAATATGGAACCAGAGCGGGATTCTTTTAATTTTAAATTTCGCCATTATTTATAAATTAAAAAGTTGCTGTTTGTGTTTTCAAAAGCTTAAGTTGATTAGAATAGGGAGAATCTTTAAAAATCTTCCCTGATATACTCACAAGATAAAAATAATCAAGACAATTGAACAATATTTATATGGCCGTTTTAAATTCAATGGCACAAAGAAACGTAAATTATTGAATTATTTACAAAGTTAAATTTAATTTTTAAATGCGTAAACAAAAGAAAAGATTATCTTTTAAATGAAATTACCACTTTCTCTTCGATACTATCGTCGATATTTTTGCAACCCTACCATATGCCATTCCACGTCACGGAAATTTGACAGCACGAACCGAGAAGGTTTGACATTCCACGTCACGAAGAAACGATTCGAGAAAGCGGCCGCCTGCTGATTAGTTATTGAAATACTCTTGAGGAAATTACCCGAAAACCAAGTAAGTGTTGAGTTTATTAAACAAAAACTACCTGCTGAAGTCCCAAACATTTTCACGACACCCTTGTGTTATAAATCGAAAGAAATACCCAAGGGAAAGGCGGGCCCTTTGCGACAGCGACCCTTCCACGTCAACAAAAAATTGTAAACGTTAATTACCGAATTTTCCGTCTGTTTTCCAGGATGTTTAAGCACCTGCTGGTTCTCTGCGCCCTGTGCGCCGTTTTTAACGTCTGCCTGTCCGAGGACGAGACTCGCGCTCGCCTCCTCGTCTCCAAACAGATCCTGAACAAGTATCTGGTGGAGAAGAGCGATCTGCTGGTCAGGTACACCATCTTCAACGTAGGAAACGGAGCCGCCACCAAGGTTAGCCTCGTCGACAGCGGTTTCCACCCTGAGGCCTTCGAGGTGGTCGGAGGACAGCCCACCGCCGTGGTCGACAGGATTGCCCCCCAGACTAACTTCACCCATGTGGTTGTGGTGCGCCCCAAGGCCTTCGGTTACTTCAACTTCACCGCCGCCGAGGTGTCCTACAAGCCCGTCGAGGAGTCGGAGACGGTGAGTAAAGATCCTAGAGACCTTTGTAGCAATGTTTCATAGTATGCTTCTGCAGCTCCAACTGGCTATCAGCTCTGAGCCCGGTGAGGGTGGCATTGTCAACCTGAACGAGTACAACAAGCGCTTCTCCTCCCACTTCTTCGATTGGGTGGCCTTCGGCGTGATGACCCTGCCCTCCTTGGCCATCCCTCTGGGTCTGTGGCATCAGTCCAAGAGCAAATACGAGCGCTCTGGCAAGAACAAGAAGCACTAAGCTGTCCAGCCGTGGAGTCGTGGAGCCTCACCCCAAGAGATTTCTTTTCGAACACACACATAAATTCCGTTCAATTTTGTTGCTTTAGTTTCCAATTGATTCCATGCGTTGTTTCACTCATTCAACCCACAAACACATTTAGTTTACTCCAGTCTGGGACTGTCGTCTGGAGACGGGCGTTAAATCGTTTTAGATTTGATACGAAGACGCATCGAGTAAAGAGAGTTAAAAAGTCCATCAAAGATAAGCGTTTTCTGCTTTTCTAAATAAATTAAATCCAATTGTAAGATAACGATTTTTCTTGGGTTTCTAAAGTGGGCAAGGTCTAATCTTTAAGAACCTCGTAGAATGTAGGAAACTTTTATAGTTAAATTAATTTTACTAGAAAACTTTATAGGCTAAAATTATAACAGTTTAGGATAACAAACACTTCCGTCCAAAGATCTCAGCCTTCTTATCGAACATCGGGGACTTGATGGGCGTATTGATCCGATAAAAGGAGTTCATGGAATGCTTAATATACGTTTCGTACATCTCGTTGAAAAAGTTCTTGATGCCCTCGTCGTTCTTGTTGTCGTGGACTATGATGAATCGGATCTGGCTGGCGGTGATGAAGGCAGACACAAACCACTGGTTGAATCTGTCGATGGACTTTAGTTGCATGTTGGCCGTTTTCCACTTGTGCTCGTCCACCAAGTCCAAAGCTGCGTGAGCAATGAACTGGCTCAGATGCCTGTGGTCCTCCTTCTGCAAATTGGGATGAGTTACAGGTGATTCTATAAGATACTGCTTCAATTACCCACCCTTAGTTCCTTGTTAACCGTGCTAAACTCCTTTTCGTAGATGGGATTATCATTGTGGCCCACAATAACAAAATAATAAGTGGACATTTTGGTGAAAGATGAAAACAAAGTTTTCCAGTGTGACCGAAGCTGCAGAGAAAATTGCCGCACCCTGTTTTAACAAACTTGAAGTTGAATTAATAATAATTAATTTCTCTCATTTAAAGAAAAATTAAACTAATTGAAAATCTTTACTATTATAAGACATTTTATACACTACTTTCCCATTTTTAAAACATGAGTGATAATAAAAATACCATAACAAAGATCTCCAGTGATGTAAAACATCATTCATTGCATTCTTTTCCAGCACTGCCCATTCGCGCCTTTTTTTCTCCCCCAGCACATTGTACTTCCACTTTTTGGTAAAAAAAACTCAATTAAAATGGTTTTAAAAGCCTGATCTGAATCGGTGTGAGAAGAGATCGCTTCTTCGGATAATTTCCCGTCCCAAAGTCAAGAATTAAGTGCAGTTAATGCCATTAAAGCGGTGTGTGTGCGTGTGAAAATTGCAACAAACACGAGAATCGAGAAATCTGCGAAGGTAGACCTCATTATTATTGTATTGTATTTTGCTTTGTTTGGCCCGTTTGTTGCGATCTTATCAGTTTGGCTTCTGTTCTGTAAACCGTATTTCATTCGCTTACACTAGATAGACCTCAAATACCAAAAACACTTAAGAAAACCCACATTCCCGACACACGCACACACTGAGCATTATGTATTAGAGTAAACCCGAACAAGAGACCGAAATGACCGATGTAAATTGTCTTACAAGTGAGCACGTTGCGACCACGAGTCCGCCTGGAACCCCTACCAAAAATGCTGTCCAGAGTCTGCTGATTGAGCCCACATCGCCGTTTGTTCTCCGTGCTCCTCCCAGCGAGAAGTCCAAGCTGATCCTCCAGAACATGGAGGAGGTACTCAACTCCGTGAAGCAGAAGCACCGCGAGAAGCACAAGCGCAAGCGGGAAGAGAAGCGGAGGGCAGCTGCAGCCCTTCTGGTGGAAGGCGACAATCCCAAGAAGTCCGACCAGGACCAGGAAAAACCCCAGCCCCTGAGAGAGAAGTCCTCGCAGGAGAATGGCCTCAAAAACGGTCACCGTCACCGGCGATCCAGTCCCCTGAAGTGCAGCACACCTGTGGCCGATCACCAGAGCATAAAGAAGCACTTTACCAAAACCGGGAAGCCCGAAAACGCCAATGCCTCCGCAGGGGCGGGGGTGGAAACGAAAGCCAAAGCGCCCACCAATGTCTTTGAGTTTATGATGAATGCCAGAAATAGATCCATCGGCGTCAATGAAGAAGGAGCAGATGCGCCCGCGGATCAGGAAGAGGGAGCCGGAGTGGTCACGGCGCAGACCAAGCGCAAGCAAATGCTTCAGGAATGGAACGATCGCAAGGGAGGCACGAAGCGACGGCTGGCGGATGAAGCGCGCGGCGAGTTCATCGAAGTGCAGATGGAACAGCGGGCCAAGAGGTGAGTGTGGTTGCGGCTATCAGAAACCCAATAATAATATTTCCACTATTAAGGTTGAAGAAAATGCTGACAAAGACTGACCCAAAGGAAGTAGTGGCTCCGTCCTCGGCGCCCACAGTGACCCAGAATGTCAAACGCCCGAGGGGAAGGCCCCGCGGACGGCGACTTAGTACCATGGATCCGGAGGCGATTGTGGTCACGCCAAAGTCGCAGGATCCGGAAACCGAGGAATTTCTGTCCAAGCTCTCTTCCCCGACCAAAAAGCGGGACAGCCTTCTGGGCTACTTCAATAAGGTGGAATCACCCAAAGAACTGGCCGAAAAACAAACTGTAGCAATAGACACACCACCCATGGAGACGCCAAAACGACGAACTGGTCGACGGAAGAGCAACCAGGAGACGCCTGTTGTAGTGCCCGCTGATTCCACGCCTTCCGGGCGACCGAGACGATCTTGTGCCGGCAAGGCGCGCTATGATTACGACCTAGAAACGAGTCCCTCAAAAGCACCGAAGGGGAAGGTTGTCCAAAAGGCGGAGGAATCGGTCGAGATCATTGATCTTGACAACAGTAATCCGGCCTGCACTCCCGTGAAGCTCGCACCGCTGTTCGTAAAACAATTGCCAAAACCTAGCCCCGATCCTTCGGTTCTAAAGGCGCGTCAAGCATTCCTACAATCCGGAGTACCGGACAAGATCCGCCAAGAGCAGAACCGTCAGAAGCAGTTCGAGCAGATGTACGAGGAGAGCTATGAGGTCTTTCCCAGACTAGCGCACACTGGCTGCGAGAGTTATGTCTCCAAATCGGAACCCCTGGAGTTGCCTTTTGTATTAAGAGACGAGGGATTCCTAGAAGAGGTGGCTGGGAATCCAGGCAAGCGTCGGTCCAAGTCGAGTTCATTTACGAGCTGCATTTTCGCCAATTTCAGCGCCAACTTGGGGTCTCGGAAAACCAACTACTCCACTCTCCCGCAGTTGGATAACAAGCGGGGCTTTGTCAAGCTTTGGAAGACTGCCTTCGACCGCTTTCCCACCTTCAAGTGCTACAACCAGATGCGGGAGAAGTACCGGCACTTCAGTGCCATTGATAGTGCCCAGGACACCCAGCAAATGGGCGAATCCTTCGTGGTAACGAGGCGCACAAGGCGATCAATGGAGCAGCATGCAGATACGGGCGATGAGGACGTGAAGCCACCGCCCTCAGCTCCCAATGGGGAACTGCTCTTCACCGAGAAGTACAAACCGCTGCTGTTCGAGCAGGTTTTGGTGAACTTGACGCCGGTCCAGGAACTCAAAGAGTTCCTCGCCGGCTGGAGTGGCAACGGGGGCAGTAATCGCAACTCTCAAACGATGGACGACTCTTCCTTCGATCTCAGCCTCGACTCCAGCTCCATGGGAGCCAGCAGCAACACCATGGTGCTCGTCGGACCCTCGTCCAGCGGAAAGACCAATGCTGTGTTCGCGCTCGCCAACGACATGAACTTCAATGTGCTGGAAATCAACGCGGGAATGAAGCGAACGGGCAAGAAGCTGATCCAGGAGCTCCAGGAAGCCACCCAATCGCATCAGATCCGCAAGGACAGCAAGTCGGGTGGCTCCTCCCAGCAGCTGCTGCAGAAACTGCAAAAGGGCAGCCTGAAAGCCAAGGCAGCTGCGATGGAAACTCCTTCCGAAGTTCGGAAATCCCTCATTCTGATCGAGGACGCGGATATCCTTTTTGACAACCTGGATGCTGGCTTCACGGAGGCTATATACACCCTGGCAGCTAGTTCAAAGCGACCCGTGATTGTGGTAGCGACGGATCCCAACTGTGCGCACTTGCAGCGCCTGATGCAGCAGAACCAGATACACTTCCAGGCCCCCAATGTCCTGAACATCTCGCGGTTCCTCGCTGTTTTGGCTTTGATGGAGAACTGTCCCATCGAACTGGATGAGCTGATCTCCCTGTACTTGTACAACAAACAGAACCTGCGCAAGACCCTGTTGGAGCTGCAGTTCTACATACAGAGCGGGGGAGATGGATCTAGAGTGGGGGGCAGCAAATCGCCCTCCAAGAATTCGCTGACCCGCCTGGCCACCGTCGACGGCTGCAACATCCACCAGCGACTGTTCGAGTTCTTCACCACCTCCCAGAATGTCCAGCACAGGATTGTTCCATTTCCGGTCGATTTTGGTCTGTTGCGACTGAATCTCCCCGAGTTCATAGCTACATCCCCGCTGCTCAAGGATTCGGGTGAAGCCGCTGCGGCCAGACCCCCTGCCAAACGGAAATCCCGCTCACCAAAGAAGGCCTGGCTCAGCAGCGCCACTGGCCAGAAGAAGGAAGGAAGTGCCTCTCCTCTGGCCACCTTGGCGTCCTTCTACGACAACATATCTCTCGCCGCAATGGTGGACTCTGGTAGCGACTGCAGTGATCGCTTGCAGGTCCACCTCGCCGAGGACATTGCGCACTCGCTGGTGGAGCAGGCTCTCCAGACTGGACTGGCGGCCAAAGAGTGTCCTTACAACTTTTTCGACAAGCCAAAACAGAGGTAACTATTAAACATGTTTGGTGTATTTTCCCCCGCAAACACTAAACCACTAAAAGATAAGTTTAAACGCTTTTCTGGTTTCCCCATTCCTAGATAACCATTTGTAGAAGCCATAAAATGACTTTCCAAAGTCCTGGGTTAATCAACTTTGAATTCGCCAAAGTTTTTATGGCACAAGTGTGGTAATATCGCCTTGTCATAAAATAAACGATCGTCTGCATAGCTATACCTATATAATACCATCATTCATAAAGTTGGTCAGGAGATAAACCGAAAATACTGGAGTATTTTGATACCTGTGATCGATCGATATAGGTCCGACCACATAGGTCACGCCTGATAGAAAATGTTAATGCTAGGAATATTACTTTTTTTATATTTTTCAAAAGATTAGGGATATTAGTGTTAGATATATAATACTCTTCTCCTTCTAAATAATAATATTAAACTAATAAGTATGTTTGTTTTTAGGAAAACCATCAGCGAATTCCTAGGCAACGGCCTGATACGTTCTTCCTCCGCAAAGGCCCTCGATTTTGAGCCCTGCCTGCGCTCCATCTGCCGGAGTGAAAAGGAGCGAGCCGGACAGGAGCGGAGGTCGAGTAGATTCTATCACTATCTGCGCAACCACACGGTGAACGTGACCAGCTTCTCCCTGGAGTCCTTTGATGCCGTCTGCTCCGTTTTCCAAGAGGAGGAGGAGGTCAGCGAGGGCGGACCTCCAGCGGAAGCGGAGGAGAAGAGCTAGGAGATTAAAAGTCGAAGTACGGTTTAGTTTAATTATTTGAGTGGTGGAGTTGCTCCGCCAGGTTTAATTGCAATTTATTCAGAGCGAGGTAAGCAGAGTTGATCTTCTTAGACTAGAGAATGAGATGAGACCTAGACCTAGCTAAAACTAATTACACTAATTGTAAATGATTTACACCTGATTCTAAGTAAATAAATCTACTAAATGACACTATTATGATAAGATGCTTGTTTCTTTTTGGCCCGACTAGCAGCAGCAGAGGAAGCCGGAGGAGCTCTTCTTCGCAGGTTCTGGATCGGAGGTAATGGTGTTGACTCCGGACTTGGCTCCGGTGGACAGGGGCTGGATTTGAATTGGCGCCGCCTCGGCGGGTCGAAGCTCCCCGATTTTGTAGTTCTTCAGATCCCGCTCGGCATCGGAGGAGTGACCCGCCTGCTTGAAGGCCTTGGAGGCGTCCTTGCCTCCGTACTCGAGGAGTGCATCCCCGCCGCCGGGATGTTCCGCCAGAAAGTTGGTCACATCGTAGACGTTTCCCTTGATGATCAGCCAGCAGGGCTTTCCGTTCTTGCCATTGTTTTGGGCCACCTCCGAAGGATCGTATAACTGCGACATCTTAGGGATTTTTGGCTGTTGAAGTTCCGGCTAATATATTTAATATTTGGAATTATTTTATAGCTTGTTTGAGGAGCTGTTAACCGTTGGACAACCCGGCCGAATATGGACGCGTGCCAAGCTGGAACCATTGTTTAAGTTTTGAAATTATCAATATTGTAGAATTATCGGTCGAATCGGTTGTACTTACCTCACCCCGCCCAATTACTAGTTGCGGTTTTAGTTCCACAATCTGTCTGCCTGTTTTTGATAAGAAATACGTGAGAATTTCACGTCTTCCAAGGCGACCCACTACCGCAGGCACTTTCTAATAAATTTCATGGATTTCTGCAAATCATGAATGCAAATTGATTAGAGGGTGTTGGCATGGAGTGGTTCCCTATCTTTCAGGCCAATCTAAATACTACCAGTGATTCACTGGAGGTATGAGACACTGGTATCGGTTAGATTGGTTTATGATGGGATATTTCCCTGTGTCTACTATATTGACTACCCCCGATTTCGTCAAACATGATGCATCACAGGTTATTCCTTCAGGTTCGAGTGACCTTATCGGGGACTTCTGGACTGGAAGATAACGCCTGTCGAAGAAACTCATTCTCTTGGAAGTTCTTTTAGGACTCTTATCACCTGACATTAACCCATTCCCAAGAAAAATCAATCACAGTCTTGATATTTTTAGCTTTCAAAGTTTATATTCTATATATATTTTGGAAATATATTTTAAATTTGCATCGTTTTCCACGGTATTGGTTTTCGTTTGTTTTTTTTTTTTTTATATGAGACAACAACAATAATTGGTATTTATTTAATATATATATGTAATTAGATATATACGTTTTCATGCGCCTTCAAAAATTTCGCTAGTTTGGGATGCAATTCTGCTGCGGGACTCGAGTTGGGGGCCTTTGGGGGATAGAGTATGAATGTCGGATGGGACTGTTGACTGTGTTTACATTAACATAATGTCCTGCATTCGGTGTATTTACAAATGCAAATTTCTTGCTTTCCATATAAATTGTTTTATTTTTATTTATAATTTATCATCTGTTATAAATATCAGTCGACGGCTTCGCATTTTCAAAACGCAGCTCGTGTGCGCTTCCATTTGTATTTTCGATTTTAAATGTACAGATACAGATACCATATACCATATAATCGTAATATCGTTATGTATACCATAAATATAAAGTGTAAAATTAATTACTTGTCAATGATTGTTGATTTGTTGTTGAATTAATCGATCGATCGGCTTGAATTTTAAAAAACTTTAATTCAATCAATTGATTTGCTATAAGTAAATTTTAAGTTTTCGTTTAGTTCTAAGCTAAACACAATTCGTAGACTTGATCTTCGTTTAGAATTTAATTTTTAATTTAAAAAACACTTTTGGAGGTAGTTGAAATTAGGCCTGTTTACGTAAATTATATTTATATATATATATATATTTTATTATTTTATAAATGTGTATATATGTAGCTGATTCAACGATATTTTAGTTGGACTTAATTCTTTATAACTATTTAATTATTCATTTTCTACACTCCTTATTAAGTTTATTCATTGTCTGTTGATTTTTGTTCGGTCTGCGATACTTCGGGCTATTTCCGGTTCCATTACTTTAAGTATGATTGATCCATAGACATCGAACTCTATCTCGTAATTAATTAAATTTTAGGCTTTTAGGACTTTTCTGCTTAGTATGTTTCCTTTTCTTATTTTGTTTTGCTTTTGTTATCTAGTTTTTCGATTTCCATTTCGTTTCTTCTAAATGTTCGGTTAAATACGGTTTAAATTTGATTTAATGGATCGTAAGTGTTGAAACCATTCTTCTTGTTTCTTTCTAATATGTTAATTTTAATGCTTCAGGGATTAGCTTTTTTTTTTTTAAATTTCTGGATATATTTTTTTATAAAACCAAAATTGTAGGTTGGCTAATAATGAGAAAAAATGTTCTATGGTGCTTAGCATTTACATTGCAGTGGGATTTATTTCCTTAATCTTGTATTATCCTAAACTAAACACACGAGAATAAAAAAAAGGTAATGTTGATTATTTGCTACTCTCCGTTTGAACAGTCCGCGTATTAAAGCGTTGCCATACTTGCTAAATTGACGCTGCCCAATTAATTTCTAAGATCGATAACTTCGATCGACCGGTGCTGCCAGATTACGCCTAAGTTATCGAAAGCTTAAATTTAAATTTCGTTTGTAGCATTTCCCCCACTATGACTTTATTCCTATGCAAATTCATAGAAGTGGAGAATCAGCATAAAAAAAATGAAAATAAAAACAATAATTTTTCTAAAATTTGGTTTACATAGATTTCATTTCATTGTTGTTTTTTTTACAGTGTAATTCCGTTAGCAAATATACAAATACAAATTTCAATTGAACTAAAAATGGTTTCTGTGTGTGTTTCGTGTGTACCAGCACGGGGCCATGCATACAATAATAATAATAATAATAATATAATAATAATAATAGTTATAGGGGTCAGGGATGGGGAGCGGGATAGATTATAGTTAAGAGTTGGCTGCTTTAAAAACTAGAGTTATTCAAACTAAAGTGTATACAATATTCATTCATAAAACTACAATTACATATTCACTTATGCTTCTTTAGTCGCTATTTTAAAGTTCAAAAACGCTATTGTTTCTATGGTCTGTGTTGAGTGCTAAAAGGCGGCAGCGCAGCTATGTCTTCTCGTCCTTAATTTCCTTTACATTCTCTAGCTTTCCTTCTCCTTTTCCTTCTTTTAATTCAAATTTACAAATTAAATTCTGACTAATAAACAGTCTTTTCGTACCAGCGCAAAAGTTGGCGACAGACCTACACAAAATAAATCTGTTAAACTTTAACATAATAGATAAACATAGGCTAACATAAAAAAAATATATGTGTTTCTATATGTATTACATATCAGTGGCCAATCACAAAATTCGCGGATCAAAAGTCAATATTTTAAAATTACTTAAATGGTAACAAAGGTTCCCTTCTGTGATTGCGGCTTTGGGCCTAAAATTTCCATTCTTATAACCCTCATTTAAAACAAAACTTTTAATCCCTGGCGATTTCTGCGATGCCTCCGATGTACATAGTTATTTAGTTAAACTTAACACGAGCTCAGTTATGAGGTGGCTCCACAGTGACTGCAATTCCGGCTATTGCAGCTGCAGTGGCAGCTCATCATGCTAGAGTTGGAATTATTGCGGCTCATCGTGGTCAGCGGGGCATCTGCTGAGGAAGACTGTGTGGATGTGGATGTGGCTGCGGTCGCAGATGTCTCGGCGGGTAGGCTGGCGCTGCTGCTGCTCCTCAGCGGCTGTAGGCCAGCTCCAATCGGCACGGATACGGACAGCGGGGGCGTGGGTATTCTTTCCGGGCTGCAGTTTCCGCTTGACATCGCTCCCGCCGTCGCTCCGCCCGTTCCCAAGCTGGTTAGCAGCTGTGTGCTGGGTCCCAGGCCCGCGTAGATATGCGCTCCACTCGGGTTGGTGCCATAACCGCACGCCGTGCTCTTCAGCAGCGCGGCATTGGACACGGGCAGTGGGCACAGCGGCACGGCCGCCAGGGACGAGGCCGATGAGGAGGTCGAAACGCCGGCCGAGGAGGCCAGCGAAGAGGCGGACGACGACATGGACACGGAGGAGGCTGAGGCTGACTGAGAGGACGCCACCGAGGATAGCGAACAGTTGGGCGGCGACTTTGGTGAGCTGATGCGCGAGAAGAATTTGGATATGGCGTTGGGCTTGGACTTGCTGGACGACGAGGAGGCGGTCACCGCCGCACCAGAGGGCGAGTACGTTGAGGAGGCGGCCTGGAGCGTGGTTAGACGGTAGCTGGAGCTGGGGACCCCGCAGCCGCCCGCTGAGATCTGCTCGGGCACATCCCGCACCGTCTTGTTGGGCGGCGGTTTCGTGTACGACCTGGTGATCTCCGATTGCTGTTGGAAGAAGGTCATCAATTAATACAAATTGGAGAGAAGAGTTTCAGTGTGAACCCACCTGATAGCTACTCCTGATCTGCAGGTGCCGATCCTGTCCGTACTCGCTGTCCGGCAGTGGTACATGGTGGGGGCAGCGGGGCGTTTGCTGCTGTTGCAGCTGGTACTGGTAATGTTGATGGTGGTCGTTGCTGTGACTCTGCAGCGAGCTGCATGTGGATCCGGTCGAGGAGTTGCCGCAGTCGCCCTTGTAACAGCCACTCCCACTCCCGCTCCCGCTGCCCGTGTTGCCGTATTTAAGGGTGGTGGCCTCGATGCCACCGCGCGCCACATTGCTGCTAATACTATTGTTGTTCAGTTGCTGGTGGTGGTCACTGGCACCTCTGCTGCCGCCGCTGCCACTGCCGCCGGAGCTGTGCGTGCTTGGAGTTGTCATGCGTTGTTGCTGTTGGTGGGAATGTTGTTGCTTATTGTTGCCGCTGCTGCTGCTGCTGATGTTGATGTTGCTGTGATGGAGATGGTGTTGTTGCTGATGCTGGAGTTGGTTATTGCCGGTGCCACGAATCACAGTCTCGCCACGTACAGCCAGGAGCTCACGTGCCTGGAGCGCATCGACGCGCATTCTACGTCTAAATTGATCCCTTTTTTTGTAAGAAAAATTATCCAATTAGTATATGGAAGGTGTGGAAAGTCCAAGGAAAACTTACCTATCATCAGGTGGTGTACTTAACGATGTGCGGGTCGGAACGCCGAGCCGCTCCATTCCCGCGCAGCCGGCCGTCTGTACCGATAGCATCTGGAAATGAAGGAAATCGGAAAAATCGGAATTAGATTTATAGTCAAGGGATAGGGAGTATTTAGAAATGGGCACCTAATAGTTCGGCAAACCAACTGTCTCCTCCTGACAGCTGTCCACCTCCCTCTCTGTCTGGAAGTGCTCCAGCATTAACCACCTCTTGCCCACCAGCTTGTGACAATAGTCACTAGCCAAGTCCTCGTCATAGGCGTTGCATTGGAAGAAGTCGATTCTGATTTCCATTTCCTTGAAGGAATCTGGGTTGAGGGGCGAAAACTTAAGGTACCCAGAGTAGAAGTGGTTACTACGCATCACGAAGGGATGCTCGACAAAGAGGACGGTCTGTTGCCAGACGGCCTTTTGGGTCGACTTCAGACAAGGATTGCAGCTCATCCTGAGGGGCGTGTGCGAGAAGGTGAACTCCACGTCAAAGTAGAACATGAAGCACTCTAGATACCCCTCTCGATTGACCTTCAACCTGAATTTTCTGTCAATGAGCACATCCCCCTGTTGGACCGTCATCAGATCCAGTTCTAGGACGCGGTGTGCCAAGGTGAGGATCTTCTCCCCGGTGGTTTTCGCGTAGCGGGGCTCGGCTACGGCATATCGACGCATGGCCTTCATATTGAAGCCGTAGACATTCAACCACCAGTTGCAGCGATCGTTTTTCAGCTTATGCTCCTCTGATCCTAGAATGAAAAGCGAAGCCCTATCCGGAAGAATGAAGCCTCTCTTCTTCAACCAGCGATCTCGAGCCGTAATAACCTCCAAGATCTCGCATTCCCACAGCAAGCAGTGACCCATCCAATTACAAACGATTCCGTCAACTTCCTCCGGGAGTTTCAAGTCCTTCATGCGACCATGCAGAACCTTGATTACTTTCTCCAAGTGATTCTGCTTCACCACCAACTCCGCATAGCCGGTGACCTTGGAGTAGTCCACGGCGTACACCCTTTTGGCGCCGGCTTTGGCGGCCATTAGTGCCAGTGTGCCGATTCCGCAGCAAATGACCAGGATGACTCGTCCCTTGAAAAGGTGCTTGTTCTGATGGAAGGCTTCCGAAAAGAACTGCATGTGCTTCTGGTTCTGTTGGCGGGTTCGCATGTTGTCCAAGTGTGCGGAAAAGTCGTGTCGAAAGTCCGCCGAAGTCATGAGATCCACCTGAGCGAGTTCCTTGGGTACCTTACGTGTAGGAGTGGGAATCCGGGGACCCGGACGCACCTGGCTTTTGGGACGATCCCGTGCGGTGTTGAGAGTAGTCGGCCTCTTAAGGAGGGTTATCTTGGGCATCACTTGGGCTTCAGTCTTTTTCTCCGGTTCTTTGGGCAGATTGGAAGATTCGCCCAGAACTTTTGGCGGTTCTGTAGGAGTTGCTGCTGGAGCCAGGAAGACGCCGCGACCACGAGATCCCTTTATGGCGCCGCCGGCCGAGCTGCATATCGGCGCATTTTCACTTTTTGGGGTACTCATTTTTGAGGAATTTTCCTTCTTGTTTTCTGATGCTTTATTTTCCACCAATTTGTGAAAACTGGCCAGGCTTAGCTTCACGGGCTTCTTTCCCGATTTGTTGTGCTTCTTATGTCCGTGCATCGTGTCAAATAGCGGTAAAATAGATCGAACTTCGGTAAATTTTCTTCTCTGATGTTGTGCTAGCACTGTTCTTGAGATGTCAAAATTCCCAACAATTTCTCGGTACAATTAGAGTTGAAAAAGAGGCAGAAGAAGAGAATTGAAGGAGTGAAGCTTGGCATCACCTTCGTTAAGCTTATGACGTCACAAATTTAACGAAACCTATAGCACGCCCCCTATAAGGTAAAAAAGTACAAGCTATTTGCAACACCTTATTAATATTTTCAAAACTTTTTTTGTCGATCAATTTTTGGTTGTGAAGAATTAAAATTTAAATATTCCAATCATCACAAAGTGTGGCCAGCATAATTTGTTGTTGATTTTTAAACCAGGGCTGCAATATGGCGCGAGCTTTGTAATTAGAATCATAAATCTGGACATAAAATCGATTGTTTTGTTTTATTTCAAAAGCTATTTATGCACCACTAACATACCCCTAGCCACTATTTGTCTCCCTCATTTGCCCCATGGTTTCATGCCACCTGCCCCACGCCCCACCTGGCGATTGATGTGTGCAAGCGAGCATGAAAGAAATGACAAATCTGCGCCAACAACAACAAATAATAGAGCACGGATGAGAATCGGGAATGTATTTTTGGCGACGTCGGCGGACTTTGTAAATTATAGAAACATCCAAGTGCAATTTTGTAAACACAATCTCATGAATTTTTATGATGATCAACGCTGTAAATATGTGTGTTAAATAAACTAAACTTTTAAAGTTATTTAAAATTCAAATTCCTGCTGTATCGCATTTTTTAAAGCAGATGTTTCCATTTAAGCTAGTCATCTTCCTTTTTGTTGTGATAATATTTTTTGGTAATCTGAGCACCAAAAAATATCACATCACAGTGTCTGGGGCGTCTCTTTTTGCCGTCTCTCCTGCAAACGCACAGCCCCCCTTCTTTCCCCGCTCACCACCAATGGCAAAAAATTAGGTTAAAATGTTTACTCGAGCATTGCAGACGGGATTGGCAATAACCTCATTTTCCTGTTTCGATGTGTGTGTCTGCCAGACTCTGACGTAAGAGAAATGTCTGCCGCTTTTGTTTTTGTTTTTGTTGGGCTAAGCCCAGCCATAAGTTAACATACTTTTTCCCACTGCTCTGCATCTGTTGTTTGTTGTTGTTTTTGGTGTTTTTTTTTTGTCGAATAAAGTGACATAATATTGGGGGTAAGCCCTTGTTCTGGTTCTTCCCCGGTTCTGTTTGCTTTCGGCCTTGCCGTATCCTCGAAAGTTTTCGACTTTCGGTGTGTGCTTAGGCCTTTCCAAAAAAAAAGGTTTCCATTAGGAATGGACTTTTTCAAAACGGAATGGAAAGTTCTTTACGATGTATTGGAATGAAAACTATCGAAAGAGGTCCTTTAATTGCTGTTATAAGCCAAATCTTGTCTATTTCAAAGCCCCCAAATTATGAATGTCCAAAAACTATTCGAAATTCCGAAACAGGAACAGCTGGCTGAGTGTGTGCGTGTAATTGTAATTAATTTATGCACGTCTGCGTCTGGTGCGTGCGTCTGGCATAGATAACGGTTTTAATGAAAGCTCCGCTCTCACACACGTCCTACCGTTAACGTTAACGCCTACAAGAGTCGGACCAGAGTGAGCGCCAGTGTGTGTGTGTGCTGAAATTCGCACACTCTCGAAACGCTCATGCGAGCGCACATTTTAATAATCAATTTGAATTATTCATTGGCTAACGGCGGCAAATAAAATTCGATTAAAACACAACGTCGTCGACGACGCGTCGTCGCGCTGCTGCCGCTAAACGCCTTGGGTTATTAGCGGCAATTGTGTTTCGCATTTCCCGCCCAGCAGAACCGCCCACGCACTTCAACCCCGCCGCTGCCTGCCATTTCCATATTTCCATCCTCCATCCTCGTCTTGGGCTTCTAAATGGCTTTTTCGCCAACAAGGTGCGGAGGGGCCAGAGAGAGGAAGTGGTAGGCAGAGTGCCTGAACACTGATGAAAAAAAAACAACATTCATTTATTATGTTTTTGCCACAGTGGGGATTCCATTAAATAACTTTTATTCATCTCGATTTTCAAATTCTTGTAGAGATATTAAATCGATACTTTACCGATCATTCATTTAAATCGTTATCGATAGTATCGCATAATTACGGTGGCTTCTAGACGATACCAGCAAGATCTCCTCTCTTCTCTTAGTGGGACCATATATTAAACGTTTTTGAATTTTAAGCGGCATAAGCTCTAACTGCCAGCTACCTCTCAATTAAAAGAGGTATCCTATTTTTAGAGTCTTCACTGTACCTGCTGTGTTTCATTCATAATGTTGATTCGGCGTGGGCAAATTAAACACGAAGAAATAAAACAAGATTCTAGATGTGGAGAAAAATGAGCAACTGCGCACTGGAAGATGTCAGCAAAGCGAGTAACAATTTGTCAAAGTTGCCGACTTTAATCTTTTGTAATGGGCGTCACGGCACTCCCCCTCCCCCACTTGTGGCGGCACAAACCACGGCTGTCATAGAAAATCTTAAAACCACAATCTGAAAAGCCGCCTTAACAACTTTGGCCCAATGAGAAGACACACCACGTGTGTGTATCGCCACAGCCATAAGGATTTTGGTTAAAGTGCCGCCCCGAGTCATTAGGCGGAATCCGAATATTCAAGGCTGAAGCAAATTCAATAAGCAAATGCTTGAGCAAAAAAATAAAAGAAATTGAAGCCATTTAAATTCAGAGTAGAAAATAGACAGAGCGGAGGGCTGATGATGGAGAAATTGAATTTGTCTTGGCCATTATAATAAAGACGTATAAAAATGCCAGACACCAAATGGATCTCCACCGCATTCCACTACCCGAGCGCCAGTAAAAATTGAATGCCAAATGAGAGACTGTGCGTGAAAAGGACGTGCTGTGCATTCAACAAACATTGCATAACACTGGCCGAAAAGCAAAGGACATGAGAGCCAGAATCGGAATCAGGATAGGCGCAGTTACATAAGACCTTTTGCGTTGGCGGCGACGAAAGCAATTTAAGCATGTCTGCTCCCATGTCCTCCCATGTGCCCGCCACCCACTTTCCAAGCTCTGTTGCTTCAAGGACTTTTCGCTGCAGCGACAGAGTGAGCGATGAGCTCTCTCTCTCGAGTCTCGCCCGCCTACTCCCCCACACATCCTGTCTGCCGCGCCGAAAAGGGAGTGCAAGGGATATTTGCGGAGGGAAAAGCAAAAGGCAATGCAAAAAAAGGAGGAAAAATAAAAGAAAAGGAAAAATAAAACTTTCTACACGTGTCTCCTTTGTGCTTTCTATTTGTGCTACAGAGAGAGAAATGAGACCCCAATTATACACCCCCCCCTATTCGTAAGATACTATTTTTAGGTTGACTTTCATTAAATTTTTCAATCGTCATTGTGCTGATGGATTAATCCTAATCTTTATGATGAAATAAAGAACTGGAACTTTTGGAGACTTTTCTTGGAGTGTAGCTTAGGGCAGACGCACCACCCACTTCCACCTCCCGCCCAGCGACAGTTTGCAGAACTTTTTCTTTTCTTTTCCCATTTCTTTCCTGTTTTTTTTTATTTTCTCCCTGGGTTTCTGGCGAAGGGTAAGTACTTACGGGTACAGAATGTTCCGGCTCGGTTGGCAAAAGTTTGGTTGTTGCTGCTGCTGTTGCTGGTGTTGCTGCTGCTGCTGCTGCTGCTGCCGATACTGTTGCTGTTGTAGTGGCAACTTCTACTGATGCTGCTGCTACTGTTGTCTGATGATGATCCGCTGCTGTGGAGCCCGATGTTGAGGTTGCTACTGGCAGGGCCAGAGCCGAATCGGTTTCCAGTCCAATCCCGAGCCCGATCCCAATCCCAGTCCCAATCCCAGAGGGCAGCACTGCGTTGTTGTTGCTCCGCCGTCGTTGCGACGAGCGACGCTTCTGGTGTCGTATCCTGCGCGTTGTTGCTGCAGTTGTTGTTGCTGCTGCTACAGTGGCGGCTGCTGCTGCTGCGTTGGCAGAGCGGCGGAGGGCAATCGCTGCCACCAACACACTGCCGCAGGCTAAGCACACGGATAAACTAATGGCGATTAGCAACAAGCGACCTGAAAATCGAAAAAAAATTAAAAGATAAAAGTTAGAAATGTTACCAAATGATAGGGAGGTCTTATTTGAAGGCCACTCTTTTCATTTATTTATTTTTTATTTAAATAATTACTATAAATAATTGAAACAAAACGACTGCGACCCACAGAAAGACCAAAAAATAAATAAATAAATAATAAACAGAACCCGTACTCGTGCAACAATCTACCTACAAGGTGCGCAGTTCTCTCGCGCCCAAGACTCCCGTAACCCCCTTTATTTGCCCGCTGTCTGATATCCGTAGAATGCCTACGGAAAAGTGACAAACCGACGGATACTATAGACAAATATACAAAATACAAAATACAAATATAGGCGTCTGCGTCTAGACAACGATAGCAGACGACTTAAGTGATACAAGCCGACATGCGCAATCGGAAAGCGTAGAGAGAGGGCCGGAGAGTGTAGGCGGACAGCGGTTCGATAAACAAAGCCTATCGAAGGGACTGGGGGACATGGGGATTACCCTGTAATTGCAGAAATATTTTTAGACTTCAAGATGGACTTTGCCCCGTTCATAGACTCAGATCTTTGCCGGCCAAAAGCGCCAAGTCATACCTATAAAAATAGTTCTATTTTTGGAGCGTAAAGCCTTTCACTTGAAACCCAATTGTCTTGTAAGTCTGAAAGCCAAAACGCCTCAATTAGTAATGGGTATTATATACGGCAACAACATTCCGATTCCGATTCCGCCAGACACTGCTGATAGAATGGCAGACAAACGGAGGCCACCCGTCGCGGTCGCAGACCCTGTAACACGCCGATATTCAGCGAGCGAGAGATACAATTCAGACCGAGAGGCAGATACAGATACAGATACAAATACAAGTGCAGATACAGATACAAATGCGAAAGCTTGCGCAACAAGATTTTACAACTACAGGCAGCAGATATCATGACGCTCCGAGTGATATACAGTTACAACAACTGCAACAGCGCCATGACGCAGCTATGCAAACGTTGCTATCTCTGTCTCGCCCACTCGACCATGGCCACCGCCTCACCCTCCCACTGAATCAGCCCGTTGAATGAAAATGAAAATATTCCAAAGCGATCATTGCTTTATGATTTTGGATTAAAAAAAAAGAGAAAAGCACTAGCATTGTAAACAATACAATTAGTTAATAATAGTATGATGTGTCTGAAATGAAAAAATAGCCAGACAGAAAAAGTTAATTAACTAAAATTCAAATGTACGGAGTGAAATGCGAAAAAAAAGACAACAAATTAAAATATGTCAACAATGGGTATGTGCTCTTTCCTTTCTAGCTCGACTTTGGCAACAACAACGGGCCACAAAATAATAATAACAGGTACAACAACAATAACAAGTGGCACTTTAGACTTTTGCGCATTCCCAGCCACTGCCACTGTCAGTCACTCCGACTCGGATTCGGATTCGGATCCAACAGCCAGGTCTCAGGTGACTCAACCTGGCTGGCAGTCATTCGCTGGCTGTCTGCCTTTTATGGCCTTTTGTTTTTTTTTTCCATTTCTGATAATTATTTTTACCCGAAGCGTGACACAAAACTGATGACTAGAGGGTTACTAGAGGAAGGGCCAAGACCCGAAGAAGAGCTTGGCTCATCAATAAAATAGGAAGCTTCCATTCATTAGAAAATGTTCTTGAAACTTGGATTATTTTCGAATTGTTGCAATTATATTTATCGCAGGTGAAATGATTGAGTACGTCTGGGAGGGGAGACTTGGTTTACGTCTGGAGACATATGTACATATAGACTAATCACCTGATACCCTATAAAAACCGGCTAGAGAAAGAGAAGGGAATACGTGGCAACAGTGGAGCCGGGCAGCCGTTTTCTATTTGATTGGACCTCTGACGCACGTGTGCCCGCCAACTATTGAAAAAGTGCTAAAATAATTGAGAGAATACAAATTCAATATTTGAATTGATCACCCCAGACGTCGCGAGCGGCTAACGAATGCCAGACACTAGACCTCGCACCCGGCCAAACCACATAGATAGATAGCTGGTTGGACCAGACAGATCAGACACTTGGCCAACACTTTCAGAGGCGCATTTGATCGCAAAATGTTTCATTTCGATGAGAATATGGTTCGAGAAAGTCAACAGATATGTTATTTTAGGTTCCTTGACCGAGAACCTCTTATAGTATGATACTAACCAGCAATCTTCTCTTTGGGATGACAATTGCATTTGATTAACTACCGAGATCACTTTCGATCCACTTTCCTTCTTACTCTGCCTCTGGGGAGCACAACAAAGGTTATTAATTCAATGATTATGATCACCGCGCTAATGACAGTCAAGTGCAGCCCCGAACCCGAAAACATTTAAGCCAATGCCAATGACACCTTGATTGGGTGTCAAGGTTGAGCGAGGAGGATCGTCGCATTCCCAGCGGGACCATAAACTAACTAGAGGCATTATCATCAGCTTTAGCAATCATGATACATTGAGGTGACATTGAACTTGAAAAATCTCAGCTGAATGCTGGGTTTTGGGGCTATTGTTGTTAAGGAATTTGGATACGGGGCCTCAGAGTTCAATCTAAGGGATCTAGGGGTCTCTACTAGCTGAAGACACCAGCATCATCAGCTGACGTCAGCCCTGTCTGTGTTGGGTTTTCGTTTTGGCAGCGAATTCCCGTCTAGTTTGTGCAAAATATTACAATGTTGTCTGGCGCAGAGGTCTGAAAAGTCTCGCTCTTCCTCGTTCGCGAGGGCCCATACCCATTCCTAGAGAACCCTCAAGCTAGGCACCCTAGCTACCCTCGTTTCTGGTTCCCCCGGCGAGAGGCCAACCCTTTTATTTTCTGCGCCCAGCAACAGCCAGGGGCGGGGGCTGCCGAGAGGAAATGCAAATGAATGAGCAAAATGCAAAAAAAAAGCTGAAATAAACCGCAGACAGAGACAACGGCAGGCAGAACGACCTCGCCCAGCCAGAACATGACGAACATCATGATGTAGATGATGATTTTGTGCCTGTCGTTTGACCTTTAAGCCGAGCGAGTGCATTCCACCAACAACAACCTGGCGGAGTATCCCTATTTTGTTGCTTTTTTCAGGCCTTTCATAGTCTGGGCCGGGTCTTTATTTTATTTTACATTTTCTATTATTTTTTGTTGCAAACGCATTAAATTAATGGGAAATCACGTGGCAAATTGTGCCAACACCTCGTATGCGCAATAATTCCGACATTACGTATACGCAACGTAGCGCATTCTCGAAGTGTGTTTGCGATTTCATCATCTTCGATTTTTGCACAACAGCGACTTGATAATGAAGACTGCTAATTCTTAATGCATCACAGGGCAGTTTTTTCTCAAAATATTAAAGACTCTCTACCTATCTAGTGGGTATTCGATTATAATCCAGCCATCCACCATTTACTGGCACTTTGTTTCCCACTTTTTATTGCAACATTGTGTCATACTTTTTGTTGATTCTGTCTTTCTGTTTATTTGCCGATTGGTTTTTTTCCCCACTTGGACTTGACGTTAGAGCTTCTCGGCCCGGCTAGAGTTCCACTTCCGCCCCCATCATCCATCCGAGACATACACAAATTCGTGTTGATGTAGACTTTTGTTCTGTTTGCCGACGACTACGACGAGGATGACGGCGGCGTTGGCTGGCAAATATTGACAGAGGCTTCGAAATATTACGCAAAAATTTGCCTTCGAGGGAGATTCACATGTTTAACTTGCCTCGTTCTAGAGTCCATTCTTTGGCCCTCTTTTTGTTGCAACACGGTCGGCACTTTTGTTCTCACCGCTTGCCGCTAACCTCTTACCGCCCTACCGCTTGCGGCCAATGACTCATTGACCTGGTTTAGGTTTTTTCCCTGTCTAGATTTCGTAGTTACCCCAACTGCTTACCCCCCCTAGTGGGCATAAGTGGGTCAGTGGGCGTGTCAGGGGGAGAGGGTTGGATGGCACTCAGACCGAAAAAACTAGTTCATATACGAATGGGGCTGGGCTTTGCTGTTTTTTAGGCTCTTTTTTAGACTCCGACTCCGAACAATAGAAAATACATATCCTCAAGTATGAAATTTGCCACCCCGAGTACAAACTATGTCAACGTCTGCGCTCCAGTTTCCTCGACTCAGTCGGGATATCATGGCGTATACGTAATGCTATCGATTACTCATACGCCATGGGTAGCAGCTTTGCGAAATTGCGTTGCATTTCCCTTGGCTGTCTGGCAGATAAGACCTATTTGAAGTAATTAATGTTTATTTTTGGTTCTTACAGGTTCTTCCAGTCTTATCTGGGCACTTTCTTTGGAGGCATCGATCACTCCTCGATCGGCGTCCTGTAACAGCAACCTCGGCCATTGGCATTTATATGCCACTTTTATTTATGGTTTTTTTTTTGTTCCATTTTTGTTTTTTTTGCGCTTTTATCTATCGACTATCACAAAGGCGAGGCGTGCAAATTGATACCAGCGCGTGTAGCTAATTTATAATTTTCAGTCCCAGTTCGACTCCCAGAGCACAATCGATTCTCTTTCTGGCCAAACAAAATGATTAGTGAAGGCCTATTAATGGTTTTTAAATAATATTAATTGATTGATGTTCAGTCTTATGTTTAACAGATTAGTTTAAACTTTAAAGCTTGGAAAAAATAAATATATATAGCAGGCCAATCGGGGCTTAAACTAATTATTTGTTTGGCGAATAATCCCTATAATTGCGGCGTCTGGCTTCTATACTGCCATTTGCTAAACTAATTAGAGCAAAACCCGTTTATTTGTAACTAGACTGGGGACTATAGCCCGTAATCGATTTTCTTTGCAGGAAAATAAAACAAAAGGGCCTCCCAGGGGTCGGCGCTTCCGCTTTGAAGTCTCTTGTAATCCAACTCCCCTTTTAAGGG